GGGTATTTTATTTCCACCGTAGTGTATTTCACTTGGGGGATTCTCTACCATACATCTGCCTGAGCTTAGGGTAATTACAATTTGTCGGCGACGTTAAAAAATGATGCACCTTTTTTCGCAGTATAGGATATCGCATGTGCATATTTCTGCCTTTTTGGGTGCGCTTTATCGGTTTTTCGTGAGTAACTCGCGTAAAAACCGTCCGATCGCGACGAAACTTTCAATGCCCCCGATTTTATCAATTTTACACCTACCCTAAAAATTTTATGACCCTGACCCAAATGACCTTTGACCTGTGACCTATTTCTCGAGACCATGTTTGGCCCGAATCGCGATTCGGCGTATGTCGGCTCGCATTAGCCGCGCGGTTGCAGTTCTCACGTGGTTTCAAGCGTTGAAACATGTGATATGATGCTGGTCCCATGCATTAGGGTGGGTGTCAAGGTCACCTGAAGGTCAGGTCAGCTCAATGACCTTTGATGACCTCGGTTCCTTTTTCGAGTTTTACATGTTTCTAGGCTAGTTTTTGGAGCTGATTTCGAATTTAGCAACCATTTGAACATTACAGGGGGTGTACCGAAATTATCCGGACACCTTTCTTCCCGCTGTAATTAAAAAGCAAAACAATCTGGTACTTTTTCTTTTAACTGAGCTTGTAGCCACCTTTCATAAAAACACAGTGATGAATGTTCTGGAGCATTTCAGCCAATGGATTCTCTAGCACACTGACTTTGATACGGACCAACGCCGTCTAAACCTGTGCCTGCGGTTGAGCAGAGCAGTGCTTATGGCGGGTGGCTCTTAATACACCGAACAAGAGCCCACAGGTTTTCGATTGAATTGGGATCGCGACTTTTTCCAAGTCATAAGCGTTAGCCCAGAATGGTTGAAGGTTCTATCGGCATCACTCCCGTTCTTTTAGGGACTTTTAAGTAGCGCGCCGCCCCGCATGAAGACAGCGTGGCTTGAATCAGGCATCAGTGCGCGTTCAGAAACCGTGCCCTCCCATGCCGTCTGGTTGAGCGCCTCCAATCATGCTCCACCACCTTCCCTGGAAAAGCTCCACCCTTGCCTATGGGGCAAAATATAAGGGAGAAAAACACAAAACAAGACAGATAAAAACAAAACAAAATTAACTCAGTACCTAATGAAATTCAGGCTTGAGCAAAAACATAGGTAAGGTATCTATGTCAAATTAGAATGAAAGATTAAAATCAACCTGACCAGGCCTTACGGTCTGACCTGGTCCTAACCAGTAACCACCTTACTTCGCCTAACTTAACCCAATTCAACCTAGCCTACCACAACACCTGCAGAGGTAGGTACCTTCCTGGAAAAATGACGCCCAGGGAGGTGACTGTCCAACCTATTGGAATACTACCATGATTGTTTGTCAAAATGTGTGTCATCATGCTCTTGTTTGACAAGTGATGTATAATAAATGTGATATTCAATAATTATCTCCTGACTGCTGACTGTTGACTGATCAAAATATTCAAATAATCAGGGTACAATGCTGTGCATAGTGCACACTAATCATGTTGTTTTTGTGTAGGCCCTCTGCACATTGTTGTGTGCACTGCAGTGCTATGTGCACCTTAAGTAAAAAAGTGACTGGTGGTACATGACAAAAGGTTGTGCAACTGACGTGAAGTTCATGCCCTTGGTCAAGCTGGTGCCAAATGCCTATAGCTATAGCAGGATCAGTGAGGGTTGTAGACATGCTACATACATTGTGCATTGAAGATATTGGCACAAAGTTCATCCGTAATTACTATGCTTAACACCTAATGTAAGAAGCGACATAAATGCCTAGATGATAAAACTCTCTGGTCAACATCACACAAATTTATTGACATACTTTGCAGGTACATATTTACATTCATGGCAAAATATACTTTCAATTTGATTCAGAAACTAGTTGCTAGTAAGCTTGCATTTTTGTAGGTACAACAACGACCATACATTGAATCATAAAAAACCTTCTCATGGCATTCATCACATACCTTTTTACCGAACAAGTACCTAGCTTAGCTACCATGCAATGATTCTAAAATTTTCCGCAATCCATCTATAATTCAACTGACACAATGAATTTGAAATACCCTAACAAAACCTATAACTGTACATAAAAAGAATGCAATACTACAAGAACTATGAATTTCTGAAGTTATTCTCACATGCTGGAACATTGAAACTCTACTTTTGTCGTCCATTTCCACGTTTGATTGAGCCATCATATCAAACTGCTTTCATTCTTCAGTCACAAGCTTTCGCACAAATCTTGAATTTTTACACATCATCTTGAACCATGCTCCAGTCTTTCCAACAAGGTACTATGTAACATCAAAACAATTTTGATTTGTTACAACAGCTTCAGATCATGATAGGCTTGAGGATTCAGATTGTTACACCATTTGCCAGACAAATCTCTACAAAATGTGTATCAATTCCCAAACTAAGTAATTACTAATTGATCATATCAGTATTTGCAGTTTCCACACAATGTTTCATAATACTATTCTATGTTTATATAAAGAAACTCAAATAATCCGCAAATTGTTATTGAAACACTCCCGCTTCAAGAATTCACAGCAATAACAGTACAAGTTCAGAAGCAAACAAACATTGCGCCAGATTTCGTATGAAACGCGCCATCGTCCTGAAGTTTCTACCACAGACGGTAGTTCAACCGCAGCCGTAGTGCGAAAACCCCTGCCCACCTTACCCCACGGCGGAGCTCGGTTGCAATTTGTAAATACGCCTACGGCTGCAATAATTTAGTCGCTGTAACATTCCTTGCAATCAGCTGTTGGTGACGCTTCTGACGCATGTTTCCAAAAATGCGTGGTTCTTCATTGGTTAGTTGGTTTTTGCTGGGCTTTTGCATGATTTGTTTTATGTGTAGATCGACTGGATACGCATTATTCACCGTGTCACTATTTATTTTTAACTGGAAATCGCATATCTTTTTATATCAACATTCATTTTGATAACAGTATCATTCCAGAAGCCTAACATTGAGAGGAATCAGAGTGAAATTTTGATCCTCAGCCAATGCTGAAGGGTAAGGTGAGAGAAAGATTTTACTGAATTCTTTTCAGAAAGGAATTTCAAATGTATTGATGCATTATTCGTTTAGTTTTCCATTATCCAGTGTGCACTTCCTGAGGACTTAGCATAGCAATTTCAAGTCCTTACTATTTGTTTGGCTGTCTTTTTCTGCACAACAATGAAGCAAGTAAGGTTTATATAGCTCTAGCATTGACCCAGCTGTATTTTTTCCTTGCAAAGGCAGGTTTTTAAAATTGCGGGTTTTTTGCGGGTTCGGCTCAGCCAAAATCAGCTTGCGGGTAGTTGTGGTTGGGCAAGGGGTAGCTGCGGGGCGGGGCGGGTAATGAAATTGCAAATTTGGTGCATCTCTACTTCCTGAGGACTTAGCATAGCAATTTCAAGTCCTTACTATTTGTTTGGCTGTCTTTTTCTGCACAACAATGAAGCAAGTAAGGTTTATATAGCTCTAGCATTGACCCAGCTGTATTTTTTCCTTGCAAAGGCAGGTTTTTAAAATTGCGGGTTTTTTGCGGGTTCGGCTCAGCCAAAATCAGCTTGCGGGTAGTTGTGGTTGGGCAAGGGGTAGCTGCAGGGCGGGGCGGGTAATGAAATTGCAAATTTGGTGCATCTCTAGTACGGAAGCACAACAACTGGATCATAAGCATTAACTTCGTCTTCATTCGCCGACTTCATTGACCTAATATGAAAAGCGTTCAAAAGCTTCATTGACTTAGGATGAAAAGCGTTCAGCATATGAGCAATGAGCATGACAAAGGAATTCGTTAAAAGTTTATAAATCGTGATTTTAATGTACCTACATAATTGTTATGACAATTGACAAGTTCTTAATCCTCGCCCGTAAACGGTGTTTTGCCACCTTCGCCCATGCAGGGGGGGGGGGTTGGTGCGACCCCCCCCCCCCCACTGGCGTTTGAAAACGGAGCGTCGTAGAGCTTAACGGAAAAGACCAACGGATTGCTCTCGACGAGATCTCGCGGTTGGTGGTATATTTTTTGGTCCTAGGTCAACATCTGACCTACTTATGACCGGTCAAAGGTCAAATTTTCTGAAAAATCTAACTTTTTCAGATTTCCGCGCCGATTGCGGCAAAACGGTAAGAGATATCGACTTCAAACCTTCACTATCGTGATCCTTGATCAATTCTCTATCGTTTGGTGTGTGTTTCGATGTCATAACTCTAAAAATGATGCGTTGGGAGCATCGGAAGTCTGCAAGGTCATTTGTGCATTGGGCCACGTCAGGCGTGTGACGTCACTGACCTGACCCTGACCCAAAATGAACTACAAGAAACAACTGACGATGCCTGGAATGGATAGCAAATTCGAATTCAGGGCATCAAAATACCCCGAAAAGGCATACAAGTGCAAGAAGTCATTACAGGTCAACCGAGGTCACTGACCTTACCTTGACCTTTAGTAACCTTCAAAAGGTCAACGGACATTGTGCCAATGTCAAATCAGCCAGTTGTGATTCTAAAACAGTCCATCAGTGTGTCAGGTCAGTCGGCATTTATACCAATGTGAAGCAATCTTCAATTTAGCGTAAATCTGGCCGGAGGTTGTTCCCTTTATGACGTCATAACTCAGTGACCTGACATGACCTTGACAAAAAAAAATACCAAAAGTTGCGCAAAGGATGCCCTAAAGGGTACTGAAAATTTGAGCACGCTATCTGAAACGGTTCGGCGTGTAGCTAAGAAAAACCTCAGGGGGGGGGGGGTTGCACCAACCCCCCCCCCCCCCCAACATGGGCGAGGGTTAAATCGACTTAGTTTTCTACCAATCAAGAAGGTCGACGGAGGACTAAGGAAAAACAGAGACCCGTCCCCTGTCTCCGTCTTCATTAGGTTTCTGGTCCAGCCCGCCCCACGGCACTCCCACCTTCCCAGATAACTCCGAAGTCCGGTAACGCCGGCAGCGACTCACCTGGCAGCGATTTGACGTTGGTGAGGGGCGCACGGATCACCGGCTCGAAGGTCTCCAGCTCATCACGAGTAGCAGGACGCGGCAGTGGCGCCGAGGGCGCGCTCAGGCTGCCCCGGTCGCCCTCCTCGCCTCCCGTGCCGCCGCTGGCTACTCCTCCTGTTCCTCCGCTCGCCACTCCACCCGTTCCGTCAAAGGCCGCTCCACCAGAGGCCCGTGCCGAGCCGAACTCCACGTCTTCCCTCGGGAGAGCCATCGGCAGCGGCGGCGACTGCGAGCTCATCATCATGCCGGCCATGAGGAAGCCGCCGAACACGCCGCACAGAAAGAGCATGGCGCAGCTGCTCAGGCCGAGCCGGCGCGCGATCATGCAGCCCATGATGCTGCGCCACCTGAGCGGAATAAATGGGTTAAAGTTAGACTCAGACAGAAGATGGTGCTTGAGCAGAGGAAGGGTTTGAGACTTGGAAGACAGTGCCTGAGCAGAAAATGGGTTAGAAGAAGCTGGGAATCAAATGCACAAATGCAAAAGTGAAACGTTTTTCATGTGAACTGCACTAAAGGCTTTCATAGACCAATAGTAACTAGCATTAATGTAGCGTTGAACCTTAAATAGGGACAGGTATTAGGTAAAGCTTAAGTTTGTTTATGTGGCCCATGAAAATCAACAAATATAAGTAATGGAGACTGTAACTGACAGAGACTGATAAATATGTAGATGAGTGATGACCAAAGGAAAATATTAGGCAAAAAGAGGAATAATGATCTGATGATTCTACCTACTTGATCAGTCAAAGAAGAAAAAAAAGAATATAATAGCCTACAGAAAGCTGTGACAAAAAAAGAGTGGAGTAAGTTAGGACCTGTTCCAGCGACTCCAGAAAGCTCCAGAATTCTCCAGAGAGCATTCCAGCACCCCCAGAAAGCTCCAGAAAGCCCTCACCAAAGCTCCAGAAACCTCCAGTAGCCTCCAGAGTTGGGAGGTCCACATTTCTCTGGAGGCTCTGGTTTACAATTATGGCACACATGTTACAATCACGAATATAAACAAAAGGACTTTTGACTGCTTATTCTACAACTTGAATGTATAGAAAATTACATTCTATAATTTTGTTAATCTTTCTTACTAAAATTGAAAACAAATTTGGTGTTTCAAGAGAGAACAGTCATTCTTTTGGTATCTGTGACACCAATCTCCAGAAATCTCCAGATTACATTCCAGTGAAACCTCTGGTAGAGCCTCTAGTTAAGAATTTTGGTAAATATTTACTTTAGGACCGGCACACTTTACGAAGGTAAATTTCAGGCATTATTCCATTATTTGACATACTAAATCAAGATATGATACTTACATGTCACCAAAACTACAGAAAGTCACACAATAACTTGAATCACAGAAGTTGCAACTGGTCTATACCAGTGGGGGAAACTGTGGTCAAATCTTCTATTTTTGGAAGCCTTCCATTTTTGGAAGGACCTTCCATAAATGGGTATGCATTTTCCAAAAATGGAAGGCTTCCAAAATTGGAAGGTCTAATCTCAGTGTTCCCAACTGTGATTCACATTCTTTGATTTAAGTTACGGCCTTTTTAAATGTGTAACATTAATAGTTGATTTTGCCATTTATGATCATTGATATAAGGAGAAGCAGCAGTGCTAGTGTTGGTAATACAGGCATGCTATGTCAATGTACAGTCTGTCTTAAAAGTACCGCGCAAAGTGACGGTGGATCCATCGAGCCTGACTGAGCAAGGGCCTGCTAAATTTGGTCACTGAAGCAACTGACATCCTTATCCATTCCCTAGGTCAATTGGTCGGTGACTTTTAAATTAAAACAGGCCCTTTCTCGGTCAGGCTTGATGGATCCACCACCACTTTGCGCGGTACTTTTAAGACAGACTGTACATAGTGATATAATAGCATGGTGTCCTGGCGCACTGCTCTCTTTTTCTACTTCTAGAGGACACATAGAAATTCAGAAGAGAAAACAGCTGGTCAATAACCAACCAGGAGGAACACAGCTATAGCCCTGACAAAAAATGGTTTAAATTAAACTTACTATTCCTCATATAAATTGAAGATTCATGCTCCTTCGATAGAAAGTAACACGAAAAACGGCGCAGCAACGCCTATTTAATTCGTCCCATATTCCGGAAAAAAAAAACATTGAAAAATGACGAGACCTCCACCCAAATGTTTGGCAAAAGCCTTAAAAAATTGAAATCAACCACACAATATGCTAATAAATGCAGAAAACGGCAACAAATACAAGTTTTACTCGCCACTACACTCCCGAAACCGCCGCACTCTGTCCAGACAATTCCGCACTGTAAATAAAGTCGGCGGTATCGAACAAGCATGGCCCATCACTTAAGTACTTTTAAGGATATTTACTTTTCGTTTTTGATGCTTTTTGCTTACAAAATGTTTGATAAAGTCTTATAAAACCATCGTTTGTCGGTAAATTTTTGTCAATTTTCCACGACTCATTACTTTGAAAAATTACCTAAAATACATCCACGCTAGGATTTAGGCATCCACGCTAGATTATGGACACTTCACTATGGCGAATAGAAAGCGACCAGGGGCGATAGTCGCATTTGCCTCATGTTCGGCGGAAATCGGTAAGTTCCAACATATGCGCAACATTTTCTATATTTGGGTACGATGACGTCGTCAGCGTACCCATTTTTGGAAGGTGCGTACCCATATATAGAAAATCCTTCCAAAAATGGAAGGCTTTCTAAAAATGGAAGATTTGACCACAGTTTCCCCGACTGATACCTACCTACCCTATTACGAACCTGCCCCTATAGATAAAACTGCATAATAAAATCAATTATATGAATAGATATATGAAACATTACATTAATAATATGAATGAGTTATATGAATAATTGAAATTTCAAAAGTACAAATAAAAGCACTGTTCTACATTCACTGCCGGTCTGGCTAGTCTGCCCCCTAATCCATCAAGAGTCAAAGCTAAGATTTTCACATCCCCAAAGTGATCAAGGGTTGGTTGATAGTGGTAAGCTTCAGCTTGACAAATAAAAGGCATTATCATCCCAGCATTATGCAACGACACACCAATGACAATCTTACATTGCCCTATAATAATGATAAAGTTCTGTAATCCGTAAGTAACATTGGCGAAGAAAATTGGCTTGATTTTTGGTTAACCATGAAGGAATGTTTTTAATTGAAAAACAGGCAATTTCTCAGTAAAAAAAAAACAACAAAGATACAGGAACACGGTGATAACAGCCAATTTGAATGACAGTCCAAGTCATGAGTCAATCAAACATTCGTGAGAACTCACTGCTCAGCAAAGCTAGGTACCAATCAATGCCTCCATACCATCGATGTTCCATAAAATAAAATCGCAGAAAAGCACTGACCTGCAAGTAACCGCTTTAAAACAATTCGTCGTCAAAATATTAGAAAAATTTCAATTTCAGAGTTCCTAACACACGCCCTCACCGCGCCGAAATCGGAAACGAACTGATTCAAGATCTTTCGAAACACGAATCGTCAACTCTTATCACGTGAATGCATGGGCCTATGACGTCATAAGTATTCACCAATGAAAACCCTCCTTTTAGAGTAGAGTTGCATAATTTATTCGAATAAAAAATGATGGTGATGATGAATGTGCGACTATGATAATAAACGTTTTTTTGGCGATTCGACCATAAGTTGTTTGTAAAGATATTTAATTACCAAAAATCGCCGTTTTGGAGGTATTGGATTGCAGGATTTGGAGATTTTGTTGAAGTTGTGAAGGTATGCTTCTCAGTAATGCTTGGAAGCACATTCAATTGTCTTCCGAATAATAATAAGTAGGTCTCTAGCTCCTGTTTTAGCCGTCTTCAATGCATGATCCTTGGTCTCATCTCACAATGACATAGAAAGAAGATGACAGAATAGCATTTATACCCACCTACCTACAAATATATAGATCACAAAATGCAGATAGTCACAAGTCACAAGCTAGGTATAGATCATGACCAAGATCATATTCATGACTGAGTCGAAATGCACAGAACCTCGAAAATGAGGTACTATCATCACTAGTAAGCGGGCGGGCTCTGACAGGCAGTAGTCACTCATAACAGTGGACATATGTGTACAGTAACATAAACTGTAAAAGTACTCATGTGTTCCCGGTGGACCGGGTCCAGGGCTTTGTCATATTACCTACCTTTACACATCAAATTGCAAACACTAACTATTTTTTTGTCAAATGGCGGCAGCTGCGGCAGCCCAGCATCAATCACCAAAAACATTCAGAAGAGTGATATTCAAGTTTTTCATTTGCCTCAGAGGCTCTACGAGTCCCAACTGAGGATCGCTGACGTTAGCCGGGGCCACAAGATGGCCACCGGCCAGGATCCCGGCCATGAAGCCGAACGGACCGGCGGTCATCACCGTGTGTCGACAGGCGGTCAGCAGCGCCAGGTCAGCCATGGCGCCGTCCGGACCGCCACCGCCCGTGACCACCACGTCTGGAGCCCTTAGATGTTCGGAGCACCACTCCGGCTCGTCACACACCGCCACGAAGAGGCAGTCACCGAGGATGCGCCGGTAGTGCGCCATCGCCCTCCGGATGTAGCCGGCAGCGACGGCACTGTTGTCACTGTCGTCGTCTCCCTGCACCAGCCACGGGTCCAGGACAGCGCTGCTCACGTGCACTCCCACCGGTGTAACGCTGTCTCTGCCGCAGCGGCGCAACAACCGGCTGAGACGGAGCTGCGCGGCCCGGCGCGGCGGCTCAAACAGCTCCAGCTCGCGGCGCAGCTCCAGTCTAAAAGCGTCCAGCAGAGACGCGTCCCGCGACTCCGGATCGATCCAGATGTTGCGGTTGCGCTTGTCGCGCATTCGCCGACAGTTATCTGCGACCATTGTGCACCGCTGGAAGCGCGGCTCGCAGTGCGGTGGCAGCGTCGGCAGGCTGACGCTGCCGAAGTGGGCAGCCAATCGATCTCCAGCGGTCGGCAACAGCCAGCCGCGCAGACCGAACTGGCGGGAGAACGACCATAGGGTGGCGTAGTCAAACAGAGCGTCTCCGAGCGAGCGCGTGCCCCAGTCGGTGCCGATAGTGACCAGCGCTGCGCCCGGACAGCCGTATTCGTCTGTGGTGGAGGTGAAGGAGGCGATTTCTGCTAGCGCGCGCTCATAAGCGGCTTCTTGTGCGGGCGTGCCGGTCGGTGCTGGCGGCAGTGTGTTTGTTTCTGGTTGACTGTTCTTCTGACCGCCCACCAGCATCCAGAACAGACCGTACATACTCAGGACTGCCAGCAGCGCCTGGCGAGGGTCGGGCTGCAAACATAGACGGCTGTGTAAGAGGCAATGCATTGTTACCGGTACTCGGTAGATTATGATAGGTACTTACCTGTGATCTTTTTCATATTGTGCGGGCTTCGCAATAGCACGTTTATCGATAATCGGTATGATGCTGAGACTAGACGGTCTTCTTCGTTTTCAGAAGTCCCGTCTGTGCACACCAATAGCTTATATGTATACGGTAGCTATGATATGGTGATGATCCCTTGGCAGTTGCCATGTCTGGTTATGAGTGCCTTCATTATGAACCTGCTTTAGGCTCTAGCCAAGTAAACTGATAATACATGCTGGTGCACGGAAATAACTGTGCCTACACCACAACTGGCCATCTTACCATTTTGAGAATCCGCACCTATTGATGGCCTCCACTGCAAGTAGGTGTTGCTGCTTAGTGCTCACTGCCCAGTGCCCACCGATCATCCAGCCACTCAGACACTCGCTCGCACACTGCGTGTCATGTAGTTCTGCGTGAGAAACGGAAGGAACAATCGATGTCTAACACCTACACGCGCGGAAGAACGCCTGTGGCATTTATAAATAATGCATGATCAATGGAGGTGCGCGACGGTCGATGGCTCATGCCTCATGCCCGATGGTAATTGTCGCAAATGCAATTAGCAGAGGCCCAGGGCTGCGGAGTCGGAGTCGGGGTCGGAGTTGGAGTCGGTCGGAGCCGACAATTCTGCCCGGAGTCGGAGTCGGAGTCGCCGAACTCCTACCAACTCCGACTCCAGTGTCGGAGTTAACGCTGCATGGCTCAATGTCATGCACTGTACCTGTTTGATTGACGATACTGCGCTCGAAATTAGATTGTGTCAAAAAGACTACTTTGCTGTTTTAGCCAAATATTTTCAGCGAAAGAAGCAGGACGGCGAATTCCCCAGAACCTGCTTTTTAATTCTGCATGTTATTTTTGATGCATAGGTACTTGCAACGCAAAGACCTGGAACGCACAAATAATCGTTTCAGGCTAGATAAAAACATCTCCATTATGAACTTCAATATCACGATGTTTTTTTAGAACCGTCCGGAGTCGGAGTCGGAGCTCTGGAGCCCGGAGTCGGAGTCGATTCTTGTAGCCGGAGTCGGGGTCGGAGTTGGAGTCACCCTAAAATCCATCGACCCCGCAGCCCTGAGCAGAGCAATGGCAATTTGGTACTGGGCACTGGGCAGACTCAGACTGACCAAGGGATACACTTTTGCCTAAGAGTGTCTGAGTGAGCACTGAGCAGGTATGCATTATACGTACGGTATCGAATCGACTATCCGTCGAGTGCAATGCACATTGATAACTCTGCATTTTCCTTCTCGTAACATATCATACGCTTGATTATTAAACATTATCGAGAAACGTTCTCGTCGTCTTTGACCTTGTGGGAACCAAGCATGCGATCACAATTCTCCATTACACATAGGTATTGAACTCATCTGTCAAATACAAAAGTGGCCACTCTAGAATGCTTCACCAGCTCTACATATTTTGATCAAATATCAAGAGTTAAGGGACACATAATATATATTTCAATGTTAAATTATAATAAATAAAAACCATCACAATTTTTTCAAAAACATGTACAAAAATACTTTCAATATTACACAGCGCACTATGTAAAAGCGTCCTGTGCTCTTCCGGTCCAGTATTTGGCCGGCATCATAAATGACGTATGTTATTAAATTGTAGTATTTTTATGAAGTTTTAAATGATTTTAGCACATATTTTTCTAAAAATATATTCAGTAGGAATTTTCAGTGAGAAAAAATAATGAAAGATACGATAAACGAAAAAATAAACAATATTTTCTTCCCATACGTCATCAAATCATTCTACCTTTCTCAACCGACAAAATATCAACAAATGTCCTTTTCCGCTTGCGACGCCTCATGTCGTTATAGCCCGAGTAGTCGCGCTTATTGAAGGCGATTTTCTGCAGAGCGTGCTCAGTAACGGTCCATTAGGCTGAAAAGATGGTAAGTCCACACCATTTTCAGACAAAAACATAAGTTTTGCCCAAGAGGGGTGCGGCTTTTCGGGGATCAATTGTGTGCGGCGTTTTTGGCGCAGCTTGATATTTCATGTTTGTGATTTGAATGCCAGCATTTTGAATATATATAGATTTTCATAATTTTGTGGGATGTACTTCAGAGGAGTTTATTGGGTTGTTGATTCTATTTATTGAATGATGTGAAGTTTGCAATTGTGCCCATGTTTTGAAGGTACAGGTCTGTATCTCACTTCTGTATATGGGTCGTTGATTGTGTGAAGCGCCTCATGTGTGATATTTTTGATTGTGTTGCTGAACCTTCATAATGTAAAATTAGTGTGCCTAATAGGTAGTTTATTTTTCCAACATGACATGGAAGCAAGTCACTGATTGGTGTTTCTGATTTCAGTCTTACGTTAAAGAGATGGGGAAGTATGAGCAGGATGCTCAGGCTCCTGTTCACAAGATCCGGATCACCCTCAGCTCACTGAATGTGCCATCTCTTGAGAAGGGTAAGAAAACAATCCCAGTTATGAGTGTTTGATCAATTAATAAAAACCCTCTCAAATCTGGCTGAGTGTGGATTGGGAATGAACCAGGGCCCAAAATCCTATTGTGTATTTTGTTTTAAACAATTGTACTTTAAGCCATCACATTTATTGTTTGGTTGTTTGGTAAAATACAAAAAGTTTGCCATTTAAATTACAGTGACATGATGCAACATCAACATTTAATGCCTTTATTACCTACATTTGTCATTCAAAGCCAATTATAGCTAACTGTTTCAATCAACTTCCTGTCAATTTTTACAGAGTATTTTCTTCCTTGTCCAAAGTAGTTTGATTTTAACCAGCTGTTTTCACTCGCTTGTTTTTGGTGATACCTATGTAGGTAGTAGGTACTAAATTTGAGCTCATTGTAGTTCACCCTGGTACAGTGTGGCCTTCCTGTCAGACCAGCAGCCAGCTGTGTTTTAGTTAAGAACAGTGAATTTGCCATTTTAAATTAGCTCCAACTGGGCTTTCAATAGCTGGCATCCAAAGCTAGAAGAAATCTTCACTTTCTGATCTCACCCTGCCTGGTCCCTGTGCGTAAATTTCCTGTTCGCAAATTTGTAAAAGTGGATTTGCTGAAAAATTAGGTAACATAATTTTTGGCCCTGTTTCTTGCCAATTCAGTAGGCGGAACTATGGTCAAGCGTACCCATTTTCGGGAACGCATTTTCGTTCCCATGTTTGGGAACGATAAACCCAAATATGGGAACGCCATGTAGGCATTATTTAAAACAAGAAAAAGAACCGTTAAATGACGTCCAAAAAATATAAAACGATCGTGAACCGCCTGATAGTTGTCTCAATATTGTTGGGAAAGAGTTTGATATTGTAAGGCCCATCGTAGTTTCAAATCGTTCCCCTATTTCTAAAGCAGTCCATCACCCGGGCCGCGAGCCCAAATTTGGGAACGCTCTCGTATACTGGCGCTGCAAGCGTTCCTTATTATGGGAACGGCGTACCCAAAATTGGGAACGATTTCACCGACGCCTTTCAGGGGCTCTTTTCATTAACAAGCATCACGTCCAACGCCGCAAATTATTGTTAATGCAACAATCATCAGATGACCTTTCCGGCAAGACCGTTGCATGTTTCGCCCGGTCTTCTGCGCTTTTATTCCCGTCGATCTCGCAGCGGGCACGCCCCCCTCTGCAGGATTACGTAATCCACAACGCTCAGCGATGTTCAACAAGGTCTTCCATACCTATATCCACCGTCCGCGCCGAGGGTGGAGACATGTCAAGCACCTGTCTGCTAATCACCGAGAGTTGACGAGCACAAGAAGTATCCAAAAATGGGAACGCTGAATATGTTACACCCTCAAAACACCTAGTCCCAATGAAAATCTAGTTTTTTCCTTTCTTAATGAGTGTAGTGGCAAAAGGCCTGGTAGGATGGGCACGAGGAACGATCGAAATCAGCATAAAAATTATAAATAAGCCACACAGAGCGACCTATATCAGAGAAATTCCCTCCAAACGATCATGCTTAGAAACGCCGAAGACAAAAACCACGCTCATGACGCTGCTTATAAAACAACGCCAAACAGCTAGCATCCAAATAAAATATGTCTTTCAGGGCTGATAAAATACAGCTGAATGATTTTAAACCACTGAAACTGAGTTTACAACAGTAGTTCGGTAAAATCACTGACGTTCCACGCGGTCGATCGCCCCGACACCAAAAGTCAACAATATTACCTCGGGACTGTCCGCGTGTTCGCTTGCATATGTCAGCATCTGGTGTCGCTAGAATGAAACTTCATAACCAGGCGAAAATTATTATACTTGACCTCAAAATGTAAAAAATGCTTCATTTTCCTTAAAATTGCATGTTAAATGTCGTATAACCCATATTTCCACCATTCTGTCATTTTTAAAAAATCATTAAAAATATCATTCCACGGTCAATTTCCTTGTTCCACGGTCAGATTAAAGATAACTTTATGGAGATTTAGTAGATACTTAAATCAGCGTGCACTTTTTTGAGACGTGATGCACTTTTGAGTTTTAGTGGGCGAACGGCCGAAAAATTGCCTTCCGTTCTCATAAATGGGAACGCCCGTTCCCATATTTGGGAACTCCGTTCCCAAAAATGGGAACGTTCCTATATTTGGGTACTCATGACCATAGTTCCGCCTACTGAATTAGTGCTCAGGGTATGCTCCAGTGGCTCCTCTAATCTAACATCCTCTTATTTCAGAATATTGCTTGTGTCCCTCATTTGAAGCTACTCTAGGCTCATCCCAATTTCACATATCACCACCACTATTTGCCTCCTCCCTCATCCCAAACAAAGTTGTTTTTACGAGACTTCGCGTAAATATATATTGGTTCATGGGATACAAATGTGAAATGTTAAAAGTGGAAATTTAATGGCAAGGAAGCGATTGTGGGGATTGAGGATCATATTTTTAAATAGTAATCTCCACCATTTATCTACGTCTGTTTAGTTGAAAGCAATATTTCTCTCAGTCATAATGCTTGCGCGCCTTAAATCGCCAACCGATAAAGCCCGCAAACAGCTGATTTCCTCGCAGAAATGTTCCCGTGGCTGCTCTGAAACGGTTCCCCTTGAAGTTCGTCCAACTCGAAATATTTTTTTTTTTAGATTTACCACTGGAGCATACCCATATACTGGTTACAATCTTTATATTCATCAGTGCTAAAGTAAACGAATTTTATTGAATTGCTCCTGATATCCACGTTTTGTTGTTTACATTTTCTATCAGTATCTAAATTCCTTGCACAATGCGCAAAGAATGTAAATGCACAATGCGCATTACATATTTAATGTTTTGCTCACCATATCGCTCTGTTTGCAGTGTGCGCCGAGCTGATCGACAAGGCCAAGGGCAAGGACCTGCGCGTGCGCGGCCCGATCCGCATGCCGACCAAGACGCTGCGCATCACCACCAGGAAGACCCCCTGCGGAGAGGGCTCCAAGACCTGGGACAGGTGAGAAAACTGATGGCGCTGACGGGGTGGGAGAACGGACCGTGTCTGCCGGCCGTCCCAAGTCTGTCCCGGCGCTAATTGTTCATCGTATGGTGGTGTTATTTGTTACTTTGGCACACACCTCAGCGATTTTGCTGTCGTGGATTTAGCTGTGGAGGCACATGATTAATTGATGTCCTAGCTGTAGTATCACTTCTCACATTTGTTTTTTCTGATTTCTGCAGATGAATATTTTGAATAGTGTGTTATGTGATAAAAATGAGCATCCATTCCATTCTGCTAAAATATTCAACGTCGCTAACTTATTTCATTTTATTACCAGATCAAATTACGCTCCCTCGCATATACTTAGTCGCTCAGCGCTAGTGATAACCAATCACCAAACCCACCCAATAAGCCTTCTAACTACCCTTCCCTCGGCCACGTTTTCAGGTTCCAGATGCGCATCCACAAGCGTCTGATCGACCTGCACAGCAGTCAGGATACCGTGAAACAGATCACCTCCATCAACATCGAGCCGGACGTGGACGTCGAGGTGACCATGTCCGACTCGTAGACCGTTCAATACATGATGCGACCGTGACACGTCTTTTGGGACTATTCATTGAACGGTGAGCGGGGCAGGATTGGGATGGGGAGACCGTGATACTTTCGGGATACGGGAGTCATTTGCGACAAATCGACAGCAGGGTTTTGGAGAAAGATGATCGTGACACTTATGCAGTGTCCCAATTTTGTTGATTTGGGTGGGAAATGACACCCGAATGCAATCATTTTGCTTTCTCAACTCCAATTTTTAAGGGCAATTTTCCACTCCCAACATTTGAGAAAAAGCATGTGCGTGAATGATGGTTTTACATACGACATTTTATCACAGTTGTATATAAATTAATGCTGTTGGTCTTTGTTCAGTGTTCACTCTTTTTGGGCCTTGGCTGAAAGGCAATTTTCCACTCTCATGCCCCTTTTTGGAAGGAAATTTTCCCTTTGACACCCAAGCCAAAATAAGATTTTGGGACACTGCACTTCTGCGTTTGGGATGAATTAAATAGACGATCGATAGGGAACTGGGGTGAGACACTGACACTTGGATATATATTTGGGTTCATGAGTTGGAGGGAGGGGAGAAAGACGGGCCCGAGAGGTGGCCGAGACTAGTGGATGCTCTTGGGATGGACTGACAGCCCCGGGGTAGCGTTGGGAGGGGGGTTGGGTACAGCGGTGATGAGACTGGATGTGGTGCCGCGGTCCAGAGTTACGTCAATAGCTTTTGGGCTCTGAAACCTATTCCCGTGCCAACTGGTGTTGTTCAGAACAGTGCCATCGATTTGCAGCGGACCTAGGACGCCGACTATACCTATTAGCGATTGTCGTGGGAAGCGCGTTTGGCAATGTGATGACTGGTTACATGTGCGACTGTGTACTTTTTCAGCTTTGCCAACAAATCTCAAAACGTACGCGCATCGCGCACTCCTGCCGCCTGTGAGAATCGAACTCACGACCCCTTGTTTACGAGACAAGTGCTCTGCCCCTGAGCTAAGGCGGCTGCGCGGATCTTGCTCTCAGTCATCATTCGGCTCCTGCGCAGCCGTGGTGGCTCATCACTTTCTCTGAAAGGCTCATCTTCGACCAACTTCAGCGCTTCTCCTCCGTGCGCTATGCCAGTTGGCTGGGTTTGGTCACTGTGGTCGTTCTCCGGTGATCTGACTAGCCGGTTCAAAAGTCAACTTCAGCAGGCGAATTCACGCAGCCGCAGTCATTTGAAGATTTCAGTTGAAGCTGAAGTGCTTCAAAATCCCTGCAAAACATGAATAATTGGGTAAAAGTTGTGCATTTGCCACAGTTACAGTCTAGTCAATGAACTATCAAAAACAGCACAGCGTGGAACATGCGCTTACCCCAGGTGGAAACAAGGATGGTCAAAACCACTAGGAAGACCACAGCGCAGATCAGTAGGCCGTTTCTCTGGCGCGCCAGGCTGCGGATCATCTCCACATTACTCTCCACGTGGTGGTGGGAGTCCTTCCTGAAGGGATACGAATTCGTCAGGTCGGTAGGTGGCATAAGGGTCCAGTTTAGTTGGGATCTTCTTTAGTAGACAATTCGGGGGCTCATGATTGCGAGCGTCGCGGAGGGTGCCAATACGGCGCAACTAGGGGAAACTTCACAAGCATTTAAACATGAGCAGAACATTTACACCCGTGATCCCATTGCCTAATGACCAGTGGCGGCGGAATAGGGGGTGCAGGGGGTGCAGCTGCACCCCCATCGAAAAACATGGGGGTGCAAACATATCTTTTTGCACCCCCAAAATTCGTACAAGGGGCCCGTCGCACCATCAAATACATTTTCTCTTTAAAACCAGTGATCGGGAAACGAACACTGATGTGGAATCATCCGGGATGTCCAATTATGGTCAGGAGCGCCCCTGCATGCTAGTCTTTGGGGCCCCACACCGGCTAGAAATGTTCCTAGCCGCGTTTGGTGCTCCACGTGGCATCTGAGGGCCCCCACAACGGCCTCAGAGGGCCCTTTTATGACGATCTCTGAGGGCTCCCACCTGAGGGCTTTGCCCCCTGGGGCCCTACAACGGCCACTAAGGGCCCTCATGACGACCGCTGAAGGTACCACAGAGACTCCAGGGGCCCAAGGAGACTCCAGGGGCCACGCTGGCCTCTGATGGCCCCTATGACGGCCTCTGAGGGCCCTTACGATGATCTCTGAGGGCTCTCACGACGAACTCTGTCCCCTGAGGCCCTATAACGACCAGTAAGGGCCCTCATGACGACCGCTGAGGGTCCCACAGGACTCCAGGGGCCCTACTGGCCTCTGAGGGCCTCTACGACGGTCTCTGAGGGCCCTCGTGACGGCCCTAGACCCAACTCAAGTCTGAGGGCCCATTTGGCTTCAGACGGCCCAGCGACGGCCTCTGAGGGCCCCAACACAACCAGGTTGCAGGGGCTATGCTGGCATCTGAGGGCTCTGCAACGGTCTATTGAGGGCCCTAACAACGATGGCCTCTAGCGGTCTTACCAAGGCCTATGAGAGCCCTGCAAAGGTATCTGAGGGCCCATGAAGACCCTCAATATGGCCAAGGACCCTCATGACGACCTCTGATGATCCTCTCGAAGGCTTCTAAAGGGCCCTCCCTCACAACAACTTCTGAGGACCCCACCCCAGGACTGTCCCTGAGGGGCTGAGGGCCCTGACGACGACCTCTCTGGGCCCTCAAGATGGTCTCTAAGACCCAGCGCAAGCTCCAAAGGCCCACACTGGCGTCTGAGGGCCCCACGACGGCCTCTGAGAGCCTCGACGCAGGCAGGCTCCAGGGGCCATGCTGACCTCTGAGGGCCCTCTTGACGGCTTCTAGGACCTAACGAAGGCTTCAAGGGGCCAACGCTGGCCTCTGAAGAACCCTACGACGGCCTCGGAGGGTCTCAACTCAACGCAGGCAGGTGTCAGGAGACATGCTGGCCTCTGAGGGCCCCGCAGAGTTGAGATTCAGAGGATCCAACGACCTTTGTGGACCTTACGAAATACGAAGGTCTCCGAGAGCTCACGCAGGCTCCTGGAATTCCACACGGATTCTCAGGCCCCATGTCGGCTTGTTGACGCACTTTATCTGCTCTTGATGCCCCGTCGCCGGCCTCTGAGAGTCTCAATGTCGGAACTTATGGGGCCATGGGCCCTACACCGGCTTTTATGGCCCCTACATAGACTCTTGGGACTCATGACCCATGAAATGTGTATCTAAGCGGCTTCTAAGAATCCCCATGCTGGTTCGAGTAGCCGCCAGCCGAATATTAGGGCTCACACTTGAGCTCCTGGGACCCCGTGCATACCCCAGGGGTCTACCTGCCTCTAAGACCCCACACATACTTTTGGGGCTCAAACGCTTGCCCCTGAAGGCCCCACTGAGACCCCTTTCCTACATTCAGTCCTCCACACCGGCTCTTTAGGCTAAACATCGGCTCCTGTGGCATCTATCCCGGCTTTGGAGGGCCTCCATACAGGCTTTTTTGGGGGGTCCGATGCCGGTTTCTGAGAGCCCTCAAAAGACTTATGAGCCTATACTGCCTTCTGAAACCTTTCAGCGACTTTCAAGGGACCGACCATGATCAGAGAGCTCATTCAGTCTGGGGAGTCATGTAGGTCTCTGGAGGAGTCTCTATGTGGTCGGTTTCCAAGGGGCTTCTAAACACGGTCTTCTTGGAACGGTCTTGTAGGGCCCTCAATGGTCCACTGTGGATCCAGAAAAGTGGTTTGAGACGCTGCGGGTGGTGGCTAGACTAAAAACTAGCTGCATTTGCTTCTTTATGCTTTCATTATTTGAGATAAGTTGGTACACTGCAATTTCAAACATTTTACAGAACTTGTGTGTATGGGGATAGTTTTCCAAAATCTTCGTTTTTGATAAATCAATAATAATCACCCAAAAAAACTGAAGGGGGCCCAAAACTTTCAGAGGGGCCCCTTGAGAAAACTTTGCACCCCCATCCAAAATTACCTTCCGCCGCCACTGCTAATGACTTATTATCCCAATTTTCAACACAGCAACACCGTAAGTTACCATCAGACAGTCAGATGGTTCGTCACAGTGAACTTCTGCCAGCTCTGGTCCCACCAGCCCCGTTTCACCATTCCCAGCTCCTCAGTCTCGCTCTCACCTCACCATGAGGACGCCGGAGCTGACGCGGAAACGGTCCTCCGTCGTCTTTGGAGGCGTGTCTCCGACCCCTGGGGGACAGTCGGATCCCTCTGCTCTCCGGTAGTACACCGGCTTCAACCGAACGCTGGCTGCCGGCGACGGTGGCGCCACCACAGCAGGCGATAGTGGCGCCATCGCGGCGGGCGGGAGTGGCGTAATCACGGGCGGTGGCGGCAGGGGAGTCATGGTCTTGCTGGTGACGGCGACTGCAGACATTAGGAACTCCGAGGGGTGCAGAAGACGTAGGAAGAGGTCTAGTAAAGCAGCTTGGAGCTGCCTGACGCTCTCAGTTTAGGCTGACGAAACAATAAAGCGTGAGTCTGAAAAAAATTTACACGTAAGACAGAAATAAACGCATTTACTAGTTTATCCCGGCGAGATGCTGCGTGCTAGGCAGCGGTGCTCTTGCATATTTCAATCGGATTCAAGAGTATCGACATACGAGCAACTCTTGGGATCGGCTCACCTTCAAGCAGCATTCCTGGACACAGTTCTTGTCGAAAAAGCCTTGAATGGGTATATCTTCCTTGCGTCTTACATTGTCGCAAATTGTCTGATCCAAAGACCTCTCAGACCCTCAGATTAATGCCCTCAGATTAAAACGGTTGGAGTTGAACAATAAAATATAGGGGATAAATCCTAATTCAATACACCCTAAGATAAACTGCAAGGAGCGCAAAGAGACAGGTCTTGATGGGCCTTGATGAAGCTGAACACAAGGCCATAGAAACGAATTAGGATAGAAACTACGCTGAACAAAAGGGACCGTTTGATAAAAAGCTTGGATTGGGAATTCTCACGTGATTTTACACATGAGGCGATCCTGCACGTTTTGCATAGCACCGTGTTTACAGTCGGTAACAAAATGTCAGTCACAAGCTCCACCATTCCTTTCTACTTGGTGCCTCGGCGATTATGGCCGACCGCAAAAGGAGCGCCATGCTACGAGTCCGTATGCCGATTGCCGTGGTCAGCTAGTCCGCTAAAAGCCAAAAATTGCTGTTCTGCTAGATCCCTTGGCTAGTGAAATGGCGTATCTAGCGTGCGATTTCTCGGAAGAATGTGGGCTCTGGACACCTGCTTACGGCAGAGTCTCCATTTCTGGCAACGGCCATACCATGCTGAAAAATACCAGTTCCCGTCCATTCGAAACACTATTACACTAAGTCCACAACGTGCTCACAAAACACTGTGCTTTATGGGGATGTATCATATATCAGTTCATCCTTTCGAAGCCCTTGGGAGGTCACTGTCCGTGCCTTGGGACCCCCAAGATTCTTTCATGCTGTATCGGACAAGGTACTAATGTTGACCAACGTTAAAAAATCATCCCAGCTTGGGAATCATTCTCTTTCATGCGTCATTTCCTAGAATGAAGTCGTTAAATGACATTTTATATTATCGATATGGATCAAGATTTCGCATTTTTTATGTCCAAGATGAGACTAGATTACCTATTTGAAAACGTATGTCCACATGAATCTATTTCTCTCGTTTTCTCTACACCCCACACTGTCGGGATGATCCCGTCAGTATGGCCAACTGAACTGCTCGCCTGACAAGTATGTTCCATCAGCCTGTGTCACGACCGTAGTCTTCCACTAAAATCCCTCCCCTATCACCGGGCGGAGTTGCGCGGTGTGTCGGTCCTGGTGCCCTCAGCGCGTGCCATCACCGGGTGACACGGGGGACACGGCGGTCACCGCCGGTCACCGGGCAGTCACCGAGCGGCGGTGACCCAGTTCCGGGCGCGCTGAGGGCACCGCTCGGCGGTCCGCTCAGCGCTACCGCCGGCTGCCGAGCCGCCTCAGACCGTCTCCAGCCTCCGCGATGGCCGCCGGACGCCTCTGCTTGCTGCTACTGCTGGTGGCTCTGGCCGCGGCGCGAGCTGCAGCCGAGCCGATGGGTGTCGGCGTCCGAGTGTCTCCTCCCAGACCTCGGGAACGAGATCTGGTGATCGAGGAGGGCAGCGGTGACGGAGACGAGGTGGAAGAAGATGGTGAAGCGGATGTCACCGTCCTGAAGCCGGCGACGAAGAAGCAGACGAAGCAGAGCCTGACCGGCAGCAAGATACTGGACGGAGTAGGTGAGTGACAAATGTGGGAGGGCGGGCTTCAGGGGTTTCCGGGAGAAGTAAAGTATTCTTGGTTTCCGGGAACAATCATTGTGAATGGGACGGCTGATTTGCGTCCTCATCAGAACGCAAGACCTGTAAGCGAATAAGGCTTGTCAATCAATGTAAAGGATTGGGGCCAATTGGTGTATGTGACCTCAGGTCAGGTCAAATGAGAGAATACCATTTCATTGTGACGTGCGATTATCTTTAATTGGGTTCATTTACGCATACCAATTTGCCATTTGTGTATCATTCTGTGCGTTCGTGATCGGGTTAGCTGGGTTTGCTATGCCTGCTACCCTATCTTCTATGCCTACCTTCTAACCACAGTCGTTTAAAAAGACCTGTTTCGTCTTTGGTTGGATATGCATGGTTTCATTATCTCTTTCTCCCCATTAGCCTCGTCATAGCCCTGCTGAGCCTCGTCTCATGTTTGACCTGACTCAGAGTAACAATCGCAGTGAAATGGGAGGGTGTTACCATGGTGTTACATTACGAGTAGACACATGAACCATACCCTACCCCAGGCATTGATTCATATTTTCTGTCAAAATAGTTCGGAGATTTCGACGTTTGATGTTCATGCTTCAAATCGTCCACATTGAATAAAAACATAGGTAGAAAGCCATAAATATATCCTTCAAACCTTGGAGAAAAAAGTCTAGCGTGGCCGGTAACCGAAAGCCTTTCTTCAAGCAAACAACTGCTGGCATCCAGAGCGTTCCATTTGATCGCCACTGCATGTCCTTCGTTCGTTTGCGTTCCGACAACCCATAGGATTCAAATAGGACCTTCACTAGGGTGACCCGCGTGCTCCGCAACGCGAAAAGGGATATTTTCGATCGGTGGGTGTTCGGTTGTTCTTGTGTCGGTTGGGTTATCTATCCATTTCGGTCGATTGCTTTTTGACGGCTAAACGTTTTGGTTTGTGGAAAAAATATCCACCGCATCGAGGTGCCCGTGTCTGATAAGCATGCTTTCCACTTCAGAATCTGTCAAATGTGCTTTATAATTGAGGTGCGTAGTTTTAAGACAAATGAAAGGCGTAGATAATTTTCGCTAAAATCGTTTTGCAGAGGTTTAAAACATTTATATTTTTAAGAATACTGTTGCTTGTCATGCAAACGTGATGATTGGATCTTGGAGAGAATTGAATGCTCTTTCTAATGATAGCTTTTTCAATTGTCAAGCGTATCAGGTTAAGCAGCAAATCCCGTGTATCTTTTTAGTGGCACATTATGGACAAATACCATTTTAATTCAGCGATTTTTTCCACATTGTTTTTGATCAATTAGCTGTCCACAATTTTCCATGAGAGGCGGTACATTTCTCTAGGCAATTGACGTTGTTTCAACTCTCTCAGTCTGATGGTCACGGGAAAATAAAATAAAATCCAAAATGCGTTTAAAATGGCACTTTTTTAAATGAAATTGCCCTCACACTTGCACGTGGCGGCCACCCCTGCACCGCACACTATTCGATTGCCCGTTCGATTCTCTACACGATGCTGTTTTCCCCGTGCCGATCGGGCGCACGGTTACCGAGATATTGCACGGGGAACGGACCCGTGTCGGGCAAATTTAGCCATTTTCGCCCGTTTTTGCCAGCCGATTTATACATGTAAAGTCTATGACGCGAATTTGCACTTTTTGGGCACGCGCCACGCGCTCGCTATCGATCCGATCGAGCCGAGACCGCTCAAAGGCACGTTGTCCATCCTTGTTCTATAACTTGCGCAAATTTCAGCGCGGTAGGTGCAACGGTGTGATCTGTAACCCGCGCTACGTAGCACCATGTCGCGACCTTCGTAATAGACAGAAACTACGCCCTCCTCAAATAGTAATATAGATTTGACCAGCAGTGAGGAAATACTACTGGCAGCTCATGCACTACATATTGCACTGCCGTGGCCGCTATGACTGAAGACCGAGTACATTATTGTCCCTGTCGCGTACCGGTGACTGTCGTTCTCCCCGGTCATGGTTCGTCGGTGACCAACAGTCGGATGAATGACCGATCCCGCTTTACCGGGACGACCGGTTCGATCCGAAGTGGTCCCACTTCAGAACCATTGTGTGGACATCTGTGGTACGTGTGATAAGAGACTCACTGGGACTGAATGAATGGGATTAGGACTCGGCTGGAAGAATGCGCATACCTGACGTTCAGCATGACAACGAGGAAATGTGAGTCATGGACCCGAAGGCCCACAAACAAAAACCGTTTGTAATTTGTATGGCGGAATATTTATAATTTAGGTGTTAGCTTTTGTACGCTAGCTTCACCAGTGAGCCGATTTGATATCATTCAGACTTCAAAGTTCCCCGTCACTGTCAAAAATAAACAGAACTCCTATTGAGCTAGAAATCAACGCCCAGTGCCATCCACAGCGTCCTCCCAGAAGCTCCGTCCTTTCGGGCGGCCATTCGTCCCATTTCCAGCGCGTCGGTCCCGGTTGTCGCCCCTACGTTAGCATACCTGTCAGATATGGGTCACTGATGGTCGCCGCATTCCGTAGCGGGTCGCCGTGTCGGGGCGTCCGTCGTTGAATTATTCCCCTCGCTCCGGTCGGTCGGTCCGACCTGGGCTCCGACGCCGGCCGGCGGACCAGGCGACAGGACATCTCACACCCTGCCGCTGGACCGCGCCGCGCGTGGAAGGGTGGTCGAGGACGGCACCCGACGACGGGAGGGCGCGGGTTACACCGGTTCATTGGCCCCTGTCGCCACTGACCGACTGCCCTGTGCGGGGCACCGGACGCCATCAAACCGGTTCTCTATGCAGCAGCGGCGTTAATGAGCGCGCTGCGCCTACACACACGGCGGGGTTTGGTGGTGTGGTATGCCGTCGGGGGTATGATAAGCCATTGTGGGCGCTTCTGGGTCCGGGAGGTGCCTAGAGGGCCGCATGCATATTGAAATGTAAACAAAATAGGACTATGATAATTGGCGTCATACGTCCAATATGCTCTTTTTTTTTTGCATCTACGTGGACGACAAGTGTTAACTGTTTTCATCATGAAAGGGTTGCCAGAAGACAGTTTTAGTGAAAACCTTGTGGAACAGGATATGATTTCCTGCCCACTAAAATGCACAGCATCAATCAATTCCTCCGTTTACGTGTACGCCCGTTCCTCTATTTTCCGAAACAATTGCCAAGACTGACACCTCTTTACTTGCCTTACAGTGCCGAGCACGGCGCAGTCTTTCTTCAACTACGGCATGGGCTTCGCGCTGCTAACCTACATCACCATGGGGATCAGCTACTTCTACGGACCGTACTCGGCCAGCGCCTTCCTGGCCAACAAGCGCGCCAACCAGCGCATGAAGTACCTCGAACATCAGATGAAGGACGAAGAAGAGGAGAGCGAGTACGACTATGGAAACTACGCCCAGGAGGAAGTGAACAGTATCCTGGAGCACGGCGGCTACTACGGCGGGTACGACCAGCACGGAGGAGGGTTCGGTCAGGACTCGTATGTGTCGTACGAGGGTCAGGTCAGCCACCCGGGCCGCGTGGCGCGGAGGAGAGGTGTAGCGGCCCGGTCAGGTTCGTACCGCCAGCAGCAGAGACGGGTGAAGTATGATGACCCTGCGGAGCGACCCCAGCGGCGGAGACAGCAGCCGTGGCGCCGACAGGCACCGGCCCAGCGGCAGGAGACTGCGGCAGGCGGCGGAGGGGTCTTCAGGGTGGCTCCGCGCCGCCCGGCAGGGTACCCGGCTCAGCGTCCGGCTCCCACCCGTACCGTCCTCCCGGCCGGTCAGCAGCAGCAGCGGCGCCGTCAGACAGTGGGACAGGGAGGAGCGAGACCCGCCCCCAGGCCGAGTCAGCAGCAGGTGCGTCCCAGCCGGCCAGTGCTGACCCACCAGCAGCGACAGAGACAGCCCGGCTACCGACCAGCTCCCGTTCAGGCGCAGAGGACTGCTACCTCCAACGCACAGCGCACGCCAACCTCCGGTCTCCAGGTTATCCCAGGACCGGCACAGACTGGCACGCCGCGTCAGCCCCAGCCCCAGTCTCGGCCTCAGCCACAGCCGCAGCCTCAGCCTCAATTCCGGCCGCAGCCACAGCCGTCGACCTCAGCATCACAGGAGGCCAGGCCGTCCGTCCAGTCAGCAGGCTCGCAGTCGGCGGAGGAGAACAAAGCCGCTGCTACGAGCCAGGCCCAGGAGCGCCACCCGGTCAGCAGTGGGAAGGACGGTGAAAGGTGAGTGCCGGGAGGATATTGCAGGATATCTGGATATGGTGTAATAGATAGCTGCAATCCGATTGTAATAGATTCAACCAGAATATAGCTGTGAGCAGATGATAGAATTTTGATGGTATGTGTTTGCTGTCAGAAATGAAACTGAAACGCATGTTCATTTTTCACCCTCACCATATTGTCCATATTTTTTTCGAACGCTCTACGATTGAAAAATTCGGTCCGGTTATCCGAAGTAATTACGATTTGAATATGTTTCGCTACACCACTTAGCCTGATGCTCGACCACTTAGCCTGATTAAGGGGCATTGTGTGGTGCTGAATGCCAATAATAAATGCCACTTTCCGTGACATATCAGCTTCACAATTCACACCCATTCTGTCCATCCATCGCTAACCCACCCCCCTGTTTCCACAGCTCTGTGGACATGGTGGAGCTGATTGCCGGTGTGGACACTTCCCACCCCGACTGCCGCGCGTGGATCCGCTGCCTGCAGAACGCCCGTCACCCGGACATCCCACTCGGGTAAGCAACACTGCAACACTGCAGAGTCACCGGACGTCACGGGGCCACGCGCGGCTGTGTATGCAGGCGAGCCGTGCCCCTGGGGCGGGTAGCGGCCGGACAGCCGCCTGCACAGCGCAATGTATGTAGATTGTAGAGTGGGCAGGAATTGCAGATGAGACGGGTTACTGACCCAGTGAGCTGCAGGCAAGGAACTACGAGTTTACTGTGTAAACGATATACAGCAGGCACCTGATCTATTTGGGGAATAAATATCGAGTGCGTCGCTCTCTTAATTGATACTGCTACGTTTTACGCAACATAACACCGTGCAGGTTTGTAAATCACAATGTTCTTGTATGGTTCAATCAACGTTGAAAGACTTACATCAACTTATAACTATAATGGAATATATCGTAAACCATCTACAATCAATGATCAGCCTGAGTGTTTGTTTGTTTGTTTTGTTGGGTTAGGCACTTAAACTTTCGGTCCAATAAGACCATTTCAGAGCCGGGAAGATGATAGGATAATAGGGGGAGACATTGGTCTGGGCAGGCACCCTAGTGAGTCGCCGGGGCTGAGCCCGTCCAGAGGACAGGCCACTCAGCCCCAAGGTACTCACTGCACCCGGCTACGGGGTGCGCTCCCTCGGGAGCAGCGGTGCCGCTCCTAGGGAGCAGCCCGCATGAGATAAAGTTGCCTGTCCAGCCCGGAATGGAGGTTGCGGCGTGGAGAAGGATTTCAGTATCCTGAGGATAAATACGACGGAACGGTGATGGCCTGAGTGCTGACAGCAAAGCAAACGTAACGGTGACACAAGATGACATTGTCCATCCGTCATCTAATAACGCCCCTTTGTTGCCGTCTTTACATGACCCTTCCCTGGTTTATTTCCCAGGGTGCGGCGCGGTCGCGTGGACGTGGACAACTCGGACTGCCGCCAGTTCGCCGCCTCGTGTCCGTCCAAGAAGCCCTGATCGGTCTTCAAGCCAGCACACCTGAACAGGCGCGACATCTATGTACTGTATGAACAGTCTCCAAGGCGATCCACCAGCGCCGTTCGCCGCGGCAGGCGATGGACAATTGAGTGTATCAGCTCACGTCCAACTGCTCAGCCTGCCATCCGTCCCAGAGCCATCGCTAGCAGTCACCGAATCACCTGCCCGGCCTAACGGCTGAGATTGGGGCCGCTAGACGGTGAATTTATGACGTCAGTGGTGGAATGATGTAATTGGATTGGCTCCGTAATCGGCTAGAAAATGTCCTTTGGCTCGGTTATAGAGCAATCTTGCCAGTGTTATTGTGAGCTTATGTGCTTCGTCGCGATGTGTGTTCTAAAACGGATGTTGGCGTGTTGTTGGCCGGCTGACTTTGGATAGGTTTTATACCTTGGGCATGCATTGTACGAGTAGTTATTTATTGTATGTAGTGGGGTCACCCCAGGCGATTATCTAATGGCATTATGCTGAGTTAAGGTGTGTAAAATTAGTAGCAGCTCACATGAAGATAAGGTGTGGTGGCGATGTGAGAAGCGACGTTGTTCGTATTAGTCGTTGTAAAATAAACGTATCTACGTGCTCGAGTGACAAAGAAGCCTGCTGTTAGATCAACGTAATGCAACTTGCCGCGCTGAACGAGAACCAGAGGGACTCATTCCTATCAACTGTTTGGTTCATATAGAGCTGGGTGTTCATATAGAGCTAAATGCATTATGCATGGGCATGAGCCAATTCACATTCCAATGTAAAAGTTATTTCGTAAATGATACGACAAATGATTGTCCAAAACGCCAGTCTGCCGCCTGTGAGGATTGAACTCACGACCCCTGGTTTACAAGACCAGTGCTCTGCCACTGAGCTAAGGCGGCTGGGGCCCGCTTCACGACCATATGGAAAATTGAAACATGACGAGCGGTCGGATGTGTCGCACTACACTGCGATATAAAGCTTCAACCTGCAACCCAGATGACACTTGTTAAAGCTTACTATCACCCAAAGCGTAAATACGAAATTTAGACTGCGGCAGAGTGTTTGCCGTACGGAGATGCCATCACAAGGGGACGACCAACACGACGGCTCCGGGCCCCGGCCATGAACATTTATGAAACAAAACGGATGCGACTTGGACCCTTGGGTTTGATATTCAGGGGGTTTGGCTCGAAGCTTTTAATTGACTTACCACTCATTATATCAATAACTTCTTACAAGTTTCTATGATTCGAAATCATTGCAACGTTGATTGCTTGACTGACGCTCGGTTTACAATTGCATCAATTCAGGCTGTGAGCATCAGACTTGGCGGCTTGTTCAAGAACATTGCTAAAAGAACGTTGCAAAACATTCCCGCGCATCTCACACACATGTGCCGCCTGTGAGAATCGAACTCACGACCCCTTGTTTACGAGACAAGTGCTCTGCCCCTGAGCTAAGGCGGCGGGAATACCACCGATTTATCCGTAAAAAGTCCAGATCCAATGAGATCACTTCGGAATTCGGCCGATATGAAAGGACGAACCAAAGGTCAACGACACATGAAACAACTACACAAAGAACGGATGTGAGAGCCCCACACGTCACTAAATCCCAACAAAACAGCACACAAAACATTAACTCCTACCTCCCAGTGAGGCACACAGGAAACCTCCCCTCACTTTCACAAATCACAACTATCCACAAGACCCACCAAAGTCCCATCAGACGGGTCTCCTCGCCGCCGGCCTGATCAGCTGAGGTACCGCCAGGGGCGGCGGGGCGCTCACCGTCTCCTCAGCTACCGGTTCACCGCCGCTCGCGTCGCCCCATCCGCCGTGCGACCCTGGCCCGTCGCCGCTGTGTTCCGCCGCCTGTCCGTCCCGGTGGATCAGCTCGTCGAGCAGATTCGGGTGTGGAGATGACGATTGAGGAGCCTCAGAGGAAGGAACGGGAACACTGTGGGAATAGTGGTGGGGAGAAGGTTGGTTAGGAACGGAGCTGGAGAGTACCGGTAGTAGGATGGAGCTTTGTGAACACAAACTGGACATTGAGTGAATTTGGATATGGTCGTCAAACACTGCTAAAGCTCACCTGCACGCAACATGTCAACAAAAACTCGACTTTTGGTGACCTTGGAATCTGGATTACAACCTACCCAAAGCACAACTTCCCGCCGACAAAATATGCGATGGTCACGGAGCGTAAGTGACTTTAACCCAGTCACGTCAGACTCGTTGTCTGCACTCTGCAGTCTGCACCGCCGCACTGACCTGTCCGCTGGGTGTGGGTCCTCGGCCTCCATCCCTGACTGAGGCGGCGGGGGAGGAGTGTCTCCGTCCCCATCTCTGCCCGCCGCCAGCAGGGTCCTCAGCTGCTCCAGCTCAGGACACTGGAAATAATCAGAGTGAAGCGGTGAGTGTGACAAAGGTGTCATAAAGCACAGGGCGGGACATGAAGAAGGAACTATCAACTGAGCCCAGCACTGTATCGGCAAATTACAAGGCCCATCACCGAACATTTTATGAGGTAAATACAATGGTCAACAATTTAATCTATTGACACATATGCGTGCATAAATTACGTAAGAATGCTAATTGAGCTGGAAAATAACTTAGGCAAAACATGAACAACACGTTGAGGGCAGCTAAAAAAAACAAAAAAAAAACGAATAATTGTGTATTCAAGTGATTACAGCACCATGACTGTTAAAATACCTTCCGAAACGAGACCTTTCTGTAAAGAAGGCTCAAAGATAGAGAAGGTAGCGAACTGCCTGCAACGTCCAAACCCTTGTTCGCGTCGTCACAATCTCCCGTACCGTGGCTGTCAGTGTGGCGGCAGCTGCAGCGGCCGCTGGCGCCAGCTGCTGCAGCTGCAGACTCTGATGCTGCAGGAGCAGCTGCAGCCGGCGGTTCAGCTCAGCTGCCGAGCGGGACTCGGACTCCAGACGCTTCAGCCAGTCGGTGAGACCGGAAACCTCCCTGGAAGAGAGGGGATGAGAAAAAGAGGTTATTCAAAATTCAGCCATTTGGTATGACTTAGCCCCTAGGCAAGGGGGAGGGGGAGGCAGGCAGACAGGAGGTTAGCGAGGCAGAGTTGTGACTTGCGCGGTGCATAGTAGGGCAAAACATGACAGGGCAGAACAGCACGAGCCTGTGCAGGAAAGAACTCAGGACAGGGTAGGGAAAGGACCACACTGGGCAGCTGGACATGGCATGCCGTGAAAAGTTAGGAAAAGACGTGAATAAGACGGAAACAAGCATGATAGCGCTCCGGCCTGACTTATTCCATCGGCCCGGCACTAACCGGCCACCTCTCGAGCGGGTAGTCAGCTCAGGTGACGACCAATCGGCAGTCAGCAGCTATCCAGTGATACCAGCCTGTTTATAACTCAGGTCACGCTAAACTGGTTCAGCGTCGAGAGCTACGTTTCGATGACATTTCGATTTGAGGCCCGGAAATTAACCCATCAAAGTAATGTTTCAACGGCCGAGCGAAGTTGCACGCAAGGGCCACTCACTTATTGAGCTTGTTCTTGGCCTGGTTGTAGCGCACCATCTGATCGGAGGCGTTCTGGTGGAGGCGACACCTGGCCTTGACCTCCGTCTCCAGGTCACGGACCTGACGCGCCAGGCTGACCTTTTCCATCTGCCGGCAGAAAATATCAGCAACACTCAATGTCAAATGGGACGCTGGACACAGTGAGCTTACTGGAGAGTCGACAGGGTTTGTGGCCGACTGGGTAAAACCGCAAATATGTGACCACGGGTCACACTGCCAACTGCCGCCTGTGAGAATCGAACTCACGACCCCTTGTTTACGAGACAAGTGCTCTGCCCCTGAGCTAAGGCGGCTTGCGTGGAAGACAAAGAACGAAAAAATCGCGAGAAACGGTACTGAATCTAATGCTGCACCCACCGGTACAAAAAATATCAGGATACTTCATAAAAGCTTGTCATACAGCTCAGACAGATGCACATTGCACCTACCACCTGTGCCCCCCCCCCCCTCCCCTCGCCAGTCCCACTCCACTCACACACACCCTCCCCTCCCCACCGCCCCACGCAGGTTCATGGCCGTCCCCCCCCCCCCCCTGTCGTTAGTGACGACCCGTGTTTGTGACCGTCGCTAACGCACAGCCGGGTCGTTGAGCCAATCAATGGTGACCCCAGTGAGTGTCTCATTAACCGGCGTGTGCGTGGAGGGCCGGCCCAGTGCTTACAGTCCTGAGACCCGACTGGACTGAGGGGTGCAAGGCGAAAAAGAAGTTCGCTCTACGCTAAACGTAGACCACTGGGATTACCATGGGTGCTTTGAACTTTGAAGCGTAATCAAAATACGATTATGGAAACAGGAAACACCACCACGGATTGCCATGGATAAGCAGATCACTCATCTTTCCACTCACACGGCCCAGCGAGAATTTGAATCGGCGAAGGTTTGGATTTCTGTCAATTTGGCATCGAATCCTCTGAGTCCCATAAGGGACAGGAAACCTTTGCCTGTTAGGTATTACATTCATTCTAGATGCTTGCGATTGTACTAGATTTCTTGCAGACGATGAGGAACGCGATTAGAATACAACCCGTGACATGGCCGACATTCAACATACTTCATTGCATCCCCGACGAAGGCGAGCAATAGTGAAGCCGAGATGTGAAACTATTTTAATTTGCTGTGGCACGCTAATTAGCTAAACCAACCAGGATAGAGCATCCTTATCAACTGCTTTGGCTGAGCCAACTTGAAATGAGGGGAGGCATGCTGTAAGGGTTGAGCTGGGAGGAAGAACGAATACAGTGTAAAACAACAGACGGTGAGAAAGGAAGCGTGAACGGCCAAACGGCTCTCTGTCACAATATGATTGAATGCATGTTTGTAGTAAGGGTTCCAAACTGAAATAACGACAAGCTACCTACATGCAAACACTGTCACAGCTTTGCAAAGGTCAAAGGTCAACCGACACGAGTCATAAAGAAAGACCGAATGACCCAATTACACCTTATGGCGCATTAAAAATGGAGGAAGACGGTAGTGTCACAAATTGAATATCAAACCGTGACGGGACCTACCGTTGTCCGTTGCCAATAATCAATGCTGAATAGCATTAAATAAAAAGTTGTGGTAGCAATCAATCCTTTTCCTTTTAGGCTGTAGTTATGGATGCATGACCGTATGTAAAACACACGTACAATTGTACATCAATCTATACGTTCGTGTATAACTCGCCTCACGAACATTCCGCCTTGGCGTGGCCTCGAGTTGAATATATGTAGGACACGTGTACTCGATTCGTGAAGGCTGATCGGTAGGGAGTGTGGCGCACTGTCAGCCAAGTTACTATGTGTTCTGATCCCAGGAAAGGGCCGCTCGACATGCCTCGAAGACGACAGAATCGGACGCTCAAGAATGGCTACCATCAGATTAGGTCCCGCTTCCCTACCACCGAGACCGACGCTCCAAAGCTCACACCACTTTAAATGAGAAGTCGGATAACGACTGGGAATTGGGATGGTGTTATATGCGATAACGACGAGGACGATCCGACTCAAATTTAGTATTTACACTAAGACGATTTATAGAATAGCAGCATCCTGACATGCCACCCCATTCACTATTATTTGATAAATCCTACCCACAATGTACAAACACCCACATAATCAACATCATAACTACCCTCGCCCGGCATGCAGCCCGCCCTGACTGGCCGTTTGACCTACGACTAAGTAAGACCTCGTAAACCGTCCCAACCAGCCCCGAGGCTTCTCGTCCTGACCTGGAGCGTCTTCAGCTGTGCGCGCAGCGCGGTCAGCTCCTCGGTGGCCAGCTGAAGGTCCATGTGTCCCCGCTGGTGCTGCTGCCGGGCCGTGCAGAGCGCCGTCTCGTAGCGGCGCCTTTCGGCCAGCGCGGCCTCCTCCAGTCGGGAGATGGCCGCGCGGTGCTCCGCCTGACCGACGGGAGGGATGACAGGCGTGAGATGGAGGGACTAGTGATGTCAATTACGGAAAATCTGAATACCGATACCAAACCAAATACCAACCAAAACCACGGGAAAATACCGAAACCAAATTAACTTGGGAAAATGAGGGAAATACCAACTTTTTACCGATATCTTAGCCTGTTATACATTAGTGAGGATTTATGATACCAACAAAATACCAAACACATTACGATTGAAATACCAAATACCAAGTTGGTATCGGTTTGGTATCGGTATACCAAAAAGTTGGTATCCAATTGACATCGCTAGGAGAAACACTGGTGATAGGGATAAGAGTGGTAATGGAAACGGTACTGGATGCTGATGTTGGTTGCTGGATTCCTCAGAGTCTCCGATCCGCACCCTAGCTGAGCTCGAGCCGGACTGCATTCAGAATCCGCACACCGTGGCGTCACACATACCACCCCGGGCGTGGTGAGGGTCAAGTTCAGGTCATGTGGGCCCCAATAACGGAACGCAGCTTTCGAGCGGTTACACTTAGAAACACTACAGCTTATATGAGAGACGGGTCTGCTCAAAGCCCAGTCCGCTATTTCACTATTCAGTCCAACCGAAATGAAGGGGCTATAATCCGGAAAGCCAGTCACTTGTTCAACTTTCGCCGAATAATGTAGTAAAGAAAAATGAATGTCATCGATCATGGTATTCTCCGGATTCCTACATCAGAATATGCTGATAATAAATGCAGCAAGGGGTCCGTAGTTTTACTGGAAGCTGGTGATAAATTTATGACATCAAAAATTAAAATTAATTGAACAGACCGAAGCAGTTAATTATCCAACGTTGATGGAAGGGTAGTGGGACGTCCTTGGGACGTTTGACGTACTATTATGAGACATTTATCGAGCCGACCCCACACTAGAACACCTGCCAAGTACTGATGACGTCGACAGCACGTATCAAATCACACACACACACTGCTATGGCAACAAATGACGTCACGAGTGGATCAAAACACCTGCAAGGCGCCCACAAGTTTCGCGTTAGCTGGGTTAGCGTGATAAACAAGAGGTTTATGACTTAATCAGCAGGCTAAGGTATCATAAATTTATTATTTAGTTTCTTTGTAGTGTTTGCAAAAATAAATAAGAAGAGAGCATACCATGTTGCCGTATAGCGTATACAGAATGCATCACGAAATTGCAACGCAGGGCCTCGGCTAACATGTTAACTACTGGGGCAAATGCCCCAGTAGAGTCGAGGAATGCCCCAGTAGTGGTCAGGCTTTGCCCAGCCTCCACAAAATGAGAATATATCAATATTAACGTACATTCTTTCATTCGGGAGCGGTTGAAGACGTTTGTGGCAAGAAATCAGGGGCGGCGGAAAAGGCGTGCACGTGTGTGCAGCTGCACCCTCAATTTCCATCCAAAAACATAGGCGTGCATTGGCAAACATATCTTTTTGCACCCTATAATCCATCTTCATTCAAAACTCGAAAGAGCGTCAAAAATAATGACGAAATTACTTCAGCCACTTTTTTGGTCAGGTCAAAGTGAAGGTGAAGGTGATGGTGAAGGCCAAATTTCGCCGATTTTCAGGTCGAATATCGACAGTTTACAAGATGCCGACGAATAACTCGGGAACCAATTAGAGCTACAGCACCGCGGAAAACGCATTTGATAGCCATATTAGCATGCTTTCTGGTTATTTCTCTTAGATTTGACCTATCGTCAACGGTTTTGCCTGCAAGGGGCAAAAACTACCAAATTAGACGATTTTTTTCGTGAACAGTTTTTCTGCAATAACTTCTGAATCATGCCTTGCACGAGCTTTCTTTTACCGACATCGTGTTCCTCTCGTCAAGACGCATCAAATTAACTACAATCTGACTTTGAAGGTCACCTTGAAAATTCGACCTCAGGACAAGGTCATGATCTGACCGGAAATTGTCATGTTGCATGTCAGTCGATCTGCATCGTCGAGCCAAACACAACTAAGGCATTTTCATCGCTCTAGCATGCCTCTTTCAAAAGTTATTCGCGAAAAACTGTTAGATGCCATTCGTGAACTGAGATGACCTCAGGGGCATAAACAAGGGTCACTGTTGCTATTTTCATTTTTAGTGTGTCAAAGTCACGTACAGTGTTTTATAGTGTTTAGAATAACTTTTGTCCAAAAGAGGTGGTTTTGAATTTTCTCCCATTGACTTATAATAGAGGTCGCAAAATTGAGCTGACCTTAGGTCACCGATATGAAAATTCCGAGATATAAATTTTGTACATGCTGTTGCCCTTATCAATCGCTGAAAGTTTCAAAGCGATCGGTCACTCGGTGTAGCTACGGCATACATTGAAACATTTTATGAGGTGAAGTCACTTGAAGTTGAAGTGACCTGGTGACCTGATCTTGAATGACTTTGGTCTGAACTTTTTACAACACGTGTAGAATTGATGGATGATGGAGCGCCGCCGTTTTTGAGATATCCGCGAAAAACCGCAGGAAAAACCGCATGGGTGTTCAAACCCCCCCCCCCCCCAGCAGGGCGCCAACACACTTTGACGATTTGCCCCAGTAGTCGAAATTCCTTAGCCGAGGCCCTGTTGCAACGTACCGCAGATGACACATGCATTGAAATCTACTACCTGTCGTTATGTCGTGGTTGTCACGGGCAACACAGCGTTCACCGAAAAGATGCTTCCTTAGCCGCACGCAAGAACCGTATAAACTTGCTAAAAGTGACAAATGTTTAGAGCAGTGGATGCAGTGGCGATCGAGGAAATAAGTAGTGTGTTTTTGATTGATAGGCCTTAGTAATCCAACTTTAGCTCCTTCATTTTCAAAAACATGAAAATAACGAAACGTTCCATGCAGAGTTGTAGGTGTAGGTTCAAATTGACCCATTGACAGTCAAAACAAAACCATAAACGCGCGGCACTTGACCATCAATCCACGACACGATTATATGCTACGCACTTCACTCGCGCTGTGCCGTTTTATTCGGCGATCAATGTGTAGCGCTCGTCCGACAGGTGGTGTGTTGGCGTGGTGTGTTCGCTCTGTCTCTGTGGGCGGGGACTGCGATCCGCCCCGCCGGCGACCGGTCGTGTCGTCGTCAGCGGCTCAAATCGACTCCGACGACCGACTTTGGACAGGTGTTCGGCCTGAGCGGGGGAGGGGCACGGGAGGGGGACAGGTTAGGTCTGAGGGAGGTCGGGAGGGCTAAGGACGCTTATGTAAAGCTGGTGTGTCATAAACGAAGCTATAAATACGGACGAACGTGGTGGTGGTGGTGTGTCATAAACGAAGCTATAAATACGGACGAACGGTGTGTGACTGCGACCGTGTGTGCCGGCCCAGATGACCGCTAAACAAACTTACTACGGAATGGCACGGATACAGACCCAAGTTTGTACGCACCTTCAGGGCCTCCTTTTCCTCGTTTGCCGCCAGGATTTGTTCGGTCAGGAAAGTAATGCGTTTTTCCAGTTCAGCATTCTGCCCCTGCCAAAACAGACACAATGTGTTACGATGAGTTTGGGTGATGTTGACTTAGGCAGATTATCTTACAAACAAGTGACATACGTACCTATGTATGTCACTTGTTTAACCTATGCTTATAGGTTATTTACATATATCCACATTCGGTTACAAAGCGCAACTACACTGTGATGATTTCTGAATTCTGAATATTGCAAAAGCATAAAAATCAACAACCAAACATATCGTTGACATATAAGGTAACTTCGACAGCCCCAGTCGTTCAGAGCATGGCCATCTGACCATCTGACCTTGGTCATTAGGAGGTCCTCAGTGAACTGCTGGAACCGAGTCTGCACTCGGGTGAGGACGGAGCCTGGGGAGCCCGCAGGTCCTCCCGAGGACGCAGGACCCTCCTCCCCGTCCTCCGGCTCCTCGTGGTGGTGGTGCCCCTGGTGCTGGTGCTGCCGCTCCTGGTGCTTGTCAGACGGTTCATACAGGACATCCTGCTGTCCCGGCTCAGTTTCACAGTCCATTACTGGACGGTGGTATTGAAGGGACGCCGCAGAACTGGCTGAAGGAAGAGGAACACTGCTTAGCTGAGCTGACGGAACAGACAGAGCACACAGTGATAGGAATGTCGGGGAAATTATATATTACCGGACATACTACACTCTACAGAGCAGGGGTGGCAGGGGAGGGGTGGCTGAACGGATAGGCGTCCTTTACTGAATCAAGAGAGCTTTACCCGACCCAGCCCAACTCTACTACTGATCATTTGTACATAGCAAATAATGCGCTGTGCAGTGTGCAATGTGCATGTCTGCCTGACGACAGCGATAGCAGCGATGGCAATCAATCAGCTGCACGTGGCATGCGGAAACCAAGTCCACTGTGCCGTTCTGCAATAAGAAAAAAAAAACATTTGCTGTGCACCTGCAGATCTATTGTCCGGATCTACCATCAGCATATATTCACATCGTAGATGGCTAAACAACATACGAAAGGAAGAGGCCAGAAAGTAATGTCATTTTCCCAGAAAGCGATTTGCATGACTAGAGCAAGACACAGAAATTAACAGGAATAGTTAGGTTTGCAAGTGATTTACTTCCGGTAGATAACGCCCAGTTTCAAAGCCAGGGACTGGGGTCGCCGTCGTCAGATCCAAAGCAGACTAACCAGTGTTTTATGAGGGTTGCATCGCCGCAAATACAGTGTGGATTGTGGAGCAGGGAGCGGGGGGGGGGATCTGAAATTAAATGTAATTATTTGCAAGTATGTTTTAGTGTGGCTGTACCCTACAACCTGCGCTTACACAACCTTCAGGCGCTTGCTCAACTATCGCGCTTTCGCAGCGCTGCCAATGTCATACCCTGCTCCACGTTCTATGATTAAGTATGAATGTTTGAGAAATAATTACGACGGGTCTTCCGGAAGATCGCAAGTGCAATTGGCGCAACTTAAGATCGCCAAATTACCCTTCGCAGCTGTGAGCATAGGTAAATTTAATGTAACTCATGAACACTGAAGAGCTAACTCTATACAAACCCTGGTTATTTCTAAAATAATGCTAAATCGTATGCTATGCTCTATATGCATACTCAGCGCAATCCAAATGCTTCAACTAATTTCCCAACTCCCTTGATTTGAAAGGCCTTGCCAGCGCCAAGAGCTGATTCCGACAGGGACGTTCTCTCCCTCATCAGCTCATTACGGCCCTGACCGTCTGCCAGGGGCAGGGCGACGGTCAATATTTCAGGGTCGCCGGCCGGTGTCGCAGCGCCGTGGGGCGGCCATCGAACCGTTTCTGTTGACCGGTCACCATGGCGGCACGGGGCGGCCGGCTGCTGCGCGGTGGTCCGGCCCGGAACCACGCGCTGGGCCGCCGCAGCCGGCCGCCAGCCGCCGCGCCGAGACCGCGCCGCCCCGCACCGCCAGCATGTGAGTACCGTAGTGAGCTCGCACATGCGACAGCCGCTGTCGCATGTCGGCAGCCGTTGTTGTACATACTCGCTGTCGGACAGCGGGTATCACAGCGCGCCAGTGAAAGCATGTGAGTAACAGCGACAACATGTGAGCATTACGATGGGCCACGGTGGCAGCCAAGCACCGCACCAGGCCAAACTGACATCATACTATATTGCGAGTAGGAGTACATACATATACTGTGCATGGCTAGACTGGAGGTGTGTGACGCTACCCGTGGCTAACATCATGCGAGTGTCCCGCCGGGCCAGACAAACAGCATCAGGAAGAAAATCGCTGGCGCGGAAGGATGGATTTGTACCGAGAAGGGCAGGACAGATTAACTTAGGCGAGCCGGCAAACGGAGATTCTGTTCTCGGCTGGTGTCAAGTTTAGATAAAGGATATATTCATGGTTGTTATGGAGAACTATGATACAATCTATGGATATTGGGAAACTTGTGCCTCAGCATAACGAAAAAAAAGTGAAGCAAGGCAAGTTATGGAGCTGTATTGCCGAGTTTTGCATTCTATACTCGTGAGCATTAATCAAAAGATTTACTTCTCAAATAAATAAAATTATGCAGGAAGTGTACAGCAATGAGCAACTGTGGAGATTGAGTTAGAATAGCAGGACATTCGAGTATGCAGACGGCCAGTGTTTCACAACAGGTCAACGGCTACACGTCACATGGCGTGTGCTTGCGAATTCCCACTAGCCTGTTCTACTACTACAACATAAATCACGGTTCAACAGCTGCGCCTGAGGCGAGGCGGCAACGTACGACCCACGTCGGCTCATAGACACAGCCTAGGGCGATTCGATCCCTACGACTCGGAGTGGCCCAGTCACAACGGCTGGGAACGGTGGGCCTTGGGTGTAAAGGATGGAAAAAGACGAGCTCATGAGATGCAATTGAATTTAATTGATTGGAATTGTCGAAACAAAGCCCAGTGGAATACAAATGACAGCAAGCACGCCACACGGAGCTGTGTTGTACCAAGATACCTATAAGAAACATTTAAGTGTCATACTACCACACAGATCTGAGGCGTGCAACCCGTAAGAGCGCTGAATAGTGAATATGTATCGTGTAGTGTAATAATGCCTATAAGCAGGGGCGTCGCCACGGATTTTTGACTGGGGGGGACGGATTGGCTGACTAAAAACCCAAAAGTTAGTTAGTTTACCGTACAATTTCGGGCCTATGCACTACTTGTAACGCATACACAATACACATGTTCTCATGTTCTCGCGTGGAGGCGTTATTAGTCACACTCTTTTCTACCTGTGCATGAATTGGCGGCGCGAAGCGCCGCGAAATTTGGCAAAAACTCTTGGCATAACACTCCCAAAACGTATAAATTTTGCATCCCGCGTAATAAGTTTGATACCAGGACAGTTAGGGTCTGGTCACCAAGTCCAGCAGCCCTGCCTCTAAAAAATCGTGTGGTCCTCTGTAAACCGCTGTTAACCATAGGTACAGCTTTTTTCCAACTTCTGTGCAGTGGAGCTGCAGGACTGCGGTGTCGGAGTCGACTTCGGTCGTAGTCGACGGTTTTGGTCGGATACGGAGTTGGAGTCACCAAAATCGTATAACAGACCTCAACTCTGAAGTCAGAGTCAACGTCATCCCCGAGGATGGGTCGAATAAGAGCTGGAGATTCTGTTGGCTGTGGTGATTGTAGGGGTCATGGTAAGACCAATGTAGGGGCATACTGAGCATTACGTCCTCCTGGGCTCTCTCAGACCAGGACGAGGTCCTCTCACCCTCAAGCATCAAACGTTCAAAGGCCATGGTGAGACCTTCTGCTGTCGGATGGCCTCGAACGGGAAGAGGGCCGTTTGAGAGTGAGCTGAAGGTCTTGACTATTACGAATATCCTATGTAAAATGTGTGGTCTCTGCAAGCTGTTGTCCTACTGCACTCTGAGACTTTGGGACTGATCTTCAGCCCTTGTTGGATATGGTCGCCCCTACAACTGGAGCTTTGGCTCCCTATCGAGGACCTGGGAAGTGGGACGGACAGTCCAGAGCTGCACCTCGTAGGCAATGTTATCTTTTAACGTGCCAAGAAACGTTCAAAGAGACAAAAGCATCACATCACATGTTTTTTTCACTCCGATGCGGGCCGAAGGATGCCGTGGTCGGAGATGGAGTGGGGACTCCGAGCGTTTTTTTTTTTTTAAGCCGGAGTCGGAGTTACCAAAATCATCTACTCCGCAGCCCTGTAAGCAAGGGTACAGTGTCAGCAATTCGCAGATTCAATTTGTTTACGAGTAGGTATCCGCAATTTCATCCCAAAACGACAATACACCAATGTCGTAGGTCACTTTTTAAATCATTCATGGGGATATTTTTGCGGGGGACGTCCCCCCCGGATTCCTCGACTGGGGGGGACGCGTCCCCCCCGTCCCCCCCGGTTTCGACGCCCATGCCTATAAGTTATCTGTTGATCTCGAGAGAGGTGATATCAATCACCTCAAACGATACGGGAAAGGGGCATCTCAAGATCGATTGCAAAAAAAAAACTTACGAACCGGATTTCGCTTCCTGTCCTAATGTATGCAATGCCTTGTAATTCAAGGCAAACTTTTCCCCATGAAAGTTGTTTTGGTTTTTCTTCTATTGGATGATCTGATCTCAGCATGATCTGTGCGTAGATCTCACTGCATGCGAACGCCTTGATGCGAACTGCACTGCACAGGTGACCACTGATCCAGATGATTCACTTATTAGGTATTTAGGCATAAGTAACACACTATTAACCCGCTCCGGGCGGGGGGGGGGGGTGTTTGTACACCACCCCTGCGGTTTTTCGCAGATCCGCTTTTGGCACACCTGTTCGCGCATGTTTTCCGCACATGTTGGGAAAATTCCAGACCCAAGTCGCCTTAGGTCAGGTCACCAGGTCACGCCAAGTGACCTCACCTCAGAAAAAAATAAGAATGCTCGTCATAGCTACACTGACTGATCGATTGCCTTACAACTTTCAGCGATTGGTAAGAGCAACATTATCTATAAAATGTATATCTCGGAATTTTTATATCGGTGACCTAAGGTCAGGTCAATTTTGCGGCCTCTCCATTATAAATCAATCGGAGAAAATTGAAAAGTCTGTTTTGCACGAACGCTATTCTAGACACTCTCAAACATCAAGATGTGGGTAAAATTGACACACTGAGCCGGAAAATGGCAACTGTGACCCCTCGTTATGTCCCCGGGGTCATCTCAGGTCACGAACAGAACCTAATAGTTTTTCGCTAATAACTTCTGATAGAGGCGTGCTAGAGCACTGAAAACGCCTTAGATGTGTTCGGCTCGACGTGGCGGATCGACTGATATGCAACATGACCTTTTCCGGTCAGGTCATGACCTTGACCTGAGGTCAAATTTTCAAGTTGACCTTTCAAGATCAAATTATAGTTCATTCGACGTGTCTCGACGAGAGGAAAACGATGCTGGCAAAAGTAATGCCATGGCTCTTTTGAGTCAAAAGTTATTGCCGAAAAAAACGTTTTTCGTAAAAACGGCTATTTTTGGAGTTTTGCACTCTGGAGGCTAAACCGTTGACCTGAGGTCAAATCTGAGATCAATACTCAGAAATGTCTGTAAAAGAAAGGGCTATCGAATGCGCTTTTCCGCGGCGCTGTAGCTGACCGAAGTGTTTTCGACCTTATTTTGGACGTTCTTTCGATTGCCGCTTACCGCGTGTCGCTACGTGGCCCAGGAGCCGAGTTAGAAGGGAGGGTGTTCAGACACACACCCCCGGTCCGACGCGGAATCTCGGAGCACCCGCCCGGCGCGAGTTAAAATTTTGACCTGCCACTTCATTGGATACATGAAAACACATCATTTTAATATCTAAAAATGAAATTTGGATTTGGACCAGAACATGTAAATAACTACGATCCCGGCGACCACGATCTCCCGGATCAATATTAATGGAATTAGGTATACGACTCATTAGATGGGCCATTTGATCAGATACATGCAAAATGCACACCTATGTTTAATGTTAATGATGTCGGCAACTACTTGGAGAATTATCTCGATTATCTCACCGTACAAAACGTAGAATTGGGATGAATTTGCAACCGCCTAAGCCTTGATAGGTAGGTACTGACACAGGAGGGTATAGGCTTCAGCGGTCAGGAAAACAGCCCGCATACACAAATTCAGGCAGTACCACTAAGCATTTGATGTCTTCTACCCACGAAGATGCCTTCTAATAATTCAAATTCCAGTCAGAATCAATCAATTATCAATATCACAATGCGAGCCACCAAATCGAAGAATCAAAAGCCCAAAGGCCAAAGCCTCCAAATTCAAGGACATGTGGTGAAAGCATGAAAGTAGGGAGTCCGATAAACAAAGTTTCTGTTTCAGACAAGTTTATCAAGAAGTTTAAAATATTACTCTTTCCTAGTTAGCAGTTCATATCGCACACACTAGATGGCACTTCAATGTTTTACCTTTCTGTTCATAGATGGCAATAGTAGTAAGCGCCTGAAACATATACTGCACCGCAGGGCTTCAAAGCTTGCGGTGCAGTATTTATCCATCGTTTATGCTTCAAACTGGCTTTGCTTCAATTTTGTCTTGTCACAAATGTGTACCGATGTTGACAGTTGAATCATAGATCATGGATCAGTGAAACATGGATGGAGACTGAACGATCCGAGGAACTTTAAAACCGGGCTATATTTCGGATTTATGTCTCCCCAGCAGCATCCATTACCATTTTACTGGATGCGGTAATTCTTGATAAATCCATAATTGCGCAGGAAAGGCATTTAATAGTAAAACTGCCGTAAATGTACACATATGTCGCAGAGCACCACAGGCTTGGCATCAAAGCTTTGCTGCTGCATAGAGGACAAGTTATGAACAGACTTAGGAAATAAGTCAACTTTATGGAAAATAACGTGCCAGTGTGTCAGTTCCAATGCAAACAGTAATATGATGCATTGTGTAACGCATTAAGGTGAAGGAAGCGCAATAAATTTCGTGATTGCACTTTATCTATTAAAAATAGCATTATCCATGGTATAGGTGGAAGTGTAAGTGAATCGATGACAAAATGTTTCCCTTACAACGATCTCCATCTCATTTCAGGCTTCCATGACGTTTCCTAACACATGAGAATGGGATGTAGACAGTCGAAAGATGGCAAGAGCATCTATGAAAAGGAGTCCTTAGGTAAGCATTTTGATGTGAGCTACCTATGTTAATTGTGTGTTAAGGTTTTACGCTCAAAAGCACATAACCATGTTATGCTCATTGGAAAGTATTTTTTGACTCTCGATAGTTACTATCGAATGATCTAATGAGATGTTATGTACGTAGTACCATGATGGATTCCTACACTTCATATCGATACGCTGTTAATAATTAACCCGCGCCGTGCTGGGGGGGGCGTTTTTACGCCCCCCCCTCAGGTTTTTCGCGAATATCTCAAAAACGGCGGCGCGCAGCGCCGCCGTTTTTGGTACACGTGTTCCTACATCATTTCCGCACATGTTGTGAAAATTTCAGACCTAGGCCGTTCAAGGTCAGGTCACCAGGTCACGTCAAGTGACCTTACCTCAGAAAAAGTTCAAAGGCTCGCTATAGCTACACCGACTGAACGATCACTTTGAAACTTTCAGCGATTGATATGAGTAACAGTATGTATAAAATGTATATCTCGGATTTTTGATATCTGTGACCTAAGGTCAGGTCAATTTTGCGACCTCTCCATTATAAGTCAATGGGAGAAAATTGAAATGCGCCTCTTTTGGACGAATATCGTTCAAAACGCTCTCAAACATCGGTTCATAGGTAAACATGACACACTGAATAGGAAAAATGCACCTGTGACCCCTATGTGTGCCCCTGAGGTCATCTCAGGTCATGAACGGTCGCCAGCAGTTTTTTGGCTATAACTTTTGATAGAGACGTGCTAGAGCGGTGAAAACACGTCAGATGTGTTCAGCTCGACGATACGGATCGACTGATATGCAACATGACCCTTTTCGGTCAGGTCATGACCTTGACCTGAGGTCAAATTTTCAAAATGACCTTTCAAGGTCAACAAATAGTTCATTCGACGCGTCTCGACGAGAGGAACACGATGCTGGCAAAAGTAATGTCATGGCGCTTATGAGTCAAAAGTTATTGACGAAAAAACGTTTTTCGTAAAAACGGCTATTTTTGGAGTTTTTGCCCTCTGGAGGCTAAACCGTTGACCTGAGGTCAAATCTGAGAACATTACTCAGAAAGGTCTGTAAAAGGGCTATCGAATGCGCTTTTCCGCGGCGCTGTAGCTCTATCGGTTCCCGAGATAGCCGTTGGCAGTTTCCAAAATGTTGAAATAGTCAACATTTTACCTTTGGTGACCTCTGGTGACCTGACCTTTGACCTGACCCAAAAAATGACCGAAGTGTTTTCGTCCTTTTTTTGACGCTCTTTCGATTGCCGCTTACCGCGTGTCGCTACGTGGCCCAGGAGCCGAGTTAGACGGGGGGGCGTGAAAACGCCCCCCCCCCCAGCACTCGGCGGAAAGTTCAGGCCACCAGCACGGCGCGGGTTAATATTTTCGGGCCTATTTAAGGACTCGTTATCTGACGCGCTGTGTTAAATTCTAAGTTGATGGCATTTTGCGGCTCACTGCCTTCTTCATATATCAATGTTGAACTCGGCATTAACTAAGATAACCACTCAAATAAAACTAAAACATTTGCAATGCTTGATAATGCTTCAGTTAGTTTCGCTTTGCATCTCCAGTTATTGATGCTTTGCATCACCTGACACACGCTTTATTTCATATGTGCCAACCAGAGGCAGGTAAGATGTGCTTTTCCGCTGTGCTATAGAGCGTTGTGCCTCGCGAATTTTCCAGTAGGCATCGTGTGTACATATTGTGAAAGCACCGATTTTAGCATGTTTGTGTGACTCACTCGTTGGTGAGTTACGCTTTTGATAACCGGCTTTGAATTTGTGCGGCCTCTGAAGAAGGTGAGTAGAATATCCCAGCAAAGTTTGATTTTTTTTCATTGAGATAACGTTTAACTTTGCTTTGTACCTATTCTGCTGGTGAAACTATTAAAGCTTAGGCATATAGGAAAATGAAACATTTAGCAGGATTACAATCAAAATATTTATCAATTGCATGCATGTATCATATAATGCATTGCACTGTGAAGTTATGCATTTTATGCAGCGATTTTCCCAAAAACCGTTTTGTGACATAATTTCTTCTTGTGTGTGAGAATATTGGCTATGTTGCAATACTCTAACAGGCTTACAAAAGTAGATGTTTACTTTATATCTGAGCTGTTTTGGGTATTTACGAGAGATTTGTGAACTTTGTATTGTCTCAGCGTCAAATACTGTCGTCAATTGGCTGTCAATTGTCCGTCTAATGTCTCTTTCAACTGTTGCTATCGACCCGGTCTACTGCGTTACGGAGGTATTATAGTCAATCTGTCAGCCCGCCAATCCCTTCGCGGCAAACCAATCCTAGGTCAATCTGAACTGAGCCAACAATACCCGGTTTGTGCAAACTAACGTGTTCTTTCTGACATGCCGCCAATCAATACGAGTATATCCTTCGCTTTCATTTACTGGCAATGCACATGAGCACATACTCTACAAGAACGAACAATGCTCCCATTCTGAACGAATAATTACTTAAGTTGTCCAGTCCCAACAATCTAACCAAATATATTACATAACTAATCTTGCGTGGCTAATCCTGTAAACAGCACACAATAAGCACAGCTATCCCCACCCTACCGTAACCATCGTACCCGGTCCAAACTAACGCCTTCTATCTGCCGCGATTCGTTCCTGTGTCTGGCCTCAGCCGAACATGAGGGAGCCATCAATTGCATGGGCCTGTCGGAGGATGGCTCCCTGCTGGTCACCGGCTCCGACGACTGGACAGCCCGCATGTGGAGCACCCAGACCGACGACACAGAGTGTCTCGGAGTGCTCGAGTGAGTGCCCGGCGGTGGGGCTGGGGGTTGGGGGGGGGGGGTATTTCGGCGTGCGCGGAGGAATGAGAGTCTGGTGGAGAGGGTAGTATCTCGGCATGACTGAGTGTCTGGTTATGGGGAGAGAGTGTGGTGGGCGGCGGCTTTGGTGTGCCTGACTAGTGACTAGGAAGAAAGTGTTCGGTGTGAGTGTGCTGGGGATGGAGTGTGTGCTTTACAAGGAGGAGTGGGCAGTGAAATAAGACTTCCAGTAGGGGTTACAAGCGGGCAAGTGAGTAATAAGCTGCATGTGTTTGACGACGATATAGTGAAATAATTGGATGGCGGAGTAATGAAAGGATTAGCTGCAGAAAATAATGCCAGATATACTACAAAAGGTGGCACGATGCTTTCAGCGATAACATACTATTTCCTAAGACAAATTATGTGTAAAGCTTCATGCTGCGCAGTACGCGGGCTTTACCTTTCGGCTTCAATAGCCAATAGCCGATTCAATAGCCAGACACTAGACAGTGGTGATACAACTAACAAAAATCACCGCGAGCAGCCAGCTTTCCATTCACTCTATTCGTCGGCGCAATCACGGTACCCGATATGCTTTCGTTCCGAGAAATATATACGCAAAAGCTGTGAGTAGCTCTTTCAAAGGACTATTGAGCCTCCATGTGTGGTGATTTTGTTTGTTTTGTTTGTTTTGTTGGGTTAGGCCCTTTCGGTCGACAAGACCATTGCAGAGCCGGAAGGATGATAGGAATTAGGGGGAGACATTGGTCTGGGCAGGCACCCTAGAGAGTCGCCGGGGCTGAGCCCGTCCATAGGACAAGCCGACCAGCCCCCCAAGCACTCTCTGCACCCGGCTACGGGGTACAGCTCCCTCGGGAGCAGCGGTGCCGCTCCAAGGGAGCAGCCCGCATGAGATAAAGTTGCCTGTCCAGCCCGGAAGGGGGTTGTGGCGTGGAGGAGAAGGATTTCAGTATCCTGAGGATAGAAGCACGGATAGGTGTGATGTGTGGTGAATCAGCCAATGGCTGTCAGACCACAGCAATAGGTGTTTGTGGCTTCAATGGGAACGTCTCCATATGAACCACATCGACCTTGCCCGCCACCGCGGCAGCCGAGTCCCGTGTTTTTACTACTGACTAGCCAATAGACATTGGGGTGCGCCACCGATCACGAGCGTGCATGACTGCCTGTCATAATGTTCACAACGACAAGCATTGTAAAAGCGATAAATGCAATCATATCGCAATGCAAACTGCAATAACGGGTTCCTGACTACACCTAGTTATTGTGCAGCGTCATATTCAGCATGCATTAGTTACAGACATGCATAAATGAAACATAAATAACCCGGCCGGGCCCGGGGGGTAATTCCAACCACCGCAGCCCGGGGGGGGGGCGTTTTTCGCCCCCCCCCTGTCTAACTCCGTAAATAAGGGAGCTACGGAAACAAAAGCGATACCAAACGAAAGGTCCTTACGAGACGATTCTAAAGCACCTAAATTTTTTGACCTCAGGTCAATCTTCAAGGTCAGAGGTCAAGGTCAAAGACAAAAACCAACACATGTGTAGTGATCTCAATGTAAGCGCTCTAGAGGACGACAGGATGCATAAAACCGGCAAAATTGGGTGTCAAAAGAAAGAAGAGAATCTGAGGATTCCAAAAATGTGCTCAAAATCAAAGGTCAAGGTCAAGATCATGCTCAAAATTGACCTCAAACTTTGCACTTTTTCGTACATCTTACGTGCTAACTTCCAAGATGTTTTGAAATGTTTTGAGGCTTATCAGGACCCTATTTGTTGTTCATCTTACGATACAAGGCTGCTCAAAGGTCAAGGTCACAGAAGAGTATCCTTACTAGAGGCTATTTCACTGATTCAAATTAGTAGTAATAAATAAGACAATTTGGCCGTCCGGAGGCTCTAAATGAAGGCTTAGAGGAATATAGATGCCAGATTCGTGATCAGCGGGTATGAATCCATCATAAGCGACCTTTCATGTGTCAAGGTCAACCAAAGGTCATTCGAGGTCACATATAAGGTCAACATAAAATTTGACCTTTTCCAAATAAAATATATATATTTCGACGCGGCTTGACAAGGCGAATGCGATGGTACCACTGCCGTAGCTCTAGGACCATTTTTGTCGAAGTTATTTGCGAAAAACTAAAACCACATTTCGGGGTCGTTGACCTGACCTCTGACCTCAGGTCACCAAAACTATTTTTATATTTTTCTCTAGGTCAAACGCTACACAACCGTGCTCGTAATTTGTCTTTATCTCTAAAACTCTATTTTTAGCAGCTATTTGAAGTTCGCGTCCGTGACGCCGAAGTTTGCCGTGCAGGGGTCTAGAAAAATCGACCCTGTGACGTCATCAAGAGGGTTAGGTCCAAATTTTTTACTTCAGAAGATGTCAAATTGATGGGAGAAAAGGTACTGAAAGTGTCGCCTTCCTATCCCTGAGCGTTCAGGAGCTATCGCAAATATTCGCCAGGGGGGGGGGGGCGAAAAACGCCCCCCCCCCGGGCCCGCGAGGGATAATGTTTGATGTGCAAGTGCGTTGAAAGAATTAACGTTTTTAGGTCAAGTTGTTTGAACAGCAAATTATCAACCAAAGTAAAAGAAAAGCACAGCACAATGTTTTACATTTTCTCCGTTTTGCCTTAACCCGCGCCCTGCTGGGGGGGGGTGTTTGAACACCCCCCCTTGTGGTTTTTCGCGAATATCTCAAAAACGGCGGCGCGGAGCGCCGCCGTTTTTGGTACACCTTATCGTACATCAATTCTACACATGTTGTGAAAATTTCAGACCAAGGTCATTCAAGGTCAGGTCACCAGGTCACTTGAAGTGACCTCACCTCATAAAAAGTTTCAATGTCTGTCATAGCTACACCGAGTGACCGATCGCTTTGAAACTTTCAGCGATTGCTAAGAGCAATAGCATGTACAAAATGTATATCTCAGAATTTTGATATCGATGACCTAAGGTCAGGTCAATTTTGCGACCTCCCCATTATAAGTCAATGGGAGAAAATTGAAATGCGCCTCTTTTGGACAAAAGACATTATAAACACTCCCAAACACCGAATTACAAGTGCTTTAGACACACTGAACATGAAAATGTTGTCCGTGACCCTTGTTTATGCCCTGAGGTCATCTTAGGTCACGAATGGCATCTAACAGTTTTTTGCAAATAACTTTTGATAGAGGCATGCTAGAGCGATGAAAACGCCTTAGATGTGTTCAGCTCGACGATACGGATCGACTGATATGCAACATGACCCTTTCCGGTCAGGTCATGACCTTGACCTGAGGTCAAATTTTCAAGTTGACCTTTCAAGGTCAACTTATAGTTCATTCGATGCGTCTTGACGAGAGGAACACAATGCCGGTAAAGGTAAGCTCGTACAAGGCTTGGGTCAAAAGTTATTGCAGAAAAACTGTTTCCGAAAAAATCGGCTATTTTTGCAATTTTTGCCCCCTGCAGGCAAAACCGTTGACGTTAGGTCAAATCTGAGAGAATTACTCAGAAAGGGCTTTAATAGGGCTATCGAATGCGCTTTTCCGCGGCGCTGTAGCTCTATTGGTTCTCGAGTTATGCGTTGGCTTCTTGGAAATTTTCGACATTCGACCTGGAAATCGGCGAAATTTTGCCTTCAATGACCTCTGGTGACCTGACCTTTGACCTGACCAAAAAATTGACCGAAGTGATTTCGTCATTATTTTTTACGCTCTTTCGAACGCCGCCTTCCGCGTATCGCTACGTGGCCCAGGAGCCGAGTTACAAGGGGGGGTGTTCAAACACCCCCCCCCCCCCCAGCAGGGCGTGGAAATCCAGGACCCCCAGCCGGGCGCGGGTTAAAAGAATCACTGAATCTAAGCAGCGTTTCTCTCCCTCACTCCCACCCTCTCTCTCTCTCTCTCTCTCTCTCTCTCTTTCTCTCTCTCTCTCTCTCTCTCTCTCTCTCTCTCTCTCTCTCTCTCTCTCTCTCTCTCTCTGTCCCTCTCTCTCTCTCTCCGCAGAGGTCACGAGAACTCGGTGACCTGTGTCGCGCTGTCCGATACGTTCGTCATCACAGGCTCGTCAGACACCACCATCCGAAAATGGGACATGACCAGATGCGAGTGCATCTTCATCTACGAAGGCAAGTGTGTTACCTAAGAGAAGGAAGCACATATGCTACAAATAGACAGCAGTCACTCGGTACCCTTGGCTGAGCAGTGAGCTTATCCGAGTGCGTTACCTTTAGTGTGGCTTTGTCACTGTCACCACAGCGGCCAGTGCTGCCTATCGCAGGCTCCTATGATTATTTCGATTTCTATCGCTGTCTGACCAGTGACCTTTGACCCACACAGGTCACACCGCGCGCATCAACCGACTGATCTGCACCGGGGAGTTCATCTTCTCCGCCTCCAGCGACAGAACATCGCGGGCCTGGATCTACGACACTGACGCCCTGAGTCAAATTAACGACGCCAAAGCTTGCATCAAGACGTTTAAGGTATGCACGTTAGCTCATAGTGCTGCTTCGGTGGAATAAGGAATAGTTAAGACGTTGAAAAAAATAGATTTTCTTCGCCTGGGACATCTTCAAATATAAATAAATGGTGTGGATATTATTGTCAAAAACAGAAACATCAATCGCGAAGCAAACTTTGGCCTACTTTAACCTTATATATCACCACCGACCGCGTTTCAGGGTCATCGGCACGGGATTCACGCGCTCATCTTCCTCTCTGGAGACGCGCACGGCAGCAGTGACACGGATGACGAGAGGGACGAGGAACTGGTGGCTGACGACACCGTCACCATTCATCCTGGCGACCGGCTCATCACAGGCTCCATGGATACCACAGCCAAATCGTGGAACGTCGACACCGGGCAACTGATCCACGTACGGGTAGCACAGAGCGCTGGGATATTGACAGAGCGACCTAGCGGGAAGCCATTCATTGTGTTCAATAGCACTGTAACTTGTACGAGTAACCACTGTACCTAATAGGGTTTGTTAAACGTTGTTAAACCCCACGCGCCCGTCTTTATGCAATTCGCAGACATTCAGAGGTCACAAGGGACCTATCGTCTGCATGACGACTGATGAAGATGCAGAGACCCTCTTTACGGCCGGCGAGGACCACGCTATCAAAATCTGGGATATCTCCAATGGGATGCTGATCCGGGTAAGAAAATAATGCGCCAGCCACTTGTGTAAGACTTGTATCGGGCATATCTTAGAGGCTATTCATCTGTGAGGTAGAAAGATATCTAGAATTGAAGAGGAAACGAAGCCTCAATTATGCCACTTGATATCGATTCGCGCAAAGCCGATCCAAAGAGTTAGAGAGTATGATATAAAAGCTGAATCGAACCATTCGCTTAACTTTCACATCCTATCTTACGCTGGATTCGTTGCAAGCTATGGAAACACAAGACAGCTATTTGATCCGTTTATAGGCAACACAAGAGTGCTAAGTCGTTGAACGATGCATTTACATTCGTTTGCTTGGGCCAGCCCTTGGCCATAACGGCTGTAGTAACGTTTAACTTACACGATTTTGCCCTGAATCCCGAACCACATAAATGAAAGTTTACATCATTATCGGCTTTTCAGACTATGGACGGTCACGCGGATGCCATCCTCTGCATGCAAGTGGTGAAGAAGCTGCTGTACACGGGCTCCAAGGACAAGACGGCGCGCTGCTGGGTGACCGCCTTCGGCGAGAACACGCGCACCTATCAGAAGAGTCAGCACTCGGTCAGCTGCCTCAAGGTCGCCAACGGCGTCGGTAAGATATAACCGTGCAGGCCAACGCGGCTGAGCTGAGCTTGTCAAAGCTGAGTTCTAAAACAGTAGCAGTCCGAATAAAAATGATCATTTTATCAAAATAATCCGGCAGCTTAGGTTGTTCCCGAGGCGTTCTTATGACACTTGGCATAGATAACATGAACTTATGACATATATTTGTGTTATCTATGCATTTGATAATTGTTTGTATTATATGTATGGTCTTTGGCAGTACTTTTTGGACCCCTAAAAGATCAAGATTTATGACGAAAGCGTTTATTAAATTAATTCCCTGTTAATTGAACCTCGTGCGGAAAAAGATCATGATTGTATTTTGTAAATTTCCGATGCACATTTTGCACTGTACGCATGGCAATGTGAAATTAAAACACCGTTTTGTCCACAGTGTTCACCGGCAGCGGCGACACGCACGCGCGGGCGTACGACGCCAAGTCGGGTGCCCTGAAGCGCACCTACACCGGCCATGGCTCGGCAATCAGCTGTCTGCAGTGGATCAACCACAAACTGTACACCGGCTCCAACGACGGTGTGCTCAAAGTCTGGGACGCCAGAGATATCGCGTGAGTGGGGCCACCGATATGTAGATGAAGGATGGGCGCCAGGCGAGTAGAAATATGGCCACCCAAACTTCATTGCTTCTTCTTCTTTGGCTGTTTTTTTTTTCGCCAAATGGTGACTGAAATGTGCATGGTCAATTAAAGCATTTAGTATAGTATGGGTGTTTAATCCTCATTCTAAAAACACTCCTCAAATTGAATTGCAAAAATTGTCTCATCTTAGGTCAAACTATATTAACTACTCATTTGTACAGACCTTAGAACGACCTTCCCCGTCCTCAGCGATAACCTTGCTCCCGTCCACATCGACGACTCTTCCCGTCCTACATAGCGACCTTTCTCTCAGCCTCTCATCCTCGTGATTTACTTTGCAATCGATCACGATGGCCTTCCTCTCCTTCCCAGCGATGATTTTACCCCATCTTTGTGGTAGTTCTCCCCCGTCCTCACGAGTCACGAATGACCTTTTTCTCATCCCATTAGCTTGTCCGTCCTCACTAATGACCATCATCTCGTTCCCAGCGATGACCCAGTGGTGAACGAGTCAGACTCCGACTCTGAAGAAGACGAGGACATGAAGGAGCTCAACAAGGAGAACAAAGTGCGGCTCCGCGAGCTGGAGCGACGGCTGGAGAACGTCGGCACCACAGACGACGAGATCAAGCAGATGGAGGACACCATGGCCGGCATACAGGACTACGATTAAACCAAGAGGTCGACTGGCCGAAATACAATAGAAGCCGCCGGTTATTCTGGCTTGATGTTGTGGAAAACAATTCTGGAAAAATCGAGAGCTCCTGAAAGCGCTGGCGCAAGGAGTTGCGATAGCTTATTGAATTCAGAATGTTGTTTTTCGCAAAACGAGCTCGGTTGTTACGATAGGTGCAGCAGAGTTGGTTATTTTTTACCCCAAATGTGAGACGCTTCCGTCTAGGGGTCGGCGCCGCGGGCGGGGTTGGCCCTTCTCGGTCGTGGGGGTCCACCTGAGACGTCCAGCACGACCGAGAGGCGACGGCGGCCGGTGGGCGGAGACGCTCGTGGGCAGGCGCGCCGCCGGCCGCCCCCGCCCCCGCCCAGAGTCTCCATAGGACAGAGCCGCGCCGACATGCTGCCGGCAGCGACGCGGGCCGCGACGGCCGGCGCCGCCCGCGACTCTGAGCTGAGCACCCGACACCAACCGAGACGGCCCGCCGCCGGCCGCCGCGCCCGCCCGCTGCCCATCGACGCTAATACATGTGTGCTGGATGTCGTACTCGAGCGTTTTCTTTTTCACTCGGAAGTCAGAGAGAAGCGATGGAAGAAGCAGTGGTTGTGGAGCAGTGAGAGCAACCGTTGAACGACCGGGATCGTATGACACACCCTCGTTAGACATGAGACGGCCCATAAATCGGAGTGTCGAATAGACGTAGCATCGGGTGTCCAGCGGGCAGGGCATCACGCGATGCACATGCTCGTACGGTACAGGAACATATTACTGGCTAATGTCAACATACCTACAGTAGTGACTAGTTTAATAGCCACAAAACACAATCGAGTTTCATCCACATCTGATGAAACGTGTGTCGTTCGATATGCGAATCTACCTTATGACCCTCGCCAGGCGAGGGCCTTACGGACGGCGAGGGGTTGGTTGTTTGGTACGACCCCCTCGCGATTGGCTCCTATGGCACTGAGGAAAGCCAAATTTAGAGGGTAGGTGGGTCCATAGGAGATCTCGCCCCTGTGAAAGTTTGGTGACTATAAGCAATATTTAGGGCTTTATTTTGGGGTTATGAGTGCAAAAATTTTGCTAAAACATGTCAAACGTTTTTCGCTTATAACTTTTTTACCTAGTAAAGATAGAGCAAAAATAAAAGCACCAGTGAACTCAGGACGTCCGTGTGCATCGAATGATATACTTTGTTACCAATTTAAGTGAATTCTGGAATTCAGTTGCCGCTAAGCTAGTCCAATTTTCCCCTGACCTTGTAACGGTTTTTGTGACCTGGTGACCTGACCTGAAAAGACTGGGACTTCACATTTTCAGGAAAGGTGCGAAAAGGTTGCCCCAGAGGATATGCAAATTTGGCGGCGCTACGCGCCGCCGTTTTACATTATTTGCGAAAAACCTTAGAGGGGGGGGGGGTGCATCAACCCCCCTCGCCGGGCGAGGGATGAATATCTTATCCTTCACGTACACCATTTAAAACAAGTTCAAAATAATGGGTAGGTCCTAGTATGAGTAGGTACTCGTTGATGAGACAGCTCGACAATGCGTTAAGCTCATTCCAAATACAACGGCATACCGACATTGAGCGAAGACACGATACTACGGATTTTCTCCGTGAACTGAGACATTGGCCGGCCGAGCTAGAAGTCGTGAGCTGGCTCAAACTGCTCCCAAATATATCAGGGCGTGCATAACTTCTCATCGGCCTGGTTAGCATCGATTTGCACCGCTGCGTACCTATTAGCCGTTTTCAAGACGGGCTATCCGGCGAATGCACCTGATTTTACCAAATCTGCACCTAATTTCTTTTACAGCAACTATCTTCATTTTATGAAATTATTTCAGTGTTTTTATCGATGATGCTCTCTGATAATATGGCAAAGCAGGTATATAAGCAATTAGTGCAACCCTAGCTGATAGCTGCTAAGAGACACACTGAACCCATGATTTGACCAAATCTGCACCTAATCTGTACCAGATGTGCACCAAATGTGTACCAGATGGCCGTCGTGAAAACGGCTATTATCGATATGGACCACATCCTGAACACACCACATTTTTGAGCCCGCAAACAGGCTCAGAAGCCTGTTGGAGGATCAGGAGCTCCCAACAGGCTCAGAAGGTCATCTATGGCAGACTGTAGTATCCACTGCTTGGACCACTGAGACGGGTGAAGACTGAAGGTCCTGATGTTAACCCGGCAGGCGGTGGGCCTACCAGCCACCTTCCGCGCGGTGGGGGGGGGGGGGCACTTTTTTGCCCCCCCCCGTATCTCCGAAACTACTGGACGGATCCGGAAAATTCAAACGGCGTTCGATAGCCCTGTCAAATTTGTCGACGGAAACCAAATTTCATTGACCTCGGGGTCACGATGACGTCACAGGTCAGGTCAAAGATAAAATGTTTCACCGTTCACGGGGCTTCTAGGGAAAGCGCTATAACACCGAGTAAAACGCATTTTGTCGAAAATCAGCGATAAGGCGTCAGTTGTCTAGTACATATGTTGCTATTAGAGGTCACTGGTCATACCAGGTCAGGTCACAGGTCAGGTCACCAAAGGTCACCAAGGGTCACCACATGAGCCCAACTTTACTAAGGTTATGCGATGCATGTTTTATGGCCAGTTTTTCATTTCCAACTCAATGGTGTTGGTTATAAGACCATCAGGTACGGTTTAGGTCACTTTCTGGTGGAGGTCAGGTCAAGGTCAGGTCAAAAAAGGTCAAATTTCAAAGTTGATATTTTTGCATAAAATGGGTATCGATTCGATGCAGCTCGTCACGGGGAGTCTAATGGTGGTCTTTGTTTTGCGCTACGAGGTCTAAACTTGCTAAAAATTGAGTTTGAAAATTTGACGTCATCAATTTTGAACAGTTTTTTCGCTATAACTTGGCCAAAAAAAGAGGTATCGATCTCAAATTTGGTATGTAGATAGAAGGCGGTAGGGGCTATCACACATATTCCGGTTTTTTCGAAATTCAAAAAACTTTTTGGATTTTTTGCCTATTATATTCAAAAAATCTATTGTTTGATTTTTTGGGTCAAAATCCAAAAAATTCGAAAAACCGAAACAGCAGTTTTGTAGCCCTTTTAATTCCACACCTTTTATGTCTGAAACATTTTTCTGTATCTCTAAAGCTGTAGGCCTGACAGCTCTTCCAGCGAAACCTTTTTTTGGGTCGAAAATGGCAAAAATGACGTCACTCTGACGTCATTAGCGGCCAACCTATCATAGCCTTTGGAAAAATTTTTGGTCACCACGTGCGCTAGCTGCTCCCGGGAGGGTACTGAAAGTTTGGTGACGATCGGCGCAGCGGTTCTCGAGATATATCGAAAAAACTAAAGGGGGGGGGCAAAAAAATGCCCCCCCCCCCACCGCCTGGAAGGTTAAATTCGGATAAGCATCCCGTCATTTGGACAGAACGATACATTTATTGCATGCAATTACCATATAAACTATGGAAAGGTCATCGCTTGATAAAGCAGGTGCCATGTATTATCACCTCGATTCTCTTGAATTATTGGACTTCAGAACCGTTTTCATTTATGAAGGTCAGCATTAAACTTACAGGGTGCGCAAAAAGTTCTGGCCCTCACAGTAAGCGCTCCTACGCGTGCTGCGGTTGCTTTTCGGGAAGCCAATAGCCGCACGCAATATCTTCAATGATCCTGCTACACAGCTAGATGTCGAACAAAGCAGACCATTAACGGCGAGTCATGGAGGCAGGCTAAACGTCACAGTGTCGTTGGATACCTGCGCGCGGCGGCCGAATCGGGCATGACTGCTGAACAGGTTGCAATGAAATTTTGAGCCCCCTGCGAACAATTACGCGTATCAAAGCCAAATACGAATAGGGGAGGTCCTGGAGGATGCCCCCAGGTCAGGCCGGTCACGTCCAGTCAAAACTCTGAGAATGTGACTGCCGTGTCTTACTTAGGCCATCCAGGACAGTCCACGGTCGGGCGGCAAAAAGCGTCCAATCGTCTTCATTAACGCCAATAAGAAGGTGAACGGGACGATGTATGAGCGTCTGCTTGACAGTGACGTCATCCCATGGAGCCTGAAGACGTATCCGAAAGTCGATTTCGTTTTCCAGCAGGACAGAACACCCGCAAACAACGCAAGTTCCATCCAGCACAAGCAAACGGAGGAGCTCGGGGGAGAGGCCAATTGCTGGCTTAATGAGATATTGCCCACTCAGTCACCCGACCTTGACTAAAGCTTCTAGAGCATTTTACAGGATGAGGCACAGGGAGTAGCCCATTCCAATTTGGAGGCCCTGAAGGCACACATCGTGAAGATGTGAAAGACGAAGGACCCCACCTACGTCATCAAAACATGCAAATCTTTCCGCCTCCGTGTGGAGGTCATTGCCGATAAGGGGGTTATATCGCGCATGAGGCGAGTGAAGGTATCTGGTTTGATAATGCAAACCAGTATTTGGTGTTAGCATTGATAATATTCACTCCGATTGCCTTCGTTTATCGAAGTACAGATAACAGAAATAGGCCAGAACTTTTTGCGCACCCTGTATGTGGCAGCGCCACTAGCGGCCAGTCAGCGAAGTGCAGTTGCAGAGCTGGCGGCCAGAGGTCGTAAAATGGTATGCACCGTATTTACAGTCCACCGTCTACCTTGCGCGCGCTTTTTTGCTCGTGTCAATGAACTTGGTCTTTCCCTTACACAAATCATTCAATACAAAGTTTGAAGACCCTAAGAAATAACCTGGTAAGCCTTCTCATCGAGCAAACACAATTACCTAGGCATCTACGATATCCTACAACCGTAACGATACCTAAGTAAGAGCCTGGAAATAACTAACGTTCAAAATAACTGTTGATTGTGATGGATGACACCATATCTGTAAAAATAGCAAAACAAACAAGGTTTTCCACACAAAATACATCTAGGGTGAAGTCGTATAAGAGTACGCACTTAGTGGATTTCTTGCTCTCATTTGTTTAATATTTGAAGGAAAGAAATCGCAAATAGGGAATATTAAAGTTCATTGAATTAGCCATCAACCCATGGGGCAACGATCCTTCAGCGTAAATGGAAGTGGTCTAAAACTGACATTTTCTGAACCGTTGCACTTGCGTACTCTTACCATATGGGGTGTGTAAGAGTACGCACGCCAGGCGGGTGGAGTACGCAAGCATATGAACACACACCTACCTATGCAGCTTGCACTGTCCAAATGCTTAACTTCAAACTCAGAAGGCATTTAAGTTAATTCTAGTATCCAAAAAGAAAAACATAAAATAAATCTTTCAAGTCTATAAATCAGGAAATAATCATGTCGTGTGTTTCTTTAAAAAAATGCACAATCAAAAAGGAGAATAACTCGTATTTGGAAGAATTTCGGGTACGCATTTGCATCACAGTGCTCCATTGATGATATACCTACAAAACAATCGTCATTGAGCGATAGATTAATAATTCTATATTTCTGTATATTCGATTTAATGTATAATTCTGCGTACTCTTACCCTCCTGAACAGTGCGTCCTCTTACCGTACATGCAATTCGCGCACAAAACAACCCCGAAACGTTGTGCAAAGCTTCGCAAACAGAATATTGCACTGTACAGTATTTCCCCAGATAACCTCACAAGTTTCCCACAACAATCACGGAAATGTACCTTGTCTCAACTGCCAAGTATCAAAATTATTGTACCATATCATAATAATATCATAACGCTCGAAAATAATATTCATCGCCTTAAACTCAACAGCGTCGCCGCTCAACGCCCACGTTCCGTTGGTGCCATGCACGCACTGGCGGCTTCATGTCACTTCATGAACTCGACAAACCCGCGTTGCTAAGCAACCGAAACAGCTGATGCGTACTCTTATCGCCCGCGTACTCTTACCCGCCCTTACCCTATATTGTGCTAAGCTAGTGCATATTACACAAGGTGAGACAGTCAATCCAATTATACACATTGGCTCATTGCACAGTGCACACCAAATAACACGCGCCCAATATCAGATGTTCGATATCCATGCATGATATTTGAACGCTCCCAGCAAGGTCGCTAGCTACGACAGTTACCCAACTTGGGGGGCCCACCAAAGCGCCCGATCGGGGGACGGTCGAGGCGACCCTCGTCAGGCGGTGCGAGTCGATGGACGTTCGACGGTGCCAGGTAACAGGGGCACAACACAGGTGCCGGGGCAGCGACACCAACACAGCCGACCCACGGACCGTCACGGAGCTGCGCGGTGTGACGGTGCGGCCGAAACTGCAGAGCTGCAGAGAGACAAGGGATATCGAGAAAGTTCGGAGACAGGAAATAAGGTAAGAAGACGACACCACGTCCCGGTCCGTCACAGAAGCAGACGACAGTTGATACACCTACGTCTGACATCACCGTCTTCAAGTCAGGTCAGTGTCAGGGGGTTGTGTCACTGATTAACCGCTGGAGCTCATCTATTGTGCATGACTGGCTGATGGTCAGAAAGGTGTGGGCGGCGGCAGCTGGTCACTTGAGGTCGCTGATGACTTCCAGTGATCGTCTTCAGACCACAGGTGGTTTGGAAACTGATTGGCCGCATAATGTCAACAGGGCTGGAATTGCTAATGAGGAGGGCGCCTTATTGGCCAGAAACAGGTGCAAGAGACGGTGAAATAGATAAGAATCGATCCTTGAGGTGCAATTTCAGCTCGCAATAGTTCGGTGTAAATTTGACAGAGGCCTCACTAACCTAAATGCATCGTTCTTGCTATCTCGCTAATAAAAACGGAAAAAGGATCTGTATGTCCTACAGAAGGCAAAAATGGTTCCGATCCCATTTCTCCCATCGAGACCTAATGACTAAACTAAAGAAAAGAGGCGTTACAAATTACAATAGCCCTTCTTGTTTTTTCTTCTTCTTAAACATTTGTTCACAGTTCACTTCACACTATCACAAAACAGAGGAATTTTTATCGATAATTAGCCTATGAGCTCAGACGTTCATGGTTCTTAGGCTCTTGGGAAATTATCTGATAACGCGGACGTAGCGTCGGAGCAAATGTGAAACGGTATCAGACTGGAAGGCACGACACATACCAATTCACACAGTCATAGGCGGCATTATCACAGTGCCGCAGCCGGTGGATCAGAATCGGACTATGCTAGGTGCGGGTATTCAGATGGCGCGCACGAACAGGAAGGTCGAGACTCGAGATGTTGATCGAGTGAACCTCGCAGAAATCGGCCGGAAGTCCCGACAGCTTTCGAATAAAGAATTGCTCTTGGTAGACGAGGCGAGCAAAACTAAGCCTTTTCTAAGCATTTCTTCGAGAAGGACCGCTTTAGGAGCACTCATGTCTCATTATTTAAACAGTCCAGGGCTAGTCCTTATATGAAGTATTCAATTAGTTAGACTTGACAAAATGACGCAATAATAATTAGCTAACGGGACTATAACAACCAAAAACAAACATGAGCTGGTATGGCCGGCCCCCGTGGCCGTTTTCTACCCGATGACGTCCGAGGTCCATTGGGCAAGCATTAAGCAATCACAGACGCCGGCGGCGATACCCGTGACCTCTCACATCGATTGAACGTCGGGTCATGGTTACCGAGGGCCGCCGGCAACACAGCGGGCCGGTCTCCAAACCGGGTCCGAGCGCAACTGCGCAAAATGCACAACGCAGCTCTTGTTTCAAGGACAATGGACATAATCATTTCACGTAAATAGCCACTAAATACAAACGAGCTAAATCAAACATATACAAAACTAAGATTAAATAATTAACTAAATGGTTTATAAGGCAACCAAAAAATTGTAGGCTGACAGCATAAGCAACATTTCAACTGTATTTATTCATGCTTTCAGGCCGTCTGGAGCAGACCCCCCAACCAGAAACATCCCCAGGTGCCACCCCGACTCGCCAGGATGGGTCAGGGCGCCAGCCGGGACCGTAACCAGACATGGGAGGTGGACGCCATTTCTGACCACCAGCCAAAGGTCGGGCAGCACTGCAGCATCAATGTGATGCAGCTCAGCGGAGACGCCTCCATGCTCTTCACCGGAGGGGAGGATAAGGTCGTCAGGATCTGGGACATCGTCAAAGAGGAGCCCAAGTGCCTCGGCAGGCTCAAGTAAGATAGAGCGAGTGGCGGCAGAGGGCTGGGCAGATTCATGTCCGGGTTGTAACTATGTTGTCAGTTTGGATTGAATTGATATTAGTTGAATTATCAGACTTGAGACTTCCCTGAACATTTTCTCAAATCACGACTTTTTAATAGTCTGGCTCATATAATCCGATCGGAACATGCTACGACAAATTTTGATGAAGATGAACAATATTCAACCGTAAGAAAGCGATTCGACTACGCACAGCATCGGCACGATCAGCTTGAGCAGACAACTTCGAAAGCATGCCGTGCGCTAATTTACACCACCACTAGCAAGCACATGTCCTCTGAGTGTCCATCCCCCCCCCCACTTGCCCGCCCTCCGTCCTCTTCAAAAACATGTCATTAAAACCGTCTCGTCTGGCCGTCTGCAGGGGCCACACGGACTACATCACGCAGCTGGCGGTGGTCGGCACCCACGTCATCACCGGCAGTGCCGACAAGACCATCCGCAAGTGGTCCATGGTGGACGTCAGCTGCGAGTACGTCTACGAAGGTCGGTGACAGGGAGACGGGATTAGATAGAGCCAGAGGCCTCTTGCACCAAAATCCTCTTGCACCAATGCTTGGATTATTTTGCATCATATACCCAATCCAAGACTCAAATGTGACAATTTGCGTGTAAAATTTACCAAGTACCTGTAGGATTATGTATTGGGCTATTAGGACCTCGGGCTTTGTTGAATTTTCCGCCCTCGACCTTCGGTCTCGTGCGGAAAACTCAACAAATCCCTCGGTCCTGAAGAAAGCATTTGGGGCATTCCACGTCAAATCAAACACCGAAATCCGTCATCCCCTTCGATTTTTCTGAAAATTTGTAGGCAGACTGGGCATGGTTCAAAACTGAGTTACGTATAATATTTTCGGAAGTTGATAACGTATCGCCGAGATATAGGTCATCGAATATAGCCAAAAATGCCACACATTATTTTTTTAAATGCTTATAACTCTGGTTCCTTTTCTGGTATCAAAATGATATTAACAGGGTCTTGTAGGCAATTGATAAGGCTTTGATTTTTAATTATAAAATTAAATTGAAGTGACCTTGAAATGCATTTGACCTTGAATTAAAACAGAAAAATTTAAATAGGAAAAAACACGCCACCTTCGATTTGAGTAATTTTTACATATTATGTCCGTCACAATGTTCCTAACCATCTGTGAAAAAATTGGAGTGGGCCATTCATAACTTTCGCGGCAAACGCCGTTTTCATGCATCAACATCACGCAACCGCGCGTGACCTTGAAAGACAGAGTCAAGACATGCTTGCTTGTGTACACTTTCTGAAATGAATGATTGCTGATTAGTGATATCCCAAACTCTGCGAGAATGGAAATGCATAGTCATCGTAGTCAAGCATTCACGTTCCATTGTAAAAGTGTCTCAGGCAAACGGTATTTTGCGGTGAATTTTGAGCCGTGTGGAAATGCATCATGAAATAAATTCAACGAAAACATTATCACGCAACGATATCTTCACGTCTTTTGATCTTCACTTTACGAAAGAACATACATTTTTGAGTATGTATAGGGAATTTCTAGTTAATCCGATAACAAATATGGCAGTTAGAGTCCTGCTAAGAGTAACATGTCGCCGGCTGAGGCGGGATCGGCCGACGCGGGAAACGCAGCAGTCACAATTTTGTGTTTACACGTTCATATTTCAATTGTTTACCAAGATATTTTCAGAATTCTTTCACCATAAGATTGCCTGTACATTTCTTAGTCTTCTCACAAAATTTGACGCGAATCGAACGTAATCAGCGGTAAGGAGCGCGATGTAAAGACGGAACCGTTCCGTTCCGTCCCGGCACAGTCTACAATTCAGGCGGCGCGTAGCGGTCGGCGCAGGCTGCCGAGTCGCCGCGTCGCCGCGGCGACAGGATGTTCACTTTACACCGCTATTACTAGAACAGTTGTGAATCGATTTTCTTATTGCTTGCACGATGAGATGTGCAATTCAATTCTGGACAGGTAGCCATAAGTAATTTCGCATCAATATTATGAGATATTGGCGAAAAACAGGAGGGGTGGGGCGAAATTCACTCTTCCCCCTCCACTGAGCGTGCTAACATACGTTTGCATATGTGCCATTTTCTTCAAAACTTATGAATGGCCCACTCTAATTTTTTCACAGGTTGTTAAGAATATGGTAGGCAATAAAATATATGAAAATGAGCCAAATCGAAGGTGGCGTGTTTTTTGCTATTTCAATTTTTGTGCTTAAGAACAGAGTTAAGCAAATTTCAAAGTCATATATTTAAGTCGATGCAATTCTAAACAAATGCTTAAGAAATTACCTAAACAGTAAGGTTTATTTCATTCAAATCAAACAAGTACAACCAAAGTTATGGTCGTTCAAAAATATAAAGATGCAACATTTTGTAAAAATTTGATGCCCTATATTTAGAAGACCTGTGGTCAGAATGTGCAAAAAACATCAATGTAATGTCCGGGGAGACACAGGAACTCGCTCACAAATTTATAATGAAATCGCTGATGGTAAGGTGCAAAACAGCCGATTTTTGTTCGATTTGACGTGGAATGCCCCATTTGGCACAAAAAAGACGTCTTGTAGTGCCGCATACCCTACAGTGCACACAAATACCCAACAATACCTAACCTCTGCGCCGTACCAACCAGTATTACCAGCCCGAAAGTATCAGTATATTCAGCATTACCAGCATGTACGTACAACCAACGACACATAAAAATGACGTCCTGCAGTCACAAATCATCCAGCACACACAAACATACAGCCCGCCTGTGATATATTGTCAGCGATATAGGTCAATAACGGCGTACCCTGCTGCCACAACTAAACGACAATCACTCGCCTTTGACGCATGTAGTTAGTTAGCATCAGTAACACAGGGAAATATCAGTCTGATGTTACGAATAAGCGGTCGTTCGGGAAATGTCAGTCTGGTGTCACGAATAAACAGTCGTTCGTCAATCGGCTGCGAACATTATTACAAATAGAAAATAGGTCACGTCATCACAAAAACAGCAACAAACCACTTACCCCAGGCTCACAAGTCACACTTGTCAGGGCAGGAGCCAAAGAACTCACACATCCCGTGCCCCCACCCTTCGCCAGGTCACTCGCAGCGGATCCAGCGGCTGATCTGCACCCCCGAGTTCATCCTCTCGTCGTCCACCGACAAGACGTGTATGCTGTGGCGCATGCACCTCCCCGAGGCCGGCAAGGAGCCCCGGGAGCGAGACAGGACCGACGACGACCCCCGGGACGATATGTGGATCCGAACATTCAGGGTGAGGAACGTGCGACCGTTCGCAGGGCGTGAAGATTACATAGGTACCGCTTTATCTCGCTAACGTTAAAAAAGAGTATTTGACTTTCAGAAGGCTAGAATTCGTTAAAACGTTTCAAAATATTCGAGGTAAACGTCAGCCATCATACATATTCTAGCATGTCTTTCAAGAACTCTCGCGATCAAATTGGAATAATATATAAGCAAAGTTATAAAAGCATCTCCGTAATTAAAAACAGGGACACACCCTAAATGACCTTAAAACTTGACCTCATCCTCTCACGGACACTCTGCGACCCTCACTATGACCTTGACCTCAGGGTCACACGGGTACCGTGTACGCCCTCTGCTTCGTGCCGGGAGACGTTGACGAGGAGCCCTCCCAGCCCAACGGCCACGCCAAGGAGAACGGACACGGCGAGGGAGAGAAAGACGACGAAGAGGGCGAACAGAAGGTCGTTGAGGAAGAGGATGAGGACGGTGTCCACCCGAGGGACATCCTCATCACGGGCTCGGCCGACGGCACCGCTCGCTCCTGGGCACTGGCTACTGGACAGCAGCTCAAGGTAAGACTAAGAGGGGAGTCACAGGTCATCGAATAGCAGCGGATAAGAGCAGAGTAGGAGGGGCGTACTGTTTACCGGTCGGCGGCTCAAGGTACGAGGGGACGTAAGGTGCGGGGCGCGGCAGCTAAGGCAGTAAGGAGAAGACACACAGATGGTCATTGTTAGAGTCGGGTTTCCTGATGCTCCTATTCGCTCAGCTTTGCTCTTCGGCCCACGATCAGCCAGAGTTTACAGCTGTATTTCTTGGAAGACGGCTATCCGACCAGCAACACTTTTGGACTGATGACGTGTTTGAGCAAAAAGCGCACTCACTGCGTTAGCACTCCCTGCGTTACACGCAGCATGGAGATGCCCCGAATCGGTCAGTCAGTTCACAACCGTATCAGTTTGATAGTACAGCCAGTAGAACAATAACAATGTGCTCGTTTCCCGTCGGACAGGTGTTCAAGGGTCACCGCGGAGCTGTGATGCTGATGGCGATCGACAGCACGGGGAAGCTGCTCTACACCGCCGGAGACGACACCACAGTGCGCCGCTGGGACATCCACAAGGGCGTCTGCACACTGGTGAGTGGGCACGGTAGAGTGCTGTGTAGTGGGTTCGGTAGAACGCCACTAAAGCTGAAGCAACTGTGCGCCGGTGGGAGATCCACAAGGGCGTCTGCACACTGGTGGGTTTATTGGGCACGGTAGAGTGGTGTACAATATAGGTTCGATGCTGTAGCTGACACACCTGTGTGATTTATGGGTATACCGAGGAACGTAGAGGGGGTACTTTATACATAGTTCGGCGCTTTTATAGCCGCACACGTTCACTGGAAGACAATGCCCAGTAAAACGTGTATACCGTCTTGGAACACCAACACACTGCACACAGCAAATTGCAGTAGCACAGGAGGTGAATATTCATGCACAACTGCATAACTGCATACATAAGCACAAGACAGCATAACACCAAAACACATCCGCTGATTTCCAATGCAAACAGGTACCGATTGCCTTCCATCCCTCTCATACCCCTCCCGTTCACAGGTGATCTCCGGTCACGGTGAATCGGTCTCGGCCATGTTGCTGGTGAACCAGATGCTGTACACCGGCTCTGCAGACACCAAGGCGCGTCGCTTCGTCACAGAGTTCGGCGACCTGACCAGAACCTACGGCTCCCACAGGGACACCGTCAACACGCTACGCTTCAGCGAGGGAATCCGTAAGTAACACACGGCGTACAGACCGGCTATTGTATGTAGCACATCCCTGATCTCGCATCAGTGTGGCTAAGTATTGGATTACCATCCTACTAACTAGAGAGCGAGAGAGAGCGTGAGTAGTAAGCGGGAAAATATTGCAGTCCAGCCCGCTCCCGTTACACTTTTGATGACTAAGGAATTAAGCAGTCACCTATCACAAAGCCGATGAGCTAGCAGTCCTCAGCACCTGGCAGCCCCTGTTAGGAAGCTCTAAAAACGCAAACCGCCGTTGGAAAGAACAACGTCTACTACCGGCAATCACCGTAGCAGCAATGCTAGCTTAGCTGCCTTCCATTCTCCCTCTGACTCTTCCCTCCCTCCCGCCATTCTAACGCAGTGTTCACCGGCTGCACGGACTCGGTGGCACGCGCGTTTGACGCCAACACCGGTCGCCTGCTGCGCTGCTACTCGGGTCACGAGGCGGCCATCACGTGTATGCAGGTGGCCAGGAAGCGACTCTACACCGGCAGCGACGACGGCATCCTTCGCGTCTGGGACGCCGACGTGGCGTTAGTGATGGGGAAGGAGTGGGAAGGGATGGGACATAACGGGAAAGGATTGGGAGTTGGGATGGGAGGGGAGTGAGAAAAAGGAAAACGACGGAAATACGGAACAGCAGAGGGTGGGCATACATATGCAGAGCGTGCAGCGCAGAATGTTTGACAAGAGCTGAGGGAAAGGTGATGACGAAAGGATGTGGTGGTCACCACAACGGCATCAGTAATTTCATGCAGCATAAGACGAGAAATAATGCCTAAGGGATATGAACCTGAGAGAATATCCCGATTCTCACAAAGGGGATTGCGGAAACGGATAATTCAACAAGCTTACAACAGGGAAAATGTCCGGCGACGATTTTTCGATGACTTGCAGTATTCGCTTGTTCACATGTTTCCCCTTTCCCACAGACCGGAGGACAGGAGCCAGATCGAGGCCGAGACAATGGGAGACACGGCCAAAACGGTGGACGACTCCGGTGCCGGCGCCCCTGCCGAAGGCCAGGACGAAAAGAAAGCTGCCGACGCTGCTGCCGAATAGGCGCTGTAGTCATCGCCTTCCCGGGATGGAACGTCCTGAGCTCCATCAACAAGTACAGCCGAGGAAGAAACTGAACAGAGGAAGTTGTATGATATCTGACTGAACAGAGGAGTCAAACTTAGTCAGAGGAAAATCTATCAAGTATCATATTCATATGTAACAGAGGAGCAGGATAAGACTGTTATATCAATGGACCGGACGTCGACTAAAGTAAAGTTGGAAATTTTCCGCTAAACATAGGAAGTCCGGGGAAAGGATGCAAAATATTTGCAACAAAAATAAATAGACTGACAGTCTTCATCCGGAAAACACGAAGCTGCATGCATTCACTTTGGCATCAAGTCAACAAGCTTTTAGCCCCGAGGCCCAATTCTGCGTTTTATCATCAGACATATGGGCCTTTGAAGAAGAAACGGTTTTTGTCGTACGAGTGGCGGTGATATCCTGCCAATACGGTAGACATGTTGACGTGTTGAGGTGGTCGTGTCATCACTTGAAAGCTAGTCGCACCGCCCCAAACAGAGCTTTGCACAGCACATGACGACCCGTACAACAAGTTACGCAGCTCTGGGAATGCTTCATCCGCTAAGCACTTCTGTCTGACAGCCTCAGAAGTCATCGCTGCTGACTTAAGTTACATGGAAATTCAGTTGCAGCAGTTATAACATGCATTTGCCGGGTTAATAAAAGATCAATTGGCTATTGGTGTATGTCCGGTATCTATATTCCTGTTTTCTGTTTGCTGCACCTTTGTTCTAAGGACACATTTGAAGGTGATATAGACGAGCTATGTACTGTGCTAATCGGTACCCAATTAGTTACAAACACGATGGTGTTGCAAAATATATTTTCTAAGCACAACCAATCAAGCCTGTTACCAGTGAACTATATATAGTATTTAAGCACAGCGAGCTTTCCTGTCACATGTGCCCGGCCAGGCACAGCTCAGCCCTGAAGAGTCACGCCCTGCCCTGCCCTCCCGCCCACCGGAGAGTCACAGTGAGTCGCGGCGCACAGAGTAGAGCCATCGACTCATGAGTCGCGACCATACAGAGTCTCGCCGCACGCACAACCTTCTGACATAAGAACGAGTTCTCCGCAGCTGAACCGCCCCGACCCAGCCAGATAAACATCTATAGTTTCCGCTAGTTATTCGATCCCCCTCCCAGCACTGCACCAGTTCCAAACGACCGTCCGCACAGCCAACCACCTCGGCAACCTTTCCCATCCCTCTCCCCTTTCTTGACTGATCAGTTCTCACTCAATGTAGGTCACACAGCCGCTACTAGCTCCCGAAACATTCTCTCTCAGTAACCACAGCAGGCGATCTTACAGTTTTTAATATGTCTTATCGAATAGACATACTCCGATCCGTCTTCCCACCCAGAGAAATAACCAAGGATATTAACACAGACTCAAACGTAATAAATTTTCATAAGTGTGCTCCCACTTGCACTCAGTAAACGCAAACAAATCACACGGCTGTTGGATCGGTTAAATAAACGTTACTATAATCAATCAGCACCAAATCAATCACACTTCAGTCGGCGAGCCGCCTCAGGGAAACAGCCGTGCCAATCGTTAGAAGAATACCACACAGGACACCTGCTACCGTGCTCTCGCGCTCATCAAGAGACCACAACTCGTTCAGAACCACCGCGCCGCGCCGACACATACGAAAACACGCAGTAATGGGACCAACCAGGACAGAGCCGTGTAGGAGGAACCGACAGATCCCCCGAGAGATGGCTGGGACACCCGACCGAGCCGCCAGCGCCACGCAGCCGCTCGCCTGTGGACGGGGAGGGACAGGCGCCGCGTCGGTCGACGGAAACATTAGGATCGCGGGTTAGTGGATCCGGGAGAAGAGGCCGGTCCTCTCACTACACCACAGCACGCCGGTCAGGCCACACTGCGCCGTAACTATCCGACCACGCAAAACACGCCAGCGAGCACACTTGCATCAGGACGCAGCCCGCCGCCCAACAACTCCGCCGAGTGACACTCCTACACTCACACCGTCCAGACAAGAACGACGGACTGACAGGTTTACGGAGCGAACGTCCATTTTCCGTATACGCGAGACAGCAGCAGTCACTACGGAGGCCGCACGATGAATACTCGCACGCACTTGTTTGCCTACACGCCAGGAGAGAAACCAACGTACGCTCAACCCATCAGCTAGAATCTGCCCGCAGCAGGTCTAACATTGGCGGTCTTAGAGCACGTGAACGGTAGCCGACCGGCAGGTAGACGGTAGGCAGGCCAGCCGCGCGAGGCATCCTTTGCCAAACGCCAGACGACGCAAAGTCTGGGAGACGGCAAGACAGGAACACGACGAGCCGGGGAGATAGTGTCGGGGTGTGACGGTTATCAATCTTGGCCATTAAGACAAACCCAAGCCACGAGTCGAGGATAGACAGAGGTTGGGAACCGAATGATCCTCGCCCAAACCCTCAAAGCAGCAATGGGTCAAGTGTAATCTCCAAACCCACTACTGGCTGTCTTCTTTGTACCCTAATCGATGTTAGCCAAGATATATCTACAAAACAGGAAACCAGAACCTGCGCGAACTACACAGATTTTCACCAGATGAGCGTCTTCTGGGCTCGATAAGGATCAACTCGGCCACCAAACCCCTTCGCTGTCAGGTGTTCATCAGTCATCAACTAATCCCCGCCAGTGTCCGTCCTCCCCCGCCTTTCACCCCGACCACACCGCTGGGCGTCAGCGCGACTGCCCTGCGCGGCTGACCTGAGGCGTTCTCCGTGTCGTTAGATGGTGAGGGCTGCCAGGTGGCCGACGGCGGCCGGCGGAGAGGAACCCAGCTCACCCGACTCGGCGCTGGCTTTCCGCCGTCGGCGACGGTCTCGCTCCTCCGACCGCCGCTGTCGGCGATCCAGACGACCCGCCACCTGGTGGTAGGAGGGTTGAACTCAGTGGAAGCCAGGGGCCAGCGCCACCTCATGCCGTAGGGAGACCGAATGCCGGTGGGGAACAATGAACATGGTACTGGGGTTCATAGGAAGCAGAAAATGATAGCAAAACAGTAATTGCAGGAAACGCAATGGGGCAGAGATGTTGTCAATGTAATTCTTGATTTTCTGAAGCTTCCATTTCTAAGCCAACCAAGTTTCAGCGCAGCGGGTCCATTAGTTTTTCCCACGCATTCGCACATTCGCTCGCATTGTAATTGAGAGCTAGAAACATTGGTACTACACGTCCCGTTCCCTTCATACCTGTCCGGCGTTTTTGTCGTTGCGCAGTTTGGCGGCGGTGGCGACGGCAGCCGCCTTGGTCAGCTGATGCGGCGAGGACGGCGCCGCCGGGGCGTCTGTGGCGCAGAGGAGGGAGACTGTGTTAGCACGATGGTGGGATGAAGTCAGGAGTCAATTTACCAAGATACATCATTCACAGCCTTAACTGATTGATACTGGAGCTAGTTAGAGTAAGCGATAAAAAAAAAAACAGGAAAGTAGACTTACGACACACAGCAAAAGCACAACGGAAAACAGATCGGCTCAAATTTGTCATCGGTGATCTGAAGACGTAGTCCACGAATCTGTTACATTGACATAACCAACGCAGCCCAATTCAAGTACGACTGGCCACCAATCCCTACAAACACGTACCCTCGCCTGTCCCTAAAACCCTTTCCTTCCCCGTCCTCACCATCGACCTCCTGTCCCCAGTTGAGCGCGCGCAGGAACTCGGCGGCGGCATCCACGTCTCCGGCGCAGTCGTTGAGCGCGCGGCGCACCTCGGCCAGATCAGCACACCGGGAGCGGGCCATCACCTCTCGCTCCTCGGCAGAGGTGGTCGGCGGCTTGGTGGGCGCCTCCAGCTGTACAGAAACGGGCAGGGAATACGGGGTTCAGATATAGACCAAGCTGGTCGAAGAAAGTGGCTATACTTAGCTACTCGAATATATACCAGTTACGTATACTGGGGAAGACAGCTAAATGAGATGTCATTCAAGGGTATTCCCCTAAAATGCCAACTGTCAAGGTAAAATCGTCAAACACCTTCCTGATAATAACACTACAAAAGCATTGAACTCAATAACTCTTAGAACAAAAAAATGGGCAAACGTTAATTGTGACTTAAGTCCATCCCTTCCTTTGCATCCACTCCATACACCTCTCCCCAGCCCCATGTTTCCTCACGTTGATGTAGACGTTGGCCGGTCCCTGTCCGAGGTCCCCCATGCGCCGCACGCTGTTGTAGTGCTCTCCGTCGTGGTAGGCAATGTGCAGCTGGGGCGCCTCGGCCAGGTTGTCCGGGTCGCCAGGGATCTGCCAGAGTGGGGCCTCCAGCTGCCGGGGAGGGGGGAAAGGGTCAGCGGACGGCGTCAAAGCCCAGAGGTCAAGCACATATCAGCGAAGTTTGACCGGAGGAACATATATGATGACCATCACAGGGCCACAGACTAAAGAAGGGCGAAACTTGTAAAGTGGGCAAAATCACGATTCTATTTTCATCTTATTTTCGTAATTCTTTGTGGCTTTTTGTTTTTAGCTTCTTTGTGGCTTAACTTTTGTGACTAGAGACGTATTGACACCCAAGACCCAACTGAGCCACTCAGTCAGAATCATGTCAAAGATTGATGCATCCAACTGGAATCAGCTGGTAATGGCACGCTTTAGTAAAAACCCGATCGATAACCATGAATCTCGCCTCATCTCCACACTAAAGATCGTCACATGACCATAGTGTAATAAATAACTATGACTTATTTATTACACTATGACATGACCTAGACTATTAACTGTCCTTCTGACAGTCAATACTCACCTGGTGTATAACAATGGTCACGCCGTGGTTCCTAGCGAAGGCCACGATGCTGTCGTTTCCTGCGTACGTTCCCTCGTCCACCAGACACGCCACTGGAAAGACGACGTGAAATATGAGGGACAATGATGGAGTAGCCTGACCCCCTAATTGGTCTGCTTGAATAAAATTAGGTGCGTTTTACAAAAAGAAAATAGCACAGATGATGCCTAATAGTTAATACCACAATACCGAGGAAAATGTGCAATGTAACTATTATCCCAGTTCCCACATAAAAAGTTTTATACCATGTCGGTCGAAGGGCACGTCGTCTTCGACGAAGGGCTCGAACTCGTCACGGTGCTGCACGATGAAGTCGACCGTCTCGCGGCGGTGTATCTTGTGGTCGCCGGCGCAGCCAGTCAGCTGATCGGCCAGAGCGCGGAACAGGCAGTTCCTGCAGACATTATACGATGGTGAGTGAGACAGATATTTCTTAGGGCAGTCATTTGATCATGCATTGTGGGAGTTAATACTGAATGCATCAGTCATCTCAGTAACACCCTAGCCTGACTATATGCAAGGTTCTATGTCATGTACTAATCCTAAACTTGTTACAGATAGACAAACGAAGGTTAAGGCCTCAGGGCTAAGAAAATTGTTTTGCTGTAACTGTTTAAAGCGCAAAACAATTGTTGAGACTATTTTCTAGTTCAGGTGAGCAAAGATTCATCCACCCAAATCATGGCATCCTTCCAGCTACTGATCACACCCATCCCATCGCTACCCCAGACTTCCTTTCTGCTCAAATGTCCCGCTGCCCACCAGCCATTATCCGTCCGCTCCTCACCCGTCGCCCGGTATCTCCCGCAGCTGAAGGCCCAGCTGGACGAGCTGCGCGCGCATCTTCACATAGCCGTGGTCCTGCTCGGCACTGGGACCGCTGGCCGACGGCGTCTTCTTCTGACGGGGAGACCGCGGCGGCTCACGCTTGCGTGCCATCTGTGAAAAAAATTTGTGTTTCACACATGTAGCGTAAATTCAGATAGCTGAATATTACAGTGAAAACATTAATGGAAAAAAGGAACTGTGAATACAGCAAAACCACATGACAAAAACATGTTAAGTATTTTGTAAGGATCAAAAAGGTTGAAAAATGACAAACCTAAAATTAGCTTCTGGGTACTTGAAGCAATAATAATATTGCCTGCGCAGCAGAGGTAACTGTTACTTATCTATACTCACAATGGAAACTGCTGAAGGTACTGGGAGATATACAAAAATAGAGACTCAGAACTTCTTAGGACCTTCCTTTCAATTCAGACAAATGGTGCAGACTTTGAGTTGTAGTTCTAGATTAGTTCACACAAGCAGCTACAATTTCCAGGTTTGTTGCTGAATGGGAATGCCACTGGAACTTCAATCAGGTGGTGGTTATCCAGAGAGCTGGCTAGTCTTGATCACAAAAACTTGTTACCTTGCACTCTGCAACAATAAAAAATGTCAGTTTTCTAATGGCATTTACATTCCTAGCTTTAATAACAAAGTCTAAAAAATATAGCTTTATTTCCAATTTCATTAGCAGATATTTGTCAGCATGCAACATATACAACTGCTAAGCAATCAATGAGTTCATATGGCCAACATTGACTCTTCGGTGATCATAACATAACTGAGGCCGCACTACAAAAAACTTTAAAAATGGTAAAAAGGGACCAAGAATAGGAGCTACAAATGTGATGGGATGGCCATTGAAAGCTGGAAATATAGGTAACAAATGATCAGGTGTTGTCCATAGTTAACCAGGATTTTAGTTGGTTAACTACAATGTGATATTGATATGTAACCTGTTGTTACGACTCTGGTCTCTGACTATTCAATCAAATATCATTTTTGTATTGTTGAAAACTTTTCACCACTTTAACTTGAGAACTGTTTTACCAGGCAGTGGTCAGATCATAAGATATTCAGAATGGATTATGGAATATGCAAAATGATAATCAAAATTTTCTGGACAAATGCCAAAAGATCCTGGGGAAAAGTTGTCTTACATGAAATCAAAGTTAGCTCAGCCACTATTCAACAGATCATCGGTTGGTTTTGCTTATTTGGTGTCCTTGCATTGACCATTATAGACTGCAAACACACATCATGGTGGTCCATTGTGAGATATGCCATACATGGTAATGAGTGGCAGTGGTACAAACTACAACGGTGGCCGGTGGGGGTATCAGCATACAATTGCAAAGCATCATATCACAACTGCTGGCTGATCATAATCTTGGAATTATAATTATTTGAAAGTGCCTCAACTTGCATTGCAATCTCCAAATATGCACCCTTAGACCACCTCTTGGTAATTGCAATGGCCACCCGGAGATGGAAAGAATTGAAATACGAGCAAATCACTAGAAACTTTCACCAAATTGCTTGCATCACAATGCAAACACTGCAGGCAACAAAACCAAGCATTAAACTTGGTATATGTCAAGTTTAGGTCCTAACTACAATTGTGGCGCTGTTGATACGAATATGAAACAGCAAAAATTTTAGGTTTTAGGTCAGTAGGCGGAACTATGGTCATGAGTACCCAAATATAGGAACGTTCCCATTTTTGGGAACGGAGTTCCCAAATATGGGAACGGGCGTTCCCATTTATGGGAACGGAAGGTAATTTTTCGTCCGTTCGCCCACTAAAACTCATTAGTGCATCACGTCTCAAAAAAGTGCACGCTAATTTAAGTATCTACTAAGTCTCTATAAAATTATCTTTAATCTGACCGTTGCACAAGGAAATTGACCGTCGAATGATATTTTTAATGATTTTTTGAAATGACGGAATGGTGAAAACATGGGTTATACTACATTTAACTTGCAATTTTAAGGAAAATGAAGCGTTTTTTACATTTTGAGGTCAAGTATAAAAATTTTCGCCTGGTTATGAAGTTTCATACTGGCGACACCAGATGCTGACATATGCAAGCGAACACGCGGACAGTCCGGGGGTAATATTGGTGACATTTGGTGTCGGGGCGCACGACCGCATGGAACGTCAGTGATTTTACCGAACTACTGTTGTAAACTCAGTTTCAGTGGTTTAAAATTATTCAGCTGTATTATATCATGCCAGATAGACATATTTTATTTGGATGCTAGCTGTTTAGAGTTGTTTTATAAGGAGCGTCATGAGCGTGGTTTTTGTCTTCCGTGTTTCTAAGCGTGATCGTTTTGGGGGAATTTCTCTTATATAGGTCGCTCTGTGTGGCTTATTTATAATTTTTATGCTGATTTCGATCATTCCTCGTGCCCATCCTACCAGGCCTTTTGCCACTTACACTCATTAAGAAAGGAAAAAACTAGATTGTCATTGGGACTAGGTGTTTTGAGGGTGTAACATATTCAGCGTTCCCATTTTTGGATACTTCCTTGTGCTCGTCAACTATCGGTGATAAACAGACAGGTGCTTGACATGTCTCCACCCTCGGCGCGGACGGTGGATATAGGTATGGAAGACCTTGTTGAACATCGCTGAGCGTTGTGAATTGCATAATCCTGCAGAGGGGGGCGTGCCCGCTGCGAGATCGACGGGAATAAAAGCGCAGAAGACCGGGCGAAACATGCAACGGTCTTGCCGGAAAGGTCATCTGATGATTGTTGCGTTTACAATAATTTGCGGCGTTGGACGTGATGCTTGTTAATGAAAAGAGCCCCTGAAAGGCGTCGGTGAAATCGTTCCCAATTTTGGGTACGCCGTTCCCATAATAAGGAACGCTTGCAGCGCCAGTGTACGAGAGCGTTCCCAAATTTGGGCTCGCGGCCCGGATGATGGACTGCTTTAGAAATAGGGGAACGATTTGAAACTACGATGGGCCTTACAATATCAAACTCTTTCCCAACAATATTGAGACAAATATCAGGCGGTTCACGATCGTTTTATATTTTTTGGACGTCATTTAACGGTTCTTTTTCTTGTTTTAAATAATGCCTACATGGCGTTCCCATATTTGGGTTTATCGTTCCCAAACATGGGAACGAAAATGCGTTCCCGAAAATGGGTACGCTTGACCATAGTTTCGCCTACTGAGGTTAGGTTAGGTTGTAGGTTTGTAGGTTTTAGGTTGTAGGTAGGTAGGTTTGTAGGTTAGGTTAGGTTAGGTTAGGTTTGTAGGTTGTAGGTTGGTAGGTTATAGGTATGTAGGTAAGGTTAGGTCAGGTTTGATTATGTTTTTTTCTTTTATTTGCGAGACATATGAGTATCATTTTTGGATTCAGGATGTCAAATAATGTAAAAATATGAAAAATTTATCAATGAAATCTTCTTAGGACTTAAACTTGACATTTACCCTAAACTTTAAACAACTTTACAGTTAAGGCAATTTTAAGCGATTTCTGAGGCTATAAAAGCAAAAGAACGTAAATTAGCAACAATGGAAGTGGCGCACCTGCGACAATGGCGCACCATGAAAAACGGCGAATTTCTTCACTCACATTGATTTAACACCCTAATCGACTGGACAAAACAATAAACAAAATACTCACCTTTTTGTTTCAATGATGAAAGTCGATGTGAAGCAAAAATTGAAGACAACCGCCCGATTTTTCCAGCGAAATCCCGCCAGCATATAGTAAACAGAGGCCGATAGAGTCCAAGGTCGAATCAAGGAACGATTTTGCCAGCCCTGAATGTAGGTCACATGCCCGAAATATTTTTAATGACGTCACAAAAATCTATTTTCAGATGGACCCCACCGCAATGCCCCCACCGAACAGTTGAAAAATCGCAAAATCGCGATCGTAAGTAATCGTACGCGGTGCCTGGCTCCTTTTGAGGGAATGGCAGTTCGGAATATGGATCTTCGAGCCTACGTTAGAAGAAAAGTGAAAACCCTTCGGCAAAATTCTAGCTCGAATGGAACGGTATCAGTAGGTATAAGATCGTCTGCGGAAAAACGGTGGTGTAGGTAGGTATAGCTACGATATTTGTTATATTAGGTAGGTACTTATTATATTTAACAGCCATCAGGTAATGACACAAATAACCGACAGGCGGGCTTGTCAAGAAAAACGATGGCACATGAGAAACTCGCTTGCTCGCAGTCGCATCGAACATGAAGAAGTCGCACTCACAGCAGGTAGCCACGGTCGCCGGTCGGGGCGGTAGGTATCCTTCACCAATCCCAGCCCAGTCTCATGCAAAGTGCAAACGGATGCCTTGGCTGACCCAAGATTCTTACAGCTGACCCACGGGCCCTACGAGCCTAACAATAACATATACTAGTACTAACATATCGCCGCAGAACAGTCACTTATCATCCCCTATCCATCACTTATCAGTTATGCGGGTATTGGAACGGCAGTAGTGCTGCGATACGCATACAGATAGGTGAGTCTTTCATATAGCAGTTCACAAAGTTGCAATATCATCAGACTCAACACAAACTCGCCTCGAAAAACAACACAAATCGGATAAAACTGCACTTCAGATCCCCAGAACAGTATGAATTACGATTACTCAAATGGTCGCCTCCTACCTACCGTGCTATCTAGCTGAACAGTCAGTCCCTTTTACTACTTCCCAGCCGAGTGCGACTCTCGCCACAGCAGGCGACCGTCCTGGCCTCTGGTGACCGCGCCCGTCGCCACCAGATGCAGAGCCTCGGGGTAGGCCACATGTTCGGCCGTCTTGATACGTTCTTCCAGCTGCTGTTCGGTGTCTCCGGCCAGTACAGGCACCGTGCGCTGCACGAGGATGGCGCCCGCATCCACCTCCTCCTCGATAAAGTGCACCGAGCAGCCCGACACACGCACCCCGGCCTGCAGAGCCTGACGGTGCACGTGCAGACCGGGGAACAGCGGCAGCAGAGACGGGTGGATGTTGAGCAGTCGTCCGCGCCACAGCTGCACGAAGCGAGGTGAGAGGATCCTCATGAAGCCGGCGCAGCAGACCAGCTGTACTCCGGCCGACTCCAGAGCGGAGTGCATGGCGAGATCAAACTCCTCCCGCGAGCCATACTCAGTGTGTCGGATGACGCGCGTCGGCACACCGGCAGCCTCGGCTCGTGTCAGGCCACCTACTCCGGGTTTGTTGGAGATCACCAGGACGACCTTTGCGGCGGCGCCGGGTTTGCTGCAGTAGTCTAGAAGTGCCTGGAGGTTGGTACCTGACCCAGAGATGAGGACTCCAACTGGCATCAGCGGCCGTGCAGAGGGAGGCGGAGGGACCGGCCGTGCCCCGGCCGCTGTCAGCTGAGCCATCACCGCGCTCAGCTGACTCTCCAGGCCGTCCAGTACCACTTGAGATCCTCTGACGTCATATCCTTCCCCATCCACTCCGCCACGCGCCTCCAGCTTCCCCACCTCCAGCAGCTGATGGCCATGAGCTGCCGCCAGCTCCAGCGCCTCCTGACGTCGACCAGCCGGCACCACCACCACCATGCCCAAGCCAAGGTTGAAGGTACGCGCCAGCTCCTCGGCACTAACCCCACCGACTAGAGCGACCCAGGCGGCGGCAGCGGCAGCGGGCTGGGTGATGTTCAACCAGGAGCGCATGTCGAGCCGGGCCACCAGCCCGTCAGGAAGACAGCGAGGTATGTTTCCAGGCAGGCCCCCACCGGTGATGTGGGCGGCACCGGTGATTAGACCGGGTGCGGAGAGCAGGACACGCATCGGGGCCGCGTAGATACGGGTCGGAGTCAGCAGCGCCGCACCTGCGGGAGACGGAAGAGGGGAAGGATTACAGGACTGGCTTCATCAGTTTCACACGTCCTGCCATGGCACACACATTGTCGAGCTGTAGCATACGTGCTTCCCTCAAATATATCCGGAATCCCGCTCTTTTATACAATCGAATATCACACAAAGACCATTGCCACCCACTTACCCAGACTCTCGGCCTCAGGCTGGAAGGGCGCCTTGTCTTTCAGATAGTCCAATCCCGCCGCTTCCACTGCCCTCCGCACCAGACTGAACCCATTGCTGTGTAGACCGGCGGCAGGCAGGGCCAGCAGGGCGTCCCCGGGAGCCATGAGATCTGTCCTGGGCAGGAGGGCCGTCCTCTCCACGGCCCCCACCGCGAACCCAGCCAAGTCGTACCCGGAGTCCGAGTAGACACCCGGCATCTCGGCAGTCTCGCCGCCTGGGAGGAGGGAGGGGGAGGGGATAGGTCATTAGCGGGCCGAATCGTAAGAAGGTGAGCGTGAGGGGGATCAGGGAAGGCGAAATCGTACACGAAGGTGCAATGTTCGACACGGCTTTGACGACTTTTGAACAGTGGTTTAATTATTTTAACTGTCTGAATTGCATTTACTGAGGCATTGATTACGATGGCGATGGCATAAGAAAATTGAGCCTTATTTTCATAAGTTTTTTGGCTCACGAAAAAGGCCCTTAACTACGGATATAAAAAGCGCAGCACATTAGGACCTACATCTCATTTTCCCCGACCTCCGCCCAGAAACTTCGCCCCTGACCGTGCAGGTCACAGCCGGCCAGCTGACAGTCATCCAACACCCAGTCTAACCTCCCCCAGCCTCTCACCGAGCAGGTCACAGCCAGCCTGTTGACATCCCTCCACTCCCCTGTTTGACCCTCCCTCAGTCCCTCACCAAGCAGGTCACATCCAGCCTGCTGGCATCCTTCCACCACCCCCGCCACCAGCCGGTCGATGGGAGCCGCAGACAGCCTGCCCGCCGCCAGGTAGTCCAGGAAGAGCAGCGGCCGGGCACCCTGGCACAGCACGTCGTTTACGCACATGGCCACCAGGTCCACCCCGAGACCCTCCGGCCGACCGCACGCCTGCGCCACCTGTCGGGACAGGGAGGTATGAGGGATGTGACGAAGGCACAGTTGGTAAGTTGGGTTCAGAAAGCACGTCTTCCCTGTTTTGATTCATTTTCCAATCATTGACGCTACACCTTCAGAATAAAGGTTCGATATCAGCCCATTCTTACGTCTTTCCCTGTCAAAGGCTACTCAACCTGTAGGTTAGCGAACCATTTCTTCGGACATCTTTTTCTGACTGCCGTGCCGCAGACGATACCGTTCTTCGCCCCGTTTCGTTCGTTCTCGCTCATAAGTCTCGACCTACAGAATTCAGACGCCCGTTCTAATTTCCTTCCTTATCCTCTTCTCTTTCCGTCTCCTTCTCTACATCCTTCTCTACCTCTCTCCTTCACTCCATCCCTTTCCTCTCACCTTCAGTTTAGTTCCGACTCCATCAGTGCCGACCACCAGCAGCGGGTCAGTCAGAGGCGGAGTCACTGCCGACAGGTCAAACAGACCGCCAAATCCGCCCAGACCGCCCAGCACCGCGCTGCTGACGGGCCTCTGACGCAGGAGAGCGGCGATCCGCCCCACGAACGCGTCACCCGCGCCGATATCCACGCCGGCAGACTTGTAGGTGAGCGAGCCGCCCGAGAGGATCTCACTGCGAGAGAGGGTGAGATCAAGGGAGTTTTATGACAGTAGTGATAGTTAGCTTGACTGCAAGCTTGAACATTTATCAAAGACGACTTATATGACTGATCTTCTACCTGTAAACCATTAACTAGAAGAAACCCAACAAACGTAAACGTAAACGTACGCAGTAGCGGCGGAACACCTTCAATTAAGGGGGGGGGGGGCACTGCCGACTTTTGGTCCTATTCTTTCCATGCAACGCCCATAGGGCTAATGTTAAAATGCCAAAATCAAAGGGGGGCACGGTGCCCCGGTGCCCTCCCCGTTCCGCCGCCTATGAACGTACGGGCCATCCGCTATGAGCAATTGGCATCATCAATGCGAGGGAGCGGCTTGATCCGAGCTTTGATCCAGCATCTTCCAATCGGCATAATTCAACAACTGCACCCAAGCTCGCTCATACTGTTCTTACCGAGCCAGAGCCCGAGCTGCAATGTCCTCTCGGTACTGTTTTCCGTCGAACTGGACGAGCTGCGCCGCCTGCAGAGCCATCTGACGGGCGGCGGCCACACTATCAGCCACTGCCACCAGGTTCAGTACTCGGCCGCCAGATGTCAGGAGCGAGCCGGCCGGCTCTGAGCGGCGGGTGCCGGCATGGAACAGCTGACACCCGGCGGCTGCTGCCGCGTCCAGGCCTGGCAGAGGTCAGAGCAAGGTCAGGGACCACGGAGAGGGATTGTGCATGTCTAGAGGAATAGGGTAGAGAACGCAGTAGCCGAAAAGGGACTCCATAGAATGCAAGAACACCGGTAAACATATCGCAACATGCAACATGCAAGACCCCACCAACAAGATATCGGAATCAATTTTCAACATCAACGACATTAACCAAAGTTGATGACCGATCACGAATCATACCACCATTTTATGACCTGAAATTCACGTGTAACCCGGAAACTTGGGGCGAAACGTAGCCCCAAATACAAGGCTGTCAGGTCAGGGTCGGTCGGTACTAACCTGTGATTTCGAGGTTTTTCGGGTACGAGCCCGGGTACCCCGCCGATACGAGCACAACATCCACTGCAGCGGCATCGGTCCGCCAGCTGACATTGGTCGGACACAGTCGATCTTCCACACACGCCTGAAGGAACACCGGCCGTTATAGGTTATAGACAGTGAACATAGTGAGTTGACGACATTCAATTTTCAAAAGGATAAAACCGTAAATGTATGATCATAGTGACGAAAGAGCAGCTTCTGTCATTAATGCCCAGGGAAATGATGCAACTCACACATGATACAACACGCAGTTGTAGCATATTTGAGCCCAAAATGCACAAACATACGCTTCTACCAGCACTGTGCTGTGTATGTATGTACACACCACCTCGAGACACCGGACCCCTCACCAGTCAGTCACATAAACCAAGCGGAAGAGCGTGCTAAAATTTAATGATAACACTACCCCTGTGGCGGTATAGAACCTACAGTCTGTTTTCGTTGGTGAACAGGCAAGGGGCTGTCTCCATTTGATGCGTAACATATCTACGCACACTGTGTGCGTTCGCGTGCACAATAGTCATGTGTGCGCGTGCATGCACAGTATTTTAAGACGTTAGCATCCCTGACAGAAATGCTTTCCTCTCATGGAAATGTATGAAGTTCATTCACGTGGTTTGCGACCGTGGCCGGCCACCATCTATTTATGGGGCTATATAAGAGTCAAGAGTGTCTGGCCTCAGAAGTGCCTGACAACACCAGGCCCTGGTCAAATATAAACATACCCCACTGGAGCGGGGAATACGGTGTATACCGTGACGGAGGAGTGGTGAGACAGATGGAGGGAGGCGGCGGAAGGGAAGAGGCGTGGAGAGTGCGGTATGCCAAGCACAGATAGGGGGCGTTTCAAAGAGTGATAGTCGGTCATTGCAACGTGGAGGCAAGTAAGAGGAGGCAATGAGAACGTCATATGTTACACTTATTGACAGGATTTCGGACGAAAAGCACTCCGTGCAGCTTTTATTCGACTCACGCCACTTACGCACTTGAGTTGGTGCGTATCACGATGGACCTAAACGAACCTACCTACCATTTATCTCGTTTTATGTGTAACTGTATAATACCGTACGGCCTGCTGCATCCATCCCACATTCGACAAGCTACCGTATCTAACCCCAAGCATCAACCCTAACCGTTACGTGCCTCCATTCTCGACCTCCGTTCGTACCGTGACGATGTCGAAGAGATCGCTCTGCAGCAGCGGCAGCAGCACCTCGGTCTCCGGATCACCGAAGCGACAGTTGTACTCGAGGACGTACGGACCGGTAGCGGTGACCATAAGACCGGCGTATAGTACGCCTGGTGTCGTACAAACAGGGGTTGACGGTTAGAGGGCATTGCACGGGATAGATGTGACGGGGCCGGGTGCGGAAAGATGTGCTGCATTACGCACAATAAAGCTAAGCAAGAAACGTTTACGGAAAACAGCAATAACTAACAGAAGGACGTAAAATGAGATAAAAAAGGACAGTAAAAATAAAGAGATAATTGAGTGCATGCAATACGCATACAAAAACACACACAAACGGCAGAAAAGCTAGAGATATGTGATGCCACAATATATATCAAACGAACATCGAAATAGCAAAGTCTCATCCGAGATGCAATAGAAATTGTAACAAACAAAAAGGTAAAAACAGACAAGTCGCGTTCGAAAATCCACAACCACCAAAGCAAGCCGCCATGCCACCGATCCGGTCTTACCGCAATATGAAATCCCTTCCGTGACCCAGTGGTCCACCAGTCTCTGAAAGACGAGCTGCTCCAGCTCGCTCAGCTGCTGGGTAGTGAGAGGCCCGGGAGCCGGCGCCACAGCACCCATACCACCCGTGTTGGGGCCCCGGTCACCCGATAGGAGCCGTTTGTGGTCCTGAGCGGGCGGCATCACAGCCACATGGCGACCGTCTGTGAACGCCATCACCTGGGAGGGGGGAAGGGGGGTGTTAGAGGACAGAGGGGACAGCGGGTATAACACGTAACTAAATATGTCCGTATTGGAGGTCGGCACAAGCACGCTGCGTGTTGGTAGACCGGTAAATAAAGCGTAGAATCAATCGTGACTTGTCAAAGTCAGATAACGAATCAATATTGGAAACGCTTCCAGCCAACTAATCTGTGTGGTAAGCCAGGTTTCCCGATACTCCCGACTAAATCTGTTGGCCATTGAAGGGCAAGCTCCCACACGCTCACACGTGAACACACCCACGCAACGCCGTTTCAAGGCCATCAACCCACTCACAATACATACAGCCCGCTCGTATCACTCGAACTCACCGACACCTCCTCTCCCTGTAGCTTCTCCTCCACCACCACCTTGGCTCCGGCCTCCCCGAACCGACCACCCAGCAGCGCGTCCTCGACGGCCTGACAGGCCTCCTCCGCGTCCGCGGCTACCACCACTCCCTTACCAGCCGCCAGGCCGGACGCCTTGACGACGAGACGGTTAGGTCCGCTGCAGAGAGGAAGGACGGGGGTAGAGCAGAGTTGGTGTCAGTGCGTGTTGGTCGCGGATACATTGCTGTCAATGTTATCGTTATCATCATCCTCGCTATAGTTTTTTACCTTACGATTAAATTCACTGCTAGCTTTGCCACGCATTATTAGCAAAGGCTGCAGACAAGCAAAGCCTTGTCACGGATAATTTTGGGCCACATACACAAAAATACGACACAAACCGACTCCATCATCGCCCTAGTCACCACCAGTTCGCTCACCTCCTGATGTACTCCTTAGCACTATCAGCGTCCGTGAAGACACTAAACGGCGCCGTCGGAATACGGAGCTCCTCCATCAGTCTCTTTGCGTACGCCTTGTCTGCCTCGATACGGGCGCCGGCCGCCGACGGACCGAAGCAGGGGACGCCGGCGCGTCGGAGCGAGTCGGCCAAACCGTCGGCCAGGGGGTCCTCCGGTCCGACGATCACCAGGTCGACGGAGCGAACTCGGTCCCGACAGAGTGAAACTACCGCCTGCGGCAGCGACAGGTCGGCGACGGCGAGGTCACTGGTCAGGTCATGTAAATCGTGAATACGGAGACGGAAGCATGGAATGACAGTATAGGTAACAACAATAAAGGTCTGACGAAGTAATTTTTAAGAATGAGCCTTTTGATGAATGAGAAGGGATCTTTTGAATTTAGTGACCGCTGCGGGAATCCGGATGATGTAAGGTTGTTGGCAGAGCTCGTATTTGACATTTTTACGAAAACAATATTATTCGTCAGGTAATCGCCTAATCGCATCATTGGGAAACAATTTCGCCTTGCTGTAGGTACTCCTATGCTACTTTGCTGACGACTAGGCATGCATTGACAAAGAGGGTTACGCGTTGCCACCTACCTCGTGCTCCTTGACGTTCACCGCGACACACTCCATTTTATCATCAGCCGTTCCTCCATTGCCAGGCGCCAGAAGGATCCGTTCCACTTTGGGCGACTGAGCCAGCTTCCAGGCTATGGCGTGCTCGCGTCCCCCACTACCGATCAGCAGTACAGTCGCCATTGTTCACAGTACACACTGAAACACAGCAAGATCGCCGCAGTGCAATATCTGGCAAAGCTCTTCGAGTCTATGATCCATCATATGTCTACGATCCAATAATTCGCGCTAGGGTGGTGATCTGATCGTTACACATCAAGGTACAGGGCCGGAGGACGTTTTAACGTTCCCGTCCAACTCAGGGCTCTGCTCCTGATATTTCTGGGCCACGCAGCGACACGGGATGTCTTTAAAAAGAACGTAAAAATTGTGACTTCCCTTTGTTAATTTTCAGGTTAGGTGGAAGGTGAGGCCAGCAGAATCCAAAGGGCTTAACCCTATTCCGGGCGGGGGGGGGGCCTTCAAGGCCCCCCTTCAGGTTTTTCTTGTGCCATTGCCAAACGCCGCAAGACTGAAAGCTCATACTCGGTGACTTTTTCTTAACATTCATTGCGCACATTTTGACAAAAAAAAAATTGCCGGGTCAGGTCAGTTCAGGTCACCAGAGGCGGTTTGTTGACCCCAACTCAGGAAGGTTTGCAATCACGCCAGAGCTAGAGTTTTTGATTTGTCAATTTCTTCCCTTCAGGTTTTAGTTAGAGTACCAGTACGTGCAATTTGTATGTCTCAGAATTTTTATATCTGTGACCTGAGGTCAGGCCAGACTCGTGACCTTTACATTGCAAGCCTATGGGAAAATATTGAAACGCCTCCTGCTTCGTGTAAACGAGTCAGAACCAACCAATTCTTTGAGTATTATGGAAGATTATCTCATCGGTGATGATCCCGATGCCGCTTATTGACAGGGGCACCGGGAAAGGTCATCTGAGGTCATGTGACGTCATAAATCGTTTTCTGTCAATAAATCACGACATGATGGTGCTAAAGAATTATTTGTAAGTGGTACCAAACTGCTTGCCTGGTCAGGGCGCGTCGTTTGGTATGCAGCATGACCATACCCCACAACCTCATTGGTGAATGACCTGACCTTGACCTCAGGTCAAATTTCAAATTGACCTGTGAAGGTAACCGCATACTTATTTCGCATCGCCTCGACGTGAGCAACAAAAAATGCATTAACCTTCCAGGCGGTGGGGGGGGGGGGCATTTTTTTGCCCCCCCCCTTAGTTTTTTCGATATATCTCGAGAACCACTGCGCCGATTGTCACCAAACTTTCAGTACCCTCCCGGGAGCAGCTAGCGCACATGGCGACCAAAATTTTTTCCAAAGGCTATGATAGGTTGGCCGCTAATGACGTCAGAGTGACGTCATTTTTGCCATTTTCGACCCAAAAAAAGGTTTCGCGGGAAGAGCTGTCAGGCCTACAGCTTTAGAGATACAGAAAAATGTTTCAGACACAAAAGGTGTTGAATTAAAAGGGCTACAAAACTGTAATTTCGGTTTTTCGAATTTTTTGGATTTTGACCCCCAAAAATAAAAAATAGACTTTTTGAATATAATAGCCAAAAAATCCAAAACGTTTTTTGAATTTCGAAAAAACCGGAATATATGTGATAGCCCCTACCGCCTTCTATCTACATACCAAATTTGAGATCGATACCTCTTTTTTTGGCCAAGTTATAGCGAAAAAAACTGTTCAAAATTGATGACGTCAAATTTTCAAGCTCAATTTTTAGCAATTCTAGACCTCGACGCGCAAAACAAAGACCCCCATTAGACTCCCCGTGGCGAGCTGCATCGAATCGATACCCATTTTATGCAAAAATATCAATTTTGAAATTTGACTTTTTTTTACCTGACCTTGACCTGACCTCCACCAGAAAGTGACCTAAACCGTACCTGATGGTCTTATAACCAACACCATTGAGTTGGAAATGAAAAATTGGCCATAAAACATGCATCGCATGACCTTAGTAAAGTTGGGCTCATGTGGTGACCCTTGGTGACCTTTGGTGACCTGACCTGTGACCTGACCTGGTATGACCAGTGACCTCTAATAGAAACATATGTACTAGATAACTGACGCCTTATCGCTGATTTTCGACAAAATGCGTTTTACTCGGTGTTATAGCGCTTTCCCTAGAAGCCCCGTGAACGGTGAAACATTTTATCTTTGACCTGACCTGTGACGTCATTGGTGACCCCGAGGTCAATGAAATTTGGTTTCCTTCGACAAATTTGACAGGGCTATCGAACGCCGTTTGAATTTTCCGGATCCGTCGAGTAGTTTCGGACAGACATGTGCGTGGATCCGAGAAAATGGATCTGGGATCTGATCCCACGGATCCTGATCTCGGATCCGTTGGGATCATAGATCCAGCTCTGTAATTTATCGAGAGATTCGTAGGGATCATAGATCCAAGTCTAGTATTTTTACTTGAGATCCAGTGGGATCATAGATCCTCATTTATTTTTGGTCAACACAGAAATACCAAAAGATCACTCGTTGCAACTCACAAACGCTCTCGTTTAGTGATTTTATGTGATAACACGTCATAATCCACAGTTTTATGGCACTTATTGCCATATAACACCTGGCTTCAAATGTTGTGCATGGTGGGATCCACTCAGATCATAGATCCATGTTCTTGGTTTATCGTCAGATCCTGTGAGATCATAGATCCAGGATAGATTTTTCACGCCGGATTCGATGGGATCATAGATCCGAACCTGCAATTTGCCTCGAGATTCACTGAGATCATAGATCCATCACTCGGATCCATGCACATGTCTGGTTTCGGAGATACGGGGGGGGGGGGCAAAAAAGTGTCCCCCCCCCCCCACCGCGCGGAAGGTGGCTGGTAGGCCCACCGCCTGCCGGGCTAAATTTATGTCTCTATGTTTCTTAGTTTAAAAGTTATATTGTAACTAATTCCAAAACATTTTATCGTTGATGACCTCTGGACGGTGACCTCAATATTGACTTGACCCGAAAATGTTTTATGTAAAAGCTGTAGATCTTTAAACGACCTATCAAACGCCGTTTGCCGTTTGTCGCTCCGATGTGTAGTTTTTGAGATCTGAAGGGGGGGGGGGCGAAAAGGCCCCCGCCCAGAATTGAACCTTTCAGAGCCCGCCCGGAATAGGGTTAAGGGTTAAGTCTAAACGGTCAAAGTTTCAAAATTCTTGAACAATCGGATTATAGCTATTGAACTAATACCTACAGCCATTATGAACCATCGTGAGGAAACTTTCAACGGCTCTTAACCCGCGCCCTGCTGGGGGTCCTGGATTTCCACGCCCTGCTGGGGGGGGGGGGTGTTTGAACACCCCCCCCCTTCTAACTCGGCTCCTGGGCCACGTAGCGATACGCGGAAGGCGGCGTTCGAAAGAGCGTCAAAAATAATGAGGAAATCACTTCGGTCAATTTTTTGGTCAGGTCAAAGGTCAGGTCACCAGAGGTCATTGAAGGCAAATTTTCGCCGATTTCCAGGTCGAATGTCGAAAATTTCCAAGAAGCCAACGCATAACTCGGGAACCAATAGAGCTACAGCGCCGCGGAAAAGCGCATTCGATAGCCCTATTAACGCCCTTTCTGAATAATTTTCTCAGATTTGACCTAACGTCAACGGTTTTGCCTGCAGGGGGCAAAAACTGCAAAAATAGCCGATTTTTTCGGAAACAGTTTTTCTGCAATAACTTTTGACCCAAGCATTGTACGAGCTTACTTTTACCGGCATCGTGTTCCTCTCGTCAAGACGCATCGAACGAACTATAATTTGACCTTGAAAGGTCAACTTGAAAATTTGACCTCAGGTCAAGGTCATGACCTGACCGGAAAGGGTCATGTTGCATATCAGTCGATCCGTATCGTCGAGCTGAACACATCTAAGGCGTTTTCATCGCTCTAGCATGCCTCTATCAAAAGTTATTTGCGAAAAACTGTTAGATACCATTCGTGACCTAAGATGACCTCAGGGCATAAACAGGGGTCACAGACACCATTTTCATGTTCATTGTGTCTAAACCACTTGTAATTCAGTGTTTGGGAGTGTTTATAATGTCTTTCGTCCAAAACAGGCGCATTTCAATTTTCTCCCATTGACTTATAATGGTGAGGTTGCAAAATTGACCTGACCTTAGGTCATCGATATCAAAATTCTGAGATATACATTTTGTACATGCTAATGCTCTTAGCAATCGCTGAAAGTTTCAAAGCGATCGGTCACTCGGTGTAGCTATGACAGACATTGAAACTTTTTATGAGGTGAGGTCACTTCGAGTGACCTGGTGACCTGACCTTGAATGACCTTGGTCTGAAATTTTCACAACATGTGTAGAATTGATGTATGATAAGGTGTACCAAAAACGGCGGCGCTCCGCGCCGCCGTTTTTGAGATATTCGCGAAAAACCACAGGGGGGGGTGTTCAAACACCCCCCCCCCCCAGCAGGGCGCGGGTTAAAGCTCTTTTGCTAGTGTGCCCTCAAATTTCACCAAAGGTCGACGATTGAATTCAGCATCACTAGAAGATAAGACCCGTCAAAATGGACGACTTAGCTGATTTTTTCTCAATTTCTTTGAAAACGAGCTTGTGCGACATTAATATTACTGGCATCGTAATTCTCTAGTCAAGCCGCAACGAATTAATTATAATTTGGCCTAGGTCAACTTAAAACTTTGACCTATGACCTGACCGGAAAAAAGTCATGCTGCATATCAGACGATCCGCATCGTTAAGGCTGATCAGGATCTGGAACACCTCCAAGGACAGGAAGTGTTAAAAGTGTTTTCTCTTAAAAAAATAATAAAACCATCTTTCAGGGCTTTTGTCCTCCAAATGCATTCTCATCGACCTTAGGTAGATTAAATCAAAAGATTGCGACTGAGATACCGAATCTTTTTCCCGCTCCCGGGATATTCTGGCTCTGTTATAAGTTCTCTGCGGAGTCTATGCATCTTTGGGTGACTCCGACTCCGACTTAAAAAAATAGACTCCAACTCTGACTCAGACTCCAGCTCAGACTCCGGACGCTTCCTTTAAAGTCCATAGTCCAAGTCCATGATAGTAAAGCAAATGGTGGCCAGATGTGTATGTGACCGAAAGCTTTGTGCATTTAAAAGTAATTCAAAAATAAATATCGTTTGAAGGTAATCTTGAGTTTCTTGAGTTGTCGCTATCCAACTGTCATGGACACTTTACAGTGGCCAGATGTTTTATTATGTCTGAAACGATCCTTTGCCCGTTCAATGGCTTTGAAATTGCAAATACCTATGCTTCATAGATGGCATGCACAATAAAAAGCAGGTTTCGGCGAATCCCCGGTCTTTTGCCTTTTTTTCGCTGAAAACGCTCGTCCAAAACAGGAATATGACCTATTTCGACAAAATTTGATTTTTAAAGGTCAACGAGGCGAGCGTTTAGTATCGTGTATCGTCAAATATCGTGAAGCAAACATGTGCAGGGCATGACATTGAGCCATGCAGTGTTAACTCCGACTCCGGAGTCGGGAGCCAGTTAGTAAGATTTTGGCGACTCTAGCTCCGACTCCGACTCCTGGCAGAATTGTCGAACCCGACCGACTCCGACTGCAACTCCGCAGCCTGGTTATTATGACGTTATCTGCCATAAATACATAAAAAAATGACGTAGGACGACCTCCGGACTCCGATGACCTCACCTTTGAACTGAACTAAGTAACTATTGACTGAAATTAATAATGGTATTTACCAGGGTTGCGGAGTCGATGGATTTTCGGCGACTCCTACTCCGACTCCAACTCCGGCCTTCAAAAACCAACTCCGACTCCGACTCCAACTCCCGGCAGAACTGTCGACTCTGACCGACTCCAACTCCGGACTCCGACTCCGCAGACCTGGCAGGGCTGCGGAGTCGACCGGTTTTCGCTGACTCCGATCCGACTCCGGCTCGGGATTCTAAAATCGACTCCACTCCGACTCCGACTTCGGTCATAACTGTCGACTCCGACCGACACCGACTCCGACTCCGACTCCGCAGCGCTGGTTACACCAGGGCTGCGGAGTGCGGAGTCGAATAATTTTCAGTGTCTCCGACTCCGGCTTCCAGCAATCGACTCCGACTCAAACTCAGACTCCGGGCAGAACTGTCGACTCCGACCGACTCTAACAACGACTCCGCAGCCTCGCCATATACCTACTTTCATCCCGACGACTGAGATCGATTACCGCGGTAATCGCGATGTCCGCCTTCACCTACCCAGTACACAGCAGCCGAGTTTCAAAACGTTCCATCCCCTTACTCGAATACATGCGTAACACGACGTCACTAAGGTCATCTGAGGTCATCGGAGTAGGTACCTATTTCGTCAATAACTCAAACTTGCGAAGGATGAGAGATAATCTAATATTTATATCTAAGACTCACCTTTATCGTATCCACGTCCCAGGCAATCTCCACCGGCACGCACCCCGACCCAACAGAACCCCGTCTCCGTCTGATTCAGAGCAGCAGGGGCACTTCCACGCGCTGTCCACGTGCCAACCGTCTCCGCACCCGGTCGACGTTCAGACGACACCCCCACGCTCGCCCGACACCAAACTGGTCGTTTTAAAACAAAACAATCCACGGATGTTCCCGGTTTATCAAATACATATTGTCAGAGTTATTGTAGACGTCATAAATTTACACCAATATGGAGAGGAGGAACGCTGGTAAATATGCGTGCTTTTCCGTCTAGATAATTCGAAGTGTATTGATACAAGCTACAAGTAAGCTTTTTAGCAGCATTTTAATGAACAAAATATTCAGCGTGTTAGCTTCGAACTGTAAAGCTTCTGAACCGAAGCTTTTTCCTGAGACTAGTGACGCAATTATTACGCAAAGCTCTCAGTTTTCATCGTAAGTGCTCAGAGTCCTCTAGCCTGTTTGGGGTATTACTGCTTACGTACTTATGCGATAGGTGTCGCGACGGACTCCAATGTCCCCACGCAGAGGCCAGAGCGGGCATGTGTGCCCAGGCCAGTGCTGATCATTACGAACCGTCCCAGTCAAGGCCGACGTATGTACGGTAACGGCTTAGGGGAGGGAAGAGCGAGCTCACCGTTCCATGCTTCTATCCTCAGGATACTGAAATCCTTCTCCTCCACGCCGCAACCCCCTCCGGACTGGACAGGCAACTTTATCTCATGCGGGCTCCCTTGGAGCAGCACCGCTGCTCCCGAGGGAGCGCACCCCGTAGCCGGGTGCAGTGAGTGCCTTGGGGCTGGGTGGCCTGTCCTCTGGACGGGCTCAGCCCCGGTGACTCACTAGGATGCCTGCCCAGACCAATGTCTCCCCCTAATTCCTATCATCCTTCAGGCCCTGAAATGGTCTCGTCAGACCGAAAGGGCCTAACCTAACAAAACAAACAAAAACAAAAGAGCGAGCTAAGAGTGGATGAGGGCTGCGGTAAAAAAGGGGAGCACCCGACACAACGACAGGTCCGGCCGTGCGTTTCTGAGAGTGCAGCTCGTGACCGATTATTGGGGCTGAAAGAAGTATGTACGGTCCAGGGCTGGTAAGGTGTTATGTCCTATTGACGTCGTCGGGGACACAGTACCTACCAGTAAAAGTTCAAGTACATGGGGTCAAAATTACCACATTTAATAAACTTTTACAGTAATAAATAACTTTCAAATAAAGCAGAAACTAAACGCAAGTAAAAAATATCATTGAATCCACAACGTATATCCCCTTTAACAAGGACATAAAAAGCCCCTATACCTAATACATACCTACAACATGGTTATGAACAATTAGTAGCCACAACTCACTTCCGTTAACAGCAAAACTACCGTCGACAGTTGCTAACGAAAACTAGATCAAACTAGATGATCAAACACATACTAACAGACGCTTAGACACCGACCCCGCTGTCGGCTGTGCTATTTCAAGCGGGGTTGATTGACGACCAGTTGTAGCCAGCTATACGACTAGACAAACGACTAGATTCGGAACCGGGGTCAGACCGGTTGGACATGGTAAATTCATGCGGGGTCGATAGTTTCTAGCCGTCGTCGTTGTGAGCTACCGATACAATAGCGACACCTATTGCATCTGTTCAACGATCGTAGCGCCCCCTACCCTTTCCGGGTTCTTCGTCTGGATTACGTGACAAAAGATCGTACGAAAATGATCGTAAGATAAAGATCGTATGTTGTAAAAGATCGTACGGTAAAAAGATCGTAAGCAAAAGATCGTAAAGCAATTGATCGTATGCAAAAGATCGTACGAAAATGATCGTAAGATAAAGATCGTATGTTGTAAAAGATCGTACGACAAAAAGATCGTAAGCAAAAGATCGTAAAGCAATTGATCGTATGAAAAAGATCGTAGGAAAATGATCGTAAGATAAATATCGTATGCCGCAAAAGATCGTACGACCAAGGATCGTAAGCAAAAGATCGTAAAGCAATGGATCGTGCAAAAAAAGATCGAAGGAAAATGATCGTAAGATAAAGATCGTATGATGTAAAAGATCGTTCGACAAAAGATCGCAACGTTACGTTCGTAAAGTAAATAATCGTATAGGTACATAGAATAGTGTTGTTACGAGCGAGCGAGCGCAGCGAGCGAAGCGAAGTCTTTTGAATATCAGGCAGCTTTTGCCAAATTGTCAGGGAACTCAGATTTGTTTTTCAATAGAAAAACACAATTCTAAAGAATAGTGTTTTAACTATTGACAACAAACGTTCGGTTATAACGGGAAAATCTCAGTATGAGCGGCCCGGCCTGTAACGCTTTTGAGATGCTTATATCTCAGCAACCGCTGAACCGATTGGCCTGCGGTCTTTTTTGCTGGGTAGTCCCATCCCTTCTTCCCCGTAATTGACTACTTTTGATACATCTCAGTGGCCGTCGTGGCACGTGCCACCAAGGGCGGATCCAGGAAAACTCCAAGGGGAGGGTCATGAATCGAAGTGGTGCCCCTACCTATACCCAAAATTAAAAACTCAACGGATTTCGTCCACTTCATTTTGGTGGTGCCCCCATTTTCAGTTTTTTATTTTTATTTTTTATTTTTAGCCAGTATCTTACCTCTTAGCCACAACCACATTTACCAATTGTAAGCAAGTATATATGAATGTGCTATGTGTATATATGTTGTGGACGCTGAGTAATGAGTACTTACCAGGAACGTTATCAGGTAAGCAAATCGTTGTCAGTCCGACGAACTTGACCCTGGCGTCTAAAGGGTCTGTCCTTGACACTTCAGGCTTGTCAGGGGCACCAAAGTCCTTCCAGGGACACCACAAACCTGTCAGGGGCACCTACGGCCTTGTAGGGGCGCCACAGGCCCGCCAGGGGCACCACAGGCCTGCCAGGAAGCACGGGCACCACAGGTCTAGCAAGTATACACGACAGGCCTGTCAGGGGCACAACGGGCCTGTTGGGCCCATGAGCACCCCTAGGGGCAGGGGCACCACAGTCCTTCCAGGGGCACCGCAGGCCTGTGAGGGGCACCAGCGGCCTAGCAGGGGCACCAGTCAACACAGGCCTGCCAGGGGCACCACAGACCTGCCAGGGGCACCAGAGGCCTGCCAGGAGCACCACCGACCTCGCAGGGGTAACTTGGGCCTGTCAGGGCCCAGGGGCACCACGGGCCTGTCGAGAGGCACTTCAGGCTTTTCAGGGGCACCATAGTCCTCTCAGGGCGCAGGGGTAGCAGGGGCACCAGAGGCCTGCCAGGGGCACTACAGGCCTAGCAAGGGCACCACTGGTCTATCAGGGGCACCACGAGCCTGTCATAGCCAGGCATCTCAGGCTTGTCAAGGCCCAGGGGCACCACAGGTCTGTGAGGGGCACCAGCGACCTAGCAGGGGCACCAGTCAACACAGGTCTGCCAGGGGCGCCACAGACCTGCCAGGGGCACCACAGACCTGCCAGGGGCACCACCGGCCTCGCAGGGGCACCTTGGGCCTGTCAGGGGCACGACGGGCCTGCCGAGGGGCACTTCAGACTTTTCAGGGGCACCAGTCCTCTCCGGGCGCAGGGGCACCAGAGGCCTGCCAGGGGCACCAGCGGCCTAGCAAGGGCACCAGAGGCCTGCCAGGGGCACCAGCGGCCTAGCAAGGGCACCAGAGGCCTGCCAGGGGCACCACAGGCCTAACAAGGGCACCACGGGCCTGTCAGGGGCACCTCAGGCTTGTCAGGGCCCAGGGACACCACAGTCCTTCCAAGGGCACCGCAAGCCTGTCAGGGGCACCAGAGGCCTGCCAGGGGCACCACAGGCCTAGCAAGGGCACCTCTGGCCTGTCAGGGGCACCTCAGGCTTGTCAGGGCCCAGGGGCACCACAGTCCTTCCAGGGGCATTACAAGCCTGTCAGGGGCACCAGAGGCCTAGCAAGGGCACCATAGGCCTGCCATGGACACCACAGGCCTGCCAGGGGCACCACCGGCCCTGCAGGGGCGCCTCAGGCCTGTCAGGGGCACCACGTGCCTGCCGGGGACACTTCAGGCTTGTCAGGGGCGTTACAGTCCTGTTAGGGCCCAGGGGCACCAGGCCCGTGGTGTCCCTGCTAGGCCTGTGGTGCCCCTGGCGGTCCTGTGGTGCCCCTGTCAGGACTGTGATACCCCTGATAGGCCGGTGGTGCCCCTGGAAGGTCTTTGGGCCCCCGGGCCTCAAGGGGGGGGCCATGACCCATGTGACCCCCCCCCCCTTGGATCCGCCCCTGCGTGCCACGTGTGAAGTCAAGGGTGTTCAAGCAGTTTTGCAAAAGTAATGATTTTGAGAGGCCCATATCTCAGCAGCGGCTTGAGCGATTGTCTTGCGGTAATTTTTATAGGGTAGCTGCATCCCTTCTACCAAAGGTCGGATACCCTTGATCTATGTGAGTGACCCCCAATGCACGTGCAAAATACAAAAAGAAGAGGTGCCAAATTCGTTCCCATTTCAGTAACTCGGTAATTACTGGGGCGATTTCGAACCAATGATGGACAATTGACATCTTTAACCGGCCTTCGATAACAATGACTCCTATAACTAGGATTGGATTGAAACTAGGATCCTATAACTAGGAGAATTGCGACTTCGATAGTGATAACGCGATAAACATCTGTTGATGACTCGTAAAGCGATGACGATTCAATATGAAAATGTAACAGTGCGAAGGAAAAAGTATTTTTAACGCCGTTTACTTCAGCCGCTTAAGCAACATTTTAACCTTCCAGGCGGTGGGGGGGGGGGGGGTGTGGGGGGGGGGAACATGGGTTTAGTTGTATTCACTTCAAATAGGTACATGAAAACGGCAGCACATACATTCATTTATTCGGCACATATACAACGCGTTGCTTTTAGGTGTCATTGAGCCATCTAAGCTCTGAAATAACATCAATGTATGGTCGAGCTTACGACGGCCACTTACTACGCGAACACAGAAATTGATAAGCTTTGTAAGCGCTGGAGTTGGGCTGCACCATGTGAATACCATATTTTGACTGTACGATCTTTATCTCATACGATCATTTGGCGTACGATCATTTTCCTTGACGATCTTTAGCGAATACGATCTTTTGTCCATACGATCATTATGTCGTACGATCTTTATCCATTACGACTTTTTGGCATACGATCATTTTCCTTGACGATCTTTAGCGAATACGATCTTTTGTCCATACGATCATTATGTCGTACGATCTTTATCCATTACGACTTTTTGGCATACGATCATTTTCCTTGACGATCTTTAGCGAATACGATCTTTTGTCCATACGAGCATTATGTCGTACGATCTTTATCCATTACGATATTTTGCATATGATCAACTGCCTACGATCTTCTGCCATACGATCTTCTGCTTTACGATCTTTTGTCCGGTTACCCTTCGTCTGTTACGCTACCCGCTGACCGAGTGATGCCGTGACATTTAATTAACAAACTGGAAATTTCGAAGCGCGAGTCTGATAAGCAATTTAGTACATATGACTGCTCGTAAAAAATAATATAGAAATGAAACCTAAGGAAACGCGCATCGTAGTTGCATGCAGCCTGCATACATGAATCGTAAAAAGGTCGGGGTCATTTTTCGCTCTCATTTTTTGGTCGGGGACGCAATTTGCTTTTTTACCAGCCCTGCATGTACCTATATTCTTCGGAGGGCTAGGGGAGGTCGGACGCAATCGGTAGGCTTACGTTTGTACTTTCATTTCTTCATGGATAATTTTGAAATTTAGTGTACATCGTACTTAGCAAAACATAAAATATATATCACAGATAGCTATTTATTTCATTCAGTGTTAGGTATTCACAACCGAAAACATTCCACAAAATCAGATGCATGTAAAAAAGAAAACGTCACCTTATTAACGATTGTTACTGATCATATATGCTAATTGATAATTGTACCGTGCGCAAGGCGGCAAGACGTGTAATTGAATGTTCCCGTTGTTCAGCATCTGCAACTACCTACACAGTACACAGACTTAAAATGCAAATAATGCACCTTGTGGAATCACCAAGCCAAATTGCCTAATACAAGTCATAAGCACTCTTTAACGTTGTGGCTTTCCTATAATCTAAGTGAAAAGTTTAGCATTGCTTCACCCTTGAAGCAGCGCTATCACCCACAGAAAATATACTACCACAGCCCGTAGTAGGGTGAATAGGTCAAAAACGCCCCCATTAAGCGCGAAACCTTCTGACACTCAACCCAACCCAGATTACTCAAACCTTTGGGCACCATCATGTAGCTCATTCTTTTTACTACGCTTTGAGACCAAGAAAAGACACTTGCGTCTGGTATTTAACCCCCCAAAAAGGTTTCCGCATACCCTTACAAAAGGGCGTTTTGCCCCACACCCTGGGTAATACGCCCACACCCATGTGCAAAGCGCCCCCACCCCATCCATCAACAGAAAATGATGAACGTGGCAGAACTTGACGTCATTCTGACGTCATTTGTGGTCAACCTATCATAGCCTTTGGAATAAAATGTTGTTACAATGTGTAAAATGGATGCCCGGAGGAGTCCTGAAAGTTTGGTGACGATATCTGCAGTCGTTTAGGATATATCAGCAAAAAAGGACAGGGAGAGGCCTTTTCTGCCCCGACCTACACGGCGCTACCCTGCACTCTCACCACCGTGCAAAACGCCCCCCTTTCAGAAAACTGGGGGCGTCTTGCCCCATGCATCGAGTAGGCGTCTTTCCCCATCCACTCCGTTTCTGGTCAACAAAATATTGACAAAAAACGCGCCACTATCGCCGCAGCATAATAAATTCAAAAGAATGACAATAAAACGCAGTTTTGAGTGATGTGCACAATAGCAAGTTTTGTGATATAAAGAGGGCATCAAAAGCTTAGGAATCTTCTGTAAAAACAACAAAAACAGCACCCAAAACCAACATCAGCACCTACCCACGCTGCTCCTCAAGACGCAGAACCGGAAATAGAGAACTACGTAAACAAGCAGCTGACTGTTCTGAAAGGCAGGATAAAACACCTATCCGTCGATAAGATCTACGATTTTTTTAGGGGAGGCGTTTAACCCAGGGGTGCGTTTTCCCCACAGTTACCCTACACAACTTACCTACATCTCTGACTAACGTGTGGGTATAGGTGCAGTTGACTAATGATGATCCACTCCTCAGAATCTAGCAGTTGACTGGAACGCAAAGATGCGACGTTTATCACGCAATAACCCGCGACCGCCTGGGGGGGGGGGGGGGGTCGGATCCGACCTCCGTTTTTCTTAAATAACTCATGAACCGCTTACGCTATCAACTTGAAACTTGGCATACCTTCTCCCCCACCAATTTGACGTCTCCTGTGTGATTTTAAAGATTTTTCTTTCCAATTTTTTTTTAGATATACCTATCGATTTTAGTGATGTGTAACTACATGACGTTTTCAGTCAAAAAGTGGTAAATGTTTTAAAAATCGCCAAAAATCATGGTTTGAAGCAAATTGCAAAAAGGACATAAATAGACGCAGCTCAACGAGTTCTTCAAAATGGCTATCGATTTTCCATAAAATGCGTTTTTCATCCCTAGAAATTCAAAAAACTATATTTTTGGAAAACAGCTAATAAAATCCAAAATTTTGAGAATTTCCAAAAACTGGAATATATGTTATAGAACTTTATCAGAACATTAGATGCCCCAAATTTCAACTTTCTATCTTGATTTTTGACCCCCAAATTGTAAAAAATAGCTCCAACATGCATAGGGCATGGTGACGTCATAAGCATTTTCGTGAATAAGAGGCACTTCTGAACATCGCATGTGAAAACAAATGGCACCACTAGATTTCTGGGACAAAGCGCGTCTAGAAAAATGCATTTTTATGTCAAAAATAAAAAGTTGAAAAATTGACTTTTTCTTAGCCCTCGTTTAGTTATGTATGATATAAACGTTTTTTTATGCTTTCAATGCACACTTATCACCAGCACAGTGACTTAGGGTCACATATAACCATTACCATCGGATTCGGCGTGAAAAATAAGCCATAAAACATGTGTCGCACGCCCATGCAGCAGAAAGTGAAAACCGTGACCTTTCGTGACCTGACCTGACCTTGACCCGTACTTAGTATGACCCCTATATGCACATGGTACCTTCACTAGGTCTTTGAGGTCATGTTTGGTGAGTTTCGAGCAGCAGCTATCGATTCCGCTGTCCGTAAGCCTAATCATGCAAAACCCCAGAATTTGACCTTTTACCTGATCTTGACCCGAAAGTTGACCTCATCTTAAAATCTTAAGAGTGCTTTGGGAAGGTCTCGTAGAGACCTTTCGAACGCCGCCTTGCGGGGCTCGATGCGACCATTGGTTCTCGAGATAACAGGGGGAGTCGGATCCGACCCCCCCCCCCCCCCCCCAGGCTGTCGTGGGTACGGAAATAGCCCAGGCGGTACCGGGATAAAGCGTGTCGGTGTCTAGCTATGGTGAGCTTTGGGTCACAGCATTTAACCTGTGAACTCAGCCCGTGTGATGCGGTACAGCCTACCACTCCAGGCAACTCATTGCCTGTGAAAAGTGCAACATCAGTCCGTAGTCAACAGTACAAAAGAGACAGAAGGACGATCGAGCCATTTTTTTCATCACGCTGACATCTCAGATATCTGTTTCGCTGGTGGGCGGGCCCTCTGACCCGTGACCTGCACCGGTGCCGGCCTCTCCGCCGCCGGCCACTGCGGACCACGGGGCCTGACGGGGCAGACGGCGCCGGCGGAGAGCGCTGCTCCGCGCTGCCTTCACCGTGAACGAGCCGAAGATGAACACGCCCTGCAGCGTGTTGAGGACGATAAAGATGTGCCACAGCAGCGGAAAGTCGGCCCAGCCGGCCAGCAGGCCAACCAGCCACGAAAGGCCGGAGATCACGGCTAGACGGCCACACAGCCTCAGGTTCGTCTGCGGACAAATGGATCCAGTAGACGTTTTATCTAGGAGCATGGTGAGGGCGCATACACGTATGTTAAAGCATAAGACCGTATTTAAATTTCAATGTAGGCACACAAAAAGAAAAGTAGGTAGTTGGAAGGTAATGGTATGATACCTTAGAATCTCGATAACGATCGGATTGTGCTAATCCGTTTATAGGTGAGCATGCAGGTGTGGATGTATCGCCAAGCCATTTGCAAACGGCCCTGATTTCCCAACGGCCTGCAGCTTATAAATGTTAACCACACAGCCGATTAACTCGTAAACATTCGCTGTACCTTTGACGGTGAGCAGGTGACTCTGGCCGTTGACTGTTCCGCCCTGCGGACGATCAGCGTGCTGCCGACGAACAGCGCCATGTTGGCCACCATGATAACCAGCAGCGGCACGGCGAAAAACACCAGCAGGGCGCGCCGCCGGCTGAACCAGCACACCCGCTCGCCGAAGCCGGGGCGGTAGGCGGGCGCGGCGCGTGGAGACGAGTCGGTGATGACGGCGGAGGTGACGAGAGTGGCCGTGGCGGTGACGGTGTACAGGGTGTAGCGCAGGAACGGTCTCAGACGAGCGCCGGTGGTGACACGGAGCTCGGTCACAGCTCGCCTGAGGGTGGGGAGAGAATGATTGTGTCGAACCGTAAAAATCGCTTTGCAGGTTTCCAGAAATCCCGGAACTTTTATGTTCGTTCTATCAGGCCAGCATCTTCCTATCCAGCTGGGAAGGGTGAATAATGAGTAATGAGGAAGTTTTAATTTTGGGCAGTGAATTATGTAAGACTGGATGCTTAGCTTCCTGGGATAGTAAGCGCAGTTTGTCTTTTTCTCACTTATATTCACTTTTAGGCAAAGCTAATTGATAAGGCCTATACAAAAACCCACCGGAGAGACATGAAGACATCGAAGGCCATGACGTTCATCCAGAAGAACGAAGCCATGAAGGCGGCGTACATGACGACGCCGAGCACTCGGCAGCCCTCGGAGGCCGGCTCCTGGAACGGCGCCGCCACGAAGCAGATGTAGCCGACCAGCAGACAGGCGCAGAGCGCCGCCAGGTTCTTCCCGGGCAGGTTGCGCTGCTCGGGCACCAGACAGAACAGCGCCAGGTGGCAGCAGAGGCAGACGATGGACACGACGACGAACACCAGCGACAGGGTGCCCAGCGCGGCGTCAAACTTGCTGAAGTCGCCCGACTTGGAACACACCACCAGCTCGCCGTCTCTGAGCTGGAACTCGCCCTCGGCGTACCGCTGGTCGTACAGCTGGACGTAGACGCTGCCATCAGACCGGTTCTCAAATTCATTGGGAGATAGATAGAACTTTGGGCAGTACTGAAAAGGAGTGAAGTCCGTACTGCTTGTGGCTGGTTTGTTTTTCGGCGCGCAAGTGTCACCGTCTAGCAGCTGTCCATTATCGCAGAATACTTCACGACACTTTTGGAAGAACGGATCCCAGACACTGGTGCCCTTGCATACATCCACAGCTCCCACGTCATCACTCCCAGAGCGATCGCTGAAGTCAAAGAGGACCGAGAAGGACATTCCCTCGCCGCCCAGCATGGGAATATCAAGGAGCCGACCACATTGGAGCTTGTCCGGTGGAATGCCGTTGCAGAGCGCGCAGTGCCGGTTACGGTAGACGTGGCGGTACTCGCCGGCGCGCGGGTTAGTCCTGCCCATGTCTCGGACCCTGGCGGTGTAGGCGGCACACTCTGCCGCCGTCTCTTGATCCGCCCAGTCCGGCGCGCAGTCGGATACCGCCGGCACGCAACCGCGCACGAGGCTCGTCAGCTCTGAAGGTACTACTATTTTGGTGTCACAATCATTGAACGCCAGCGAGCCATCTTTCGTGGTCAAGCTCCACTTACCGCCTTTGTTTCGCCGAAGCCACACACTTGATGAGTTCTGTTTGCGGGCCTCATCAGGAATGTCCCACGTCATCATTGGGCAGTGAACAGCCACGCTCCAAAACACGGCTTCTTTCGTGTCTTCGTGACATCGGGCACACGCCGCGTTTAGATACGTTCGTCCAGACTGGGGGCTCGTTACAGGGAGGGCGATCAGGGGGTCATCGGATAGCGAAATGTCCTCTGACTCGCAAGCCCGCCTCGTGGCGTCGCTGGGCCATGATGTTGGACATTGAGACACCGTATAAATATAAATGTAAGGCGAAGTAAAACTCATATAGTCGCCCCAGTATGCACACGCAATCCCTTCAGGTCCGGGAGTATACCAGGGTACGTCACGACAACAGTCTCCGAACGTTGAACAGGTCCTGTCGCATGAACACCCATATCTCCTTAACACGTCTATATCACCGATGGTATAAGGCTGCCATTTGGATCTGTTTCTAGCGGCGCATTGGTTTTCCACGCACTCGGTGACTCTCGATGATGATGACGTCGTGTTTGAAGGAGACACAAGCGCTGAGATGTCTGGAGTCCTTCCGATGGTGCCAACAGGACTGACTAACACAACGACTCCCACCAGAAGTGGCAATACGAGTCTTCGTAACTTGAGAGACATCATACTCTGGCGGTTGGCGCTCATTCGTAAATAATATGGGCTGTCTTGATGGACATGTGTGGCGATGCTATAGAAAATGTTTCGCATCTATCAACCACTCCAGAAGATAGCACTGTTCCACCCCAGGTTATTCTGCTAGTCTGAGCCCATAAGGCAACGCGCAATGGTTTAAATTATCCGCTGTTGCACAATTGCAGTTTTACCTCATTCACTTATCCCGTTGTTAGGGCTCCTTCACAATGCTTGCGGGCAAATGGAACACTGCAGCACCATCGCGCCGAACTTAACACTTTTCTCCAGACTGTCTTGGACACCACACTTTCCTTCGGACTGCGTTGGAAGCCACACTTTCCTTCAGACTGTCTTGGACGCCACACCTTTCTCTAGCCCGTGCACGCCACCTGCCCCGTCTCCCCGTGGCCACCCACTGAATTGCCCCCGGGCCCGGTGGGATCACAACAGTGCCAGGGGCGCACCCAGGAGCCCACCATGGAAGGTCTGCCCTTCTCAAGGTCATCATAAGACCATCGTCTTTCGTCTGTGTATTTACAAATCTGACCGTTCGAAGTTCAGCACATGTGTTTGTGATTCATCTCAAAGCGATGATACATCTTAGAGCGTCACAGATTATGTACCTTGTGTAACTAATGAGCAATTTCATGGCAAGAGAAGACCCCGACGGGACTGCCACCCGTGCGACCAAATATTATCCTGCCGTCTGCCGTCCCGTTCTGTTGCTCTGATCAGGCCTGTGTATAGATCACATCCTGGCCATTGATAAACATTTAGTGCTCATTGTGAAAAAGTGGACCGGGATATTGACCTCCGTACCTCCCGCGACGGTTTGGTGAGAGAACGAAATCAGGACATGTTAAACAAATATCCATACCTATTACCTTAATGATTGTAAAATATCATACGAATGTAGATCAGTCAAATGTGCATCGACTTGCTTCCAAATCCTAATCATCATTGGTTTTCTTTGCTTCTTCTGTATTCAGAAATACCTGAGTAAAAATTTTGCAGTACCATACATTCCACCTTCGGTGTCCTACAAGGTTCACTCATTGTGTGCATTTAGTGCTCGAAATACACCAGATACAAGTCTGCCCGCAGACTATTTGCATTGCATGCACGACGATAAAATAGTGCATTTGACAACGAAGCGATTAGCGATTTCGAGAAAACCGTTTCAATCATAGATTCGATCAAAGACGGAATTTGGTTGTCTCGCAATTATGTAGTTTGTATAGGAAGGCGAGAGGGGGGAGGCGTTTCATAAATACGTAGCGTAGGTAGTCTTGTAGGGCTATTGCCGGACCCGGCTGGCTGTATAAGGGAGGGGTCATAGTGGCCTGCTGCTATTTAGGAAACTACTGGGTCGGTTTTCACATCATAGTAGGTAGTCTTTTATAGGCAAGGTTATAGGTATGTTGTAGTAATCTTGGGTAAGTCTAAGATCTACCAGGTGACCCAGTTATTTTTACTAAAGTACTGTCGTTAATGTCACAGACATGTTTATTCTCATTTACCCTCGCATGTGTGCGGCGTTTGCCAGCTTCTAATGTGTAGGGGGGGGGGGGGGTCGGTTGGACCCCCCCTTGCCGTTTGGCCCCTGATCGAGCTAGAGCTTCGCGGAAAAAACGAGCGTGTTGCCCGTGACGAGAGGAAGCCGATGATACCCCATTTTAAGGTCCTAGGTCATTGGTTGACCTTCCAGGTCAGGTCAATGACCCAAAGTCGGGAAAATCGGGACCGATTAGAAAGTCGTAAAGTGTGGCTGCTAAGGGATTTTTGGGGGTGCTGATTACGAATATCGTGTTAGTTTTGATCACATATGATGTCTTTAAGCATTTAGACCAGGTCGGGTCAGGTCAGGTCAGGTCAACCAGTAGGGGTTGTGACGGGTATTCGTAGTACGTGTCATCCGCCTCTGACAGCTTCGTAACATGTTACGAAGGCACCAAAACTACTTCGTAAATGTTCAAATGGTTACTAAATTCGAATTCAGCTCCAAAAACTAGCCTAGAAACATGTAAAACACGAAAAAGTGAACCGAGGTCACCCGAGGTCACCAAAGGTCAATGACCTGACCTGACCTTCAGGTGACCTTGACACCCACCCTAATGCATGGGAGCAACATCAAATCACATGTTTGAACGTTTGAAACCACGAAAAGCTTGCAAACGCGCGGCTAATGCGAGCCGACATACGCGAAATCGCGATTCCGGCCAAACATGGTCTCGGAAAAGAGGTCACAGGTCAAAAGTCATTTGGGTCAGGGTCATGAAATTTTCAGGGTAGGTGTAAAATTGATCAATGCGAGGGTACTGAAAGTTTCGTCGTGATCTGCCGCTTTTTACGCGAGTTATTTGCGAAAAACCATGGGGGGGTCCATCCGACCCCCCCCTACACATGCGAGGGTTAACCCTCGTCGGCACAAGGGGGGGGGGCTGATGCAACCCCCCTAAGGTTCTTCGCAAATAACTCGCGTAAAAAGCGGCCGATCGCGCGACGAAACTTTCAGAACCCTCGCATTGATCAATTTTACTCCAAACTCTCTGAAAAGTTCATGACCCTGACCCAAATGACCTTTGACCTGTTACCTATTTTCCGAGACCATGTTTGGCCGGAATCGCGATTCGGCGAACGTCGGCTCGCATTAGCAGCGCGTTTGCAGTCTTTTCGTGGTTTCAAGCGTTCAAACATGTGATATTATGCTGGTCCCATGCAATAGGGTGGGTGTCAACTTGTCAAGGTCACCTGAGGGTCAGGTCAGGTCAGGTCATTGATCTTTGATGGCCTCGGTTCACTGTTTCGAGTTTTACATGTTCCTAGGGTAGTTTTTGGAGCTGAATTCGAATTAAGCAACCATTTGAACATTTACGAAGTAGTTTTGGTGCATTCGTAACATGTTACGAAGGTGTCAGAGGCGGTTAACACCCTCTACGAATACCCAGCAGGACCCCTACTGGTTGACCTGACCAGTGGCGTATCCAGGATCTTGAAAAGGGGGAGGCCAAACTTGCTCAAGGGGCCCCACCCTTACCTTAGGGGCCCCAGTAGTGGCGTACTTATGCCACGCCCAGGTGCGGTTCTTTGCCACTTTCATCATGTGAGGAAGTCTTTTTAGGCACACTCGACAATATAAAAAAGAAAAGAAAAACGTGAAAAAGCCATCGACATCGATAGCTCTGTATGTAGTGTACAATCTATTTCAGCAGTAGGCATACAGTTTTTTTTTTTTTTTTTGCTTTGGTAGTCGCCGGGGCCACTAAAGATTATCAAAAGCAAAATGTTTTGTCAATTTTTTACGGTTGTAACATTTTTCAAGGGGCAGATGTCAATCTCTTATCTTAGTGTCTTGCGCTGGTTGAGGGTTGCGCTGATACCCTGAACTTTAGAAGGGCCCGACTCAGTCGGGTTGAGCTCTGGTCTAGACTCTGATGGCTCTATGTCGCCCACATTGGCCTCACTCCGACCTCTGAAGGCTCATTCTGGCCTCTGAAGGTCCCACACCGGCAACAGAGTGAACCACGCTGGCCTCCGGGCCCCATAATGGCCTTAGGAGGAGACCCATGCTATGGCTGACCTCATAGCCCCCCCCCCCCGCTGGCTCTGGGAAGTCTTTGAGTCAGTCTGACGACCCTATGCCGCTCTCAGGGGCGTAACCAGGAAAACTCCAAGGGGAGGGTCATGAATCGAAGTGGTGCCCCTACCTATACCCAAAATTAAAAACTCAACGGATTTCGTCCACTTAATTTTGGTGGTGCCCCCATTTTCAGTTTTTTATTCTTTTTATTTTTAGTCAGTATCTTAACTCTTACCCACAACCACATTTACCAATTGTAAGCAAGTATATATGAATGTGTTATGTGTATATATGTTGTGGACGCTGAGTAGTGAGTACTTACCAGGAACGTTATCAGGTAAGCGAATCGTTGTCAGTCCGACGAACTTGACCCTGGCGTCTAAAGGGTCTGTCCTTGACACTTCAGGCTTGTCAGGGGCACCAAAGTCCTTCCAGGGACACCACAAACCTGTCAGGGGCACCTACGGCCTTGTAGGGGCGCCACAGGCCCGCCAGGAAGCAGGGGCACCACAGGCCTGCCAGGAAGCAGGGGCACCACAGGTCTAGCAAGTATACACGACAGGCCTGTCAGGGGCACAACGGGCCTGTTGGGCCCATGAGCACCCCTAGGGGCAGGGGCACCACAGTCCTTCCAGGGGCACCGCAGGCCTGTGAGGGGCACCAGCGGCCTAGCAGGGGCACCAGTCAACACAGGCCTGCCAGGGGGCACCACAGACCTGCCAGGGGCACCAGAGGCCTGTCAGGAGCACCACCGACCTCGCAGGGGTAACTTGGGCCTGTCAGGGGCACCACGGGCCTGTCGAGAGGCACTTCAGGCTTTTCAGGGGCACCATAGTCCTCTCCGGGCGCAGGGGTAGCAGGGGCGCCACAGACCTGCCAGGGGCACCACAGACCTGCCATGGGCACCAGAGGCCTGCCAGGGGCACCACAGGCCTAACAAGGGCACCACGGGCCTGTCAGGGGCACCTCAGGCTTGTCAGGGCCCAGGGACACCACAGTCCTTCCAAGGGCACCGCAAGCCTGTCAGGGGCACCAGAGGTCTGCCAGGGGCACCACAGTCCTTCCAGGGGCATTACAAGCCTGTCAGGGGCACCAGAGGCCTAGCAAGGGCACCACAGGCCTGCCATGGACACCACAGGCCTGCCAGAGGCACCACCGGCCTTGCAGGGGCGCCTCAGGCCTGTCAGGGGCACCACGTGCCTGCCGGGGACACTTCAGGCTTGTCAGGGGCGTTACAGTCCTGTCAGGGCCCAGGGGCACCAGGCCCGTGGTGTCCCTGCTAGGCCTGTGGTGCCCCTGGCGGTCCTGTGGTGCCCCTGTCAGGACTGTGATACCCCTGATAGGCCGGTGGTGCCCCTGATAGGCCGGTGGTGCCCCTGGCAGGTCTTTGGGCCCCTGGGCCTCAAGGGGGGGGGCCATGACCCATGTGACCCCCCCTTGGATCCGCCCCTGGCCGCTCTCGAACCCACGCCGGTCTCTAGAAGCCCATGATGCCCCCTGAGTGCCCCACACTGGCCTAAAAGGGCTCTACATTATCTTTGGAGGGCCCCAAGCTAGTTTCGGTGGCCATTGGGCCTCAATCTGACCTAAGAAGGCCCCATGTCGCTGGGCTTAAAAGATCCCACGCTGGACATAAACGGCCCCATGCTGAACATAGAGGGTCCCACACTGGCCTTACAAGGCCCCACACTGGCCTTACAAGGCCCCACACTGGCCTTAGAAGACCCCAAAATGGCCTTAGAGGGCCCCACGCTGGCCTTAGAGGGCTTAGCGCTGGCTCCTTAGGGCTCTACACCAGCGTCAAAGGATCCCACGCTCGAGTCTAAGCTTCTTTATGGCCGCCAAAGCGACCTCTAAGGGCCCACGCTAGCCTCTGGCTGGGGGCTCAGCCTTGGCCTCTGAGGGCCTATGAGGGCCATCAAATGGCATTTTAAGATAGTTTGACGCAGTTTGACTTTATTTATGCTTGGGCCAGTACTTTGGATGAGGCCCTGAAGGTCGTTTCTCTTGGGACACTCAAGCAGGCACGTCGCGTAGTGACACGTACCCAGGATTTCGCCCAGGAGGGAGCCGCCTGCTCTCAAAGGGGCCCACGGGTCACCCGGATGCCGCTGTCAACCCAGGCAGGGGCGTATCCAGAACCCTTCGATGAGGGGATTGGGCACATGGTGGGTCCGGTTCCCCCTTGCAGACGGGCCCCTCTGTCTGTCTGTCTGTCTGTCTGTCTGTCTGTCTGTCTGTCTAAGCCCCGAGAAAATGTCCAAAATTGGCAGGTACAAAGATCTTTTTTTTTTGCTTGAGAAGTGTGCATAAAATGCACGGTATTTTATGAGGAAGTGAAGCGAGCGAGCGCCTCAGAGTCACCTGTAGTCTGAGTCACCCTCAGAGGTGTCGGTGAAAGGCCGTCGGATGCGCTGGTGTGGGGTCCTCACAGGCGCCGTTGTGAGGGCCTTATGGGCTTAGAGACACTGATGGGGGCCATCACTTAGGCGTGTGTGGGGCCCTGAAAGTTACTGGTGTTCCTTCATAGGCCGGCAAGGGACCCTCAGAGGTCGGTAAGAGGCCCCCAGAATCGCTGGTAAGTGACCGTCAGATGCATAGGGCGCTGCATAGGGCCCTCAGAGGTGCCGGTGTGGGGCTCTTAGAGCCGCCGAAGTAGGCACTGGTGCTAAGAGGCACTGGTGTGGGGCCCTTAGAGGTGGCAGTGGAGGCCCTCGCAGGCGCCGTTGTGAGGGCCCTCAGAAACACCGGTGTGGGCCGTGGGGCCATAGCATTTAGCAAACGGGTATGGGGCCCTTACAGCTGATCCCTTATTGGCCGGCAAGAGCCCTCAGGGCCGGCAAGGTCCCTCAGAACCTGGCGTGAGGCCCTTCTGGAGATACATAAGTGTGGCTACACAAGAGCCCATGGGGTGTTCTCACAAGCCCTGTGGTCTCCTTTCCAGTTGAAGCGTTGCCAGCGTGGGCCCTCTGCCGCCAATTGGCACCGCAGGGCCTTTTCGGGCCCGAGGGGACCCTGAACCCTATAACGGAGACGTGCCCCCTCGCCCCTGGCCATACTATGAATCCGAGTGATCACGGACCGTTCAGGTAATCAGGGGCCTCTCAGGTGACCAGGGGCCTTACAATTGACCAGGGCCTTTCAATTGACCAGGGGTCTTTCAATTGACCAGGGCCTTCCAGGTGACCAGGGGACCCTCTGATAACCAGGGGACGGTTATACCAGGGGCTCCACGGGTAACTAAGGGCCTTTATGTGACTGCATGGGCCCTTCATATAACCAGGTACCTACTCCCGGGTAAACATGGGCACTTCAGGTGACCAGGGTTGCTTCAGATCACTGGCCAGGGGATCAGGGGCCCTTCAGGTGCCTAGGGGCCCCTTAGATCTAGGGGCCCCCTAGCCTGCGCTCCACGCGCCGGCTGAGTGTCGATGCGCTGTGCTACGACCTGCTGGTGGCCGACTGGAGCTCGGTGTACGACTCGGCCGACGTCTGTGACAAGTGGTCAGCGTGGCTGTCGGTGTGGTCTCCCTGCATCGATCGTCACATGCCGCTGGTGAAAATCAAGACGCGACACCGGCCCTGTCCGTGGCTTGACGATGAGCAGGTCCGAAATGCGATGCGTGAGCGGGACGAGGCGCGTGCTGAGTGTGACCGAGCTGCTGACACTGACACACGTGACAGATACCGTGCGTGTCGCAATGCAGCAAAAAGTGCTCAGTACAGAGCCCGTGCGACCTTCTTCGAGACCTCTTACCGTCATTCCAGGAAAACAACATGGAGGGACATTCGACGCTTCATGATATCTTCCAACAAGACGAGACCGGCTCCTCTTCCTACTGAACATGTGGCAGCGCTGGCGGACCGTCTGAACGCACACTTCGCCACCGTAGGTCAGAGCGTTGCAGCCGCTGCTACTGCGAGGCGGGCGGGCGCGCGGCCGCTCGGCCCTCGCCCGCCGCGGGTGTGCAGCGCCACCTACCGAGTGAAGCCGGCAACTCTACCCGAGCTCAGCCGGGCGCTGAGTGGCATGAGCGCTTCCAAGGCCTGTGGTGAGGACGGCATCACCGTCTCTATGCTGCGCAACACTTTCTCGGTTGTCGGGCCCCACTTGCTGCATGTGATCAACGCCTCCATTGTGTCTGGTATCGTACCGCCTGACTGGAAATTAGCTACTGTCTTACCGCTTCATAAGTCCGGTAGTAAAACTGATCCAAACAATTACAGACCTATTTCTATCTTGCCGACTGTCGCAAAATTAGCTGAACGTGTTGTGTGTGACCAGCTAATGGAGTACCTGTCTGTGAACTCTGTGCTGTGTGAGCAGCAGCACGGATTTAGACCCGGCCACTCCACGGAGACGGCCATGCTCGATGCTGTGATGTATCTGACTGAGTCTTTGGACAAAGGGCAAATTGCATCTCTTTCGGCGATTGACACCTCTAAAGCCTTTGACAGCGTCGAGCATGACCGGCTCCTGGAAAAACTCGCGTGGTATGGTGTTGAGCAGCACTGGTTCTGTGACTGGCTGAGTGGCCGCAGACAGCGTGTGCGGGATGGTCATGATGTTTTGCCGCTGAGTCATGGTGTGATCCAGGGATCAATTTTAGGACCAATTTTATTTTTATTATTTACAAACGACCTTTCATCTCACATCACTGGTTGTAGGCTCATAATGTACGCGGACGATGTGCAGTTCATCCACACATGTCACCCAAAAGATTTTACTAAGTTGAAAGAGCGCATTGAGGAAAGTTTAAGGATAGCTGACGCCTGGTTCTCGCAGAACAGTTTAAAAATCAATCCCACCAAAACAGATTTCATGCTGGTGCATGCCCACCAGCGGCGCTCGGTAGGCACGTTTTCCATCGACTTTGACTCATCCACTATTCACCCCTCCCAGTCTATCAAAACATTAGGCGTCGTTGTCGACAAAAACTTGACCTGGGAGGCACACGTGTCAGCTGTAATCAAGCGCTGTTATGCATGCATCTGTGGTCTATCAAAATTTTCGCAAAGACTGACCGAGCCTGTGAAAAAGAGACTTCTTGAAGCACTTGTGTTTCCTCATTTGATGTACTGTTTGACTGTGTGGGGGAGCTGCAGCAGGGCCCAGCGGTACCGTATCCAGAAGGTAATAAACCATTGTGTTCGTATTGTGAAGGGTGCTCGCCGGTATGATCACGTGACCCCCCTCCTGACGGAGCTGGGCTGGCAGCGATTTGACGATCTGTTAAATCAGCGTGATTCATAGGCGCGGGAGCCGGGGGGGCAGTGGGGGCAGCTTGCCCCCCCAACTCTAGGGCCGTGGGGGCGGTGCCCCCACAACTTTGAGACGAAATACTGCACTTTTTTTGCAAATGTTTTTCTTTTTTGTTGAAAAAGCCGAGGGATGAAAAATAAGTGGCCTAAAACCGGTGAGAAAACTAGATTTGGGGGTACCCTAGGTTCATCTCCATTATGGTGTGCCCCCCCAGTCTGAAAGTAGTTCCCGCGCCTATGGCGTGATTTGGCGGCGATGCACATGATTCTGCACTCGCCTCGTTCGCCTGTGTGCCTGAGAGAGCGTGTGACTTACCGTGAGACCGTGTCAAGCCGTGTCACTCGAGGCACAGCCGACAGACTCTTGGAGCTGCCCAGGGTCCGTACAGAGATTGCTCGTCGCTGCTTTGCATTCCGTGCTGTTTCCGCATGGAACAGCAGCAAGTCGGTATCGCGCGACTCGGCGAGCTCGCGGACTTGTACTCGGCGGGCGCAATGATCGCACCACCAGCCAGCCGATATCTGATGTCTCTCATTTTATTTGTACCTATTTCTACTTTTTATTTTTATACCTACCTTTTATTATGAATGTGAATGTGCATGAATGTGAGTACCATTGTAAAATGTGAAGCGTAACCGGAAGAGCCACCACGTGGAGTGTTATAAGAATACATGATTGATTGATTGATAGATAACTAGGGCCCCTCAGGTAACCAGGGGCCCTCATATACCAAGAGGCCCCACTGGTAACCAGGGGCCTCTCAGATAATCAGGGGCTCTCAGGCAATCACGGGCCCCTTAGGTAAGCAGGGGCCCCTCAGGTAAGCAGGGCCCTCAGGAAACCAGGGGCCCCTCAGGTAACCATGGCCCCTCAGATAACCAGGGCCCCCGTAGCCAGGGGCCCCTCAGGAAAGTAGGAGTCCTTCAGATAACCAGGGACCAATCAGGTAACCAGGCCCCCTCAGATAACCAGGGGCCCCTCAGATAACCAGGGGCCACTCAGGTAACCAGGGCCCCTCAGATAACCAGGGGCCCCTCAGATAACCAGGGACCCTTAGACGACCAGGGGGACCCTCAGGTAAGCAGGGCGCCCCTCAGGGCCCCCATTGCCCCCCTTGGGTACGTCACTGCACTCAAGTAACCCAAAGGGCCCACTTGCATGTTCATTGCCAAAGTGGGAGGCCATGGCCTCTTGGCCTCCCCCCTGGATACGCCACTGGACCTGACCCGACCTGGCCTAGATGCATTGCATGAAGACATCATCTGTGATTACAACTAACATGATATTCGTGATCAACACCCCGAAAACCCCATAACAGCCACACTTTACGACGTTCTAACAGATCCCCGATTTTCCCCACCTTTGGGTCATTGACCTGACCTGGAAGATCAACCGATGACATAGAACCTTAAAATTGGGTATCATCGGCTTCCTCTTGTCACGGGCAACACGCTCGTTTTTTCGCGAAGCTCTAGCTCGATCAGTGGCCAAACGCCAGGGTGGGGGGTCGTACCCCCCCCCCCCCTGTGCCGTCCAAGGTCGCAAAATGGCCTGTGCCGGTGAGGGTTAACATTAGGTTTTGTACCAAGAAATTATAAAGGCATTCAGCTGATACTTCGTTCGCATTTATGATTTTCGTCAACAGCTAATGCACAATTCGGTAGAGATGGAGTCCAATAAGTTTTTTTACGCGCGCAGATAATCACAATCATCTCACACGACCATATAGTTTTTTCACACGACCATATAGTACCTACAGGACAGCATGAGAACCATTAAAATTCAAAAGAGAAAAACATAAGTCTCCTATCTAGCATGAAATGAAGTGAACAAAAAAGAGTGAAAGCCCTTTAGTAGCAAAGAAGTTCAGATTTTACCCTTTTAGACATTTCGACCGTTTCCAGATCCCGCCACGGCCAGTGGTTGTCCATCCGGCTGGCATCCAAACTACAGCCTCTACTTCCTTCCGAGAGATGTCGCTAGGCTCGCGTCGGTGCCGACGCCGTGTGTCTGATCCACGGCGCGACAGACGGCGGCTCTATTTCGGGTGCGGCACACATGCCAAGGCGGGCCGGCCGCGCCGCCGCCGACGGCCCGTCGCGAGTGAAACGGAGAGGGAGCGAGAGAAGGCCAGTCACGCCGGCACCGGCCGCGTCGAACCGACGCCCCAGGACGGCGCTGAGGCTGCGTGACCCAGCTGTGACCTAGCCGTGACCTGGCCGTGACCTGGCCGTGACCTAGCCGTGACCTGGCCGTGACCTAGCCGTGACCTGGCCGTGACCTGGCTGTCATCCAGTCGTGATCTAGCCGTGATTTAGCTGCAACCCAGCCGTGACCAGGCTATGGCCAGTGCCTGAACGAGATGAAGTAACTGCTCCACGACCAGCAACATCTGACTGCGGCGGTATCACTGTCTGCTATCGGATCCAGCCTCCTAGCCAATCTTCGCTTCAATCTCCGTCAACTTCGGACCAGCCCAGCATCTGACGCAGCAGTCGCTGCAGCTCGATTGGCCCCCTTCTTCAGAGCTCCTGACATCCCGAGTCTTTGCTGCACAAAGTCTCTCGCCCTCTATCACGGATGTGGCAGGGACGAGGAGCCCACGTCATTCCTTCAGGCCGCAGTGCCTCCTTCCAGTGAGGCAATGTGCCGACCACGAGGGCGACCGGGTGCGGCTCCGGTCAGCCTAGCCACCGCTGGATCCTCGCCAGGTAAGACACCTGTGGATTAACTGATCGAGATCGGCAGTCCGTGTACTGAATGGGTTCAGGTTAATGGAGTTGGATGGGGTTGAGCAATTGCTGGCGCTGTGACGTCTTTGTTGGTGCTGTCTGGATTTAACATGGACTCTACAGATACGGATGTTTTCTTTTTGTATATTGTCCAAAATAAAAAACGTAGTTGGACAGCGTTAGACACGTACGTACATAGATGAGACTGCTGGATTTTCCGTCAAATGTAAAGTCACTCTGATCAAATATTTACAAGAAATCACGCCAAAATAGTCTAGTCGATTTTTCTCAAATTTATGAGGACCTCCACCGTCTACGAGAGGTTAGAAAATATATTTTACGAGAGACCATTGAGAGAATGCAACTGCAGTGGTGCATAGGTCAGTTTGACTATTTGAACTTATAGTTATTTTAGTATCCCTATCGCGCACTGTCATCGTTGTAAAATTTGTAAAGTAACCAGTTGGTGGTATCTGGAAACCTTGCAGTTGATGGCAACAAATTATTTTCTTTATATACCGTACGATCGAAATTAGCCCAGCTATGACATGAACGTTGAACTTGTATGCACTCTGCATTGCTTGCAATTACCTCCGACCCTGGGCAATATTGCAATTATAATTGTATAGGCATGTTTCAAGATCCCGATGGCCGGAATCTGAATTTCCTCTGCTAGCTTGAAAAGTTGTCGTATTTGTTGTCTCGTATTTTCAGTGTACTCAATCCATGAGCTCCAACTATCGATAACATTTTCGACAGGTCTCGCAACCTGCACTTCGCATAGAATTTCCATAAAACAATAAGGTTGCAATTAAAATACGTATAGGTTATTTTTATTAAAGTTAATGCGTCATAAGATAAGACCGAGGGTTCTGGATGATCTTATTCTTCGGTTTATTTTTTCTTCTTTTAACTGACAAGCGACTACCTCGAAGCAGTAAGAAAAGAAACTAGTTCATGACCTTAAAAAATCACTTAGGTATCTGTATTTTGAGTTGCAGCATCTTGTATGTTTACTACGTGATACGGTCATTTATCCGGTCTATTATTAAATTATTTAGTGATTAGGTCATTATTTATCATCCTTCATTGATCTGGACCAGCAGTCACATGGAAATGACACCTATGTAAACAATGTTACTCTAGATTCGCATCAATAGAAACTATAGTTTCCATTGATGCGAATCTAGAGTAACATTGTTTACATCATTGTTTACATACATACATACATCATGACTTTCATCAGATAGTTTACTCGTAAATATAACTTACTAAAATGAGTCAATATTTATGTTTACATGGTGATTTGAGGACATAATATCAGTGTGACCTTACTCAATAGAACAATGCCGTCTTGCTTGTAACGCTGCCCAAATTAATAATTATGTTCAACATGAATTAAAGGCAACTGTTCAAATAACTTTTAACCACTTCCCCGTGATCATATATTTCTACAAATATTCAGACCCAGCTTATCCTGCACGATCGGACCGGTCAATATTCAAATATGCTCGTTGCACCGGCACGGGCAACGCCGTTTATCACGCGGTGGTTTTCACTGGCGCTCGAGATCATGTTCGGAAATCCCCATGTCATCTGAAGGTTTTCCGACCAAGACGAACGGCCTGGCAGCGTCTCTTGGCTCGGCACGACGCCGCCCAGTTTCCCAAACGATCTAAAGACACTGAGACAAACGACTCGCAGATATTCAGGGCGCGTGCGAACGAGTCGGAGGCCGCTAGGACGGCCGGTGGGCCCGCTAGACGGGTCCGCTGATGGCAGGGCCACGAGGAATGTCACACGTGCGGCGGTGAACGGGGTAGGGCCCGCAATTAATTTGTTATCTGAAGTCGTGGTGGGTAGAAGTGGAGATTACGTCAGCATGACACGTGTCGTGCTGATTGAGTGAATCAGTTTCGATTAGTTCAAAACGTATGCCGTCTGACATATGCTATATACCAAGATAAGAAACTATGCAGAACAGGAAGTTGATCGGTGATGCAAGGAAGATGCAAACAGGAAGTGACTATTTGCATGCAGAAGGGCGAAATTTTTTCTTAATTTTTAGAAAATCGGGCCTTTAGCTCCGCTGCCAAATGGATCCCATTATTTGCTTAGGCAACCGTTTGGCGTCGGCCCCTATGTTTTTATTGAAACGGGTAGAGACACACACATTTCTTTATGTAATTCAGATAAGCGGAGTAGCGCCCACAAGGGCAGGCTGTTCTAGAAAATTAAGTTTGAAATTGTGGCAACGTTTTTTTTCACAGTTTTAGGGCCTTACTTTGCGACATTTTTCGCTAAAAGTTGTATTGCTGCTGTTTCCTAGTTGACAATATCTTTAGAATACGGAAGGACGCAACCACTACTTTTCCTTTTTTATTGTATTCAAGGCTTTTAACTAGCAAAATCGCAAATTCGCCAGCTAGTTATCACACCGTTGGCTGCCACCTGTTGCTGTCATTGTCACCTAAATTTACCTGGCGCTGAATCACGCGTGATGCGTTTCTCGCGCGAAATGCCAACTTTTTGCTGCCTTTCCGGCGGCGTGACACAGACGCGGGTGTGTCCGTGTCACATCAGCTCCTGGCAGTGTCAGTATCCTCGAGCGCGAGTTCCTGCGCCGTGTCAGCCTCCACCCAATTCCACCTCGGTGACACACCGGGCCAGGCCAGGCCTCAGCCGGAGGAATCACGCACTGTCTGCACAGCTCGTATGCCATTTATTTCGACCCGGCCTGGGCGGTTCAGTGCGCGACGTGGCACAGCTCTGGTTGGCACCGGCGCCCGCAGAGCAGACGCTCGGCCCCGACACCAATTGGCTCGTTGTGGTGTCACCATGACGAGCTCTCGGGTTCATCAACGCCAGGTGTGAGTGGACTGATTCAGGGGCTGACAGAGCCAGAGCTATGGCACCCGCAGCCCGAGCTCTGAACGTCAGATTAGCCTGTCCGCCGGAGACTGAGTCATTCGTGCAGGGAGGGGAGGGGGAGGGGAAGAGGGAGGGGACCCGTTTCCGCCGGCTGGGTGGTCTTCTTGGAAACCTGTTGCAGCTTCTTCAGAAGCTGACGCTCAGAAATATTTTTGACAATTAGTTCATAAGTGCACATCCCATTTAAACTGTCAGCATGCTGACGTGGATACATTTTTTGGTTGAAATATGGTAATTGTAATTGATTGGTTTTACTTCATGGACACCAAGACAATTGACTTAATCGGCTTCGGGCATTACCTCATAATCGCACTTGCGTAGATTAGCTGCTCGATTACCTATCTTTATCACAATCAACTGGCCTCTATATTTCTAACACAAAGTTCTAACCACTTATCGATTGGTCCTCTCGAGCACAGCTGTTTTCTGTCTGCATTTCCCGCTCTGAATGCAGCGGCCGCACCTGACACTGGGCTGAGTGGTAACGGTAACGAGGCGGGGTCGGCTGCAGCTGCCTGCTACGTGTGGACTCCGAGGGGTGGTAGACAACGGAGCAGCGCCATGACATATGGCCCGGCCGTCCCAGCTGAGTCGCCACCTGCCTGCAGCAACAGCAGCGGTCTATGAGAGGCACGGGGCGGGGCTGGTGAGGCACCTGCCTCAGAGGGCTGCCTGCAGCAGCAGCAGTGGTCATATGAGAGGCATGGGGTGGGGCTGGTGAGTGGGGGGAGGAACACCAGAGGCGTTGGGGGGTAACACCTGTCGACACTCCGTCTTGGTGCAGCCGACAGAGGAACAGTTATTTTCGCAGCGGGAGGCCTCAAACAATACTGTCGAGTGTCGATCCACAAGCAAACTCTTTCACTTAACACAATTCTTTATGCGTGTTCATCCTCTCTAAAAATCACTTCCCTTAGGGACCTAATGCCTATTTTCCACATTGGATGATGAAGCATTACATATATTGAAAAAAGCAAAATAAAACGGGAAAATCAGATATTTTTTTAATCCCACATCACTGCAAGGGATTCCAAATATGTACGCAGTAATAGCTCTGTGGCGTGGCGCTCCATAGAATTAACTCTCGCAATTCGCAAGTCAATGCAACCCATGAGTCTCACGATAAAGTGGGCCGCAGGCAAGACACAGGCAAAGTGGTGGTGCATTACGAACGGTAATGTGTATTTGCTCGCTATTGTCCCTATCTGGGATACAAACTGCATGCACGGAAAAGCTAAAGCTAAACAATGCATTGGCGATTCGAGGCATGAGCCGAACACAAATTGCAATAAACTCGTGTGACTGCGAAGTGCTGTGTGGCGGGAGCAAAGGCTTTATCTGTATCTGCATAGGCCTTTGTTTTAGCCTGACTTACGGAACTGCTTGAGATTTGACCGTGCATCTGCACACCATCGCACAAGTGAAATACATCACATCGTCATCGATTATCATACGTTTTCGAAATTACACAATGTTCCTTTCTTTTCAGGAAATCTGCTGGCATTTTTCTGCATCGCGTCACTTGCATCCACAGTTTGTCGTAAGTACCACTATCTACATGCCCCGTCAAAGAAAAAGTGTGCTGAAAACGCATGCCAATTTTGTCATAAATCTGACTGAATGCATGACATAACCCAATCACTGCTCGAACTATACATTTTGCACCCGTTGTTTTATCTTTATTTTCATTATTTCTTTGATCATCATATTATGTGATATGTCTGTACTCTAATTTATAGATGAATGACAATTATTATCTGTAGTTAACACATTCCCATTGTTAAATCCCATAGTATGCAAGTGAACGAATTTGCACCCTTGTTTGTAACTTTGTTTGCGTGTAACCAGCTAGCTAAGGAGCTCTTTGAGCTTATTGCTGATTAGCAACTTAATTTAGCGCTTTTTGTGACGAATATTCTCTTCTCGGACCAGAAAATATAGCTAAATCCCCGAACGCATACCTAACACTTGAGATTATCGTCAGTATCGTTATGGTCACTTGTCATCTTTCCAGCATTGGCTGAAAGTAATGCGCCAAATTTTTATGACCGTTAGCCGCTTCTCACCACGTAGCTCAGCATCCAAGCCCAGCGATGTCTCTCACTGCTATAAAAATGTCTCTCCAGTATTTTGGAGTCTGACGTTTAGCACCGGTCCGGCAGCCCATCCTCCACACCCGCCCGTCGTAAACTCCAAGGATGGAGAGGCTCCAACACTTCTTTAGTCACTGGAAGTGGACAACAGGAGCTTACCATAATGTGATAGCATTTGGCACACAACAGTGAAGGAGTCACTTCGAGTGCCCCCCCCCCCTCCCCCGCCTTGGTGAGAGTGAGCTGCTACTACATATGTATAGAGTGCACCCGCACCTTAGCGAAATTGGTCTACATATTCCGGAAACTGCGTTTCCTGAAACATTTGTGTGCCGCGACGGGTGTCTTCCAATGTCTGCTCGTAGCTTAGCGGTCACAGGCATAAATGGTAGGTCGCAGCCGCTACTGAAGCGGCCCCATATGTCCTTCGATGTTTGATATGGATGTTTTACCCGTTTGCCTGTTTGTGGCGCAGAAACAACAAGCAAAACGTTGTTCACTGTCAACAATACCCAGGGATGTTTTGAATCTTAGGTTGAGTTGCATTTAAGTTATTTCACTCGGATAGCGAAACTTATAACACGAAAACCAGTCACCGTGTAATGACTATAGCATGCCCGACTGGCATTATCTCTGGCATTAAGAAGTAGCTGGCCATAATCAACAGTTTCGCCATATTACGGTGGAACCACCTCACCACACCGTTGCGGTCATCATGCGGCTCTGAGAGGCCTCCCACCACGCGGCACGCGTCGAGGAGAGGCCGTGACGACCGCGTGGCACGTGGCGTGGAATGTGTCTGTGTGCGCCGGCGCCGGGCGCGAGAGTCTGGGGCGTGGCCACCCTGCCAGACGGCCGGCTGTCAGCCACCGGCAGAATTACGCCCGCTCCGCGCCGCCACGGTCGGCCGGCCTTCGAGAACGGCCGCGCCGCCGACGACGGCGACGGAACGACGGTCACGACGGCGACGGAACGACGGCCGCGACGGCGACGATGGTGGCCAGCTGATGGGCCCACCGGCGGCGGCGACGTGCCAGCCGCCACCGAGCGACGGGAATTCGGAAGGGCCGTTATCGATGAGCCGAGCCTATTCAGGTCGAGGACGAGGAATGAAGATCGCGCCGCTGTTATGTCCTGTGAATGAGTTACTGGAGGGCGTGAAATTTCGCAGGGGGAAGTCGGCATGCGAATGTTGACGTGGCGTCTGGCGAGGAACTTGTATGGCAACAGATCTGGCCAATGAAGTATAATGGCGTTAGCAATGGCTTACGCGAGGTAGACTGCACCGCAAGACAAGGGTGTAATGCGGAACAGCATCCCCCAACACATTCGGCGATGACGCAGGACCAGGGGTATAAAGCCGAAGAGTGAAGCAGTTTGCGTTTGCTGGTCGTTCTCTGCAGGACGATACATATTGCATAATTGTGAAATATTGTGTTATTTTCCCTTCGTTACTTCACGTGACTTACAAAGAACAGCTGAATCAAAAGCGCCATTCTGTAGCGCGAAAAAGCGGCCCGATGAAGTTCAGCTAGAAACCACTGTTTGTTCGGAGCTTTTATGGACGCACAGGAGCATCACGAAAAGCATGTGTGAAAGCCTAGGGCAAGGAAACTGTGACGTCAATGTTTGTTAGAAGTAGACCAAACACCCTAATGGATAAACAGCCTATTCTTAGCTCTGTGCTCTTCTTACCATTATGGATGGTGGCTGTTTGTGTTTATGCATTTAAAAAAACTGTTAGTTAACATTAATCTAAAAAATTGACGGTTATCCTAATATCCCCAGTTCCGCTATTTCTACGTCAATTCTTATCACGCATTATTATCAGTGGTTAGCGCGTATTGTTCAGCTCGGCTCGGCCTATATCGTGCATTTTACATAAATATTAACGGTGTCCGACTTGCCAAGAAGTGACGGAAGTCCTTAAGTATTGCTGATATATTGGCATGAACGAAGACCGATGATAACTCTAAAGTGATTCTGAAGGATACTCCAGATCGATCTAGTTATGTCCACTATATCGACTTACGCCAGAACATTAGTCAGTCTATAGTTTGTCATATTGGTTTTTATAACGCCGTTATAATGACACTGTTGAACAGTACCTAGGCTCCCCATCAAAGCATCAATTGGCAAATGAAGCTCTAAGTCAATATTTACCTACACTGCACGTTTTGTTTTTGTTTCAGCCGCGGGCCGGTTGTCAGAGCGCCAGGCGAACCAGAGATTCTCGGATTGCTTCAACTTCTCGCGAGGAAATGAGTTCCTGAGGGAGTTCTATTCGCCGGGGTGGCCGGCCATGTACCCCAAAGGTGTTACCTGTGAACGCACCATCTCGGGTGAGTGAGGAGCGGTTTGCATTTCTTTGGGAAATCGTGGTCAACTCCTTCGTGTGGTGCTCGTCGAACCACCTACCTTTTAATGTCGGTGTCATAAATAAATTGAATCTATAGATTCTTGATTTATAGATTCATGTTATATATGTCGGTGTTAAAGTAAAAAGAAATGACGGAAGTGATTCAACACATCAATTAACTTGTTGAATAAATATTGATGTCTAAAATTTATTTCGATATTTTTTAGATCCTTGAAGTCGCATCTAGAGGTTTATTTATTTGTTTATTTATCTATTTCTTGACAGCCTTATGCCAGATAAAATGCAGTTTCTTGCGGGTCATACAAGTCATTCTGTTTTTATGCGGTTATGCAGAGGACGCTATTGATGGGCGCCACGCTCATGATTCTACCAGATCAGAGCTCTGATTCAGTGACGAATGCCTCTGGCGAGTGAAGGTGTTGTGTATTTATAACCACAAAAGGTCGCAAAACATCAGACACTACCTGTGTTACGCTCGGTCGCTTTGCCGTCTCGGTTTGCGCTTGTAAGGTCAGGCTGATACAGCACAAGCGACAAAACTACGTTAAAAGTTATAACTTTGAAATAAGCTTTGCATATGCCATGTCTAAAGCCAATTAACCTTAAATCAAAATACCACATCAACACATGGCCAACATCCGTTGCACCCATTCACCTGTAATCCACTGAGCTGTGTAGAATTATTAGTTAGGTTTTGTGACAGCGGCCCTGCTGGTAGCGGACTGTGACGGACGGTGACGAGAGAGACAGACGATGGAACAACAAACAAAAAACGACCGCCGCCGCCGCCGGCTAGACGGTGCCGGCGGCGAGACAGCCAGTTGGCCGACAGTGACTGACGCCCCCCTGTTCCAGCGCCGGAGGGCTATCACATAGAGATCGACTTCCGAGGCACATTTGACGTGGAGGAGAGCCCGCACTGCGAAAACGACTATCTACTGGTGAGAGATGGTGCTGGAAATCTGGAAATGACCCGCTGGTTAGGAGGCTGACTCCAGCTGTGAGGAGTCGTTGGAACGAGCAGCTGATGTGTGCAGTAATAACAGGTTTAGCCTTCGAACAATTGCATTTTAGTTGTAACTAACAGTTTTATACGATACAGTTGTGCGTAGTAGAGTTCGTTGTTTAGGTGAAAGATTAATGGAAATTGAAAGTAAGTGATATCATCCATTTTTCTTGTTTCATAAATCATAAAACATTAAAACAAATGTTTGCCGTGTGAATGCATAGACCCATCACAATCTAACAGCCCACATAGCCGTAGCACAAAAACTTATCTTACCATGACATACAAACCTATTCTCCCCATGTGTTTCAGATTCGAGATGGCAAGGAGTCCTACAGTCACGTGCTCGCGCGGCTGTGTGGTCATCACTTTCCAGACACAATCCGTTCTACCCGCAACCACCTCTGGCTTCAGTTCAAGTCGGACGCCACCATAGAATACAAGGGATTCCACGCGGTCTACACATTCCATGAGGATGAATGTGAGAATGCACTGTTGCTGTCTCTGTTGAAGATCAAAACTTCAACGTAACTTTTAGCTCCACGTGAAAGATGGAAGGATAAAATTGGAAGACACTAGCATGTGTCTTAAAAAGCTAAAACATTAAATGTTAATCTCTTGACATTCTGCAATGAGCGTGTGGGCAAGAACTGCGCCCTGTAGGACGGTGTATAATGTGTATCTATACCATGAGATAGCCCCAATTTGGCAATTTGCAGCCCCAATTCGATGGCAAGCTTTGTCTTTGTGATTGAAAGTTTACTGACTGTACTTTGCTTGATAGCGTATATCAAAGCCCCTGAGTGCAAGTTCGAAGTGTCTGGTCCTGAGGTGATTATATCGACGGGGAACATCACAGAACAGTACCGCGACTTCATCGATCAGGCTATCGACAAGGGCATGTCACTGGACTGCTCGTGGCGGGTCATCGTTCCGAACGATAAAGAGGTCAGTGCGAACCCACTGTATGTCTAGAAATCGCGTATCCTCCAGTATTGTTGCTTTTGTCATGGTCTTGCTTCATATGTCGACAATAGCCAATGTTTTATCTAAACCTGTCTTAGGAGCGAATATATTCTATGCTGAGACTAAGGTCAGCTGTAACAGGGGCGGATCCAGGAATTTTCGGGAGGGGGGGGCGGCAAGTCGAAATGGGGGCGACCTGGCGATCTGGGGGCGCTCCATACAAAGTGGGCGCCAAACCGTCAAAATCGGGAGCTAAAAGCCCGCGCCGTGCTAGGGGGCGTTATTGCGCTCCCCCTCAGGTTTTTCGCAAATATCTGAAAAACGGCTGCGCGCAGCGCCGCCATTTTCAGCATACCTTATCATGCATCTTTTTTGCACATGTTGTAAAAATGTGTGACGCGGGTGATGGAAGGTCAGGTCACCAGGTTATGCCAAGTGACCTAGCCTAAGAAAAAGTTCAAATGCTTACCATTGCTATACCGACTGAACGATTGCTTTGAACCTTTCAGCGATTGATGAAAGCAACACTATTCATGAAATGTATATCTCGGAATTTCGATATCTGTGACCTAAGGTCAGGTCAGTTGTGCGACGTCTCCATTAGGTAGGTAGGTATAATTAAGTCTTTGGGAGAAAACTGAAAGGCATCTCTTTTGGACGAGCGCCATTCTAGACAATATCAAGCATTGGGATACATATAAAATTAACACACTGAATAAGAACATTGCACCTAGTGTGGCCACTCATTATGTCCCAGAGGTCATCCCATGTCATGAAAGGTCCGCAGCAGTTTTTTTTTTAAAATAACTTTTGATAGATTCAAGCTAGAGCGATAAAAACACCTCAGCTGTGTTCAGCTCGACGATACGCATCGACTGCTATGCATCATGACCTTTCCCGGTCAGGTCATGACCTTGACCTGAGGTCAAATTCTCAAAATTACCCTTCATAAGGTCAACCTTTAGTTTGTTCGACGTGTCTCGACGACAGAAACGCAATGCTGGCAAACGTAATGTCGAGACTCTCTTGAGTCAAAAGTTATTGCAGGAAAACATTGTTCGTAAAAAGGCTATTTTTAGTCTTTTGCCCTCTGAAGGCTAAACCGTTGACCTGAGGTCAAATCTGAGCGCAGCTTGCAGAAACACCTTTAAAAGGGCTATCGAATGCGCTTTTCTGCGGCGCTATAGCTCTATTGGTTTCCGAGTTATGTGCCGCTGCTTCGAAAACGGAAAAATGTTGAAACAGGCAACATTTTACCTTTGATGACCTCTGGTGACCTGACATTCGACCTGACCTAAAAAATGACCGTTTTGTTTTCGTCCTGTTTTTTGACGATCTTTCGAATGCCGCTTATCGCGTGTCACTACGCGGCCCAGGAGCCGAATTAGACGAGGGAGTGTGCCCCCCCCCCCCTCCCCAGCAGGACACGGAAAACTCAGACCACCAGCACGGCACGGGTTAAAAGTCGTAGATGGGCACCGCTACCCTAGCAAAAGATATTAGCAAAAAGGTGACCTCCATTTACTGGTGCAGTCCTCCTCCTCCCGGTCCTTTTTCTGGAAGCGTCTCACTTATGCTGGTATGCCTCACTTCCCGGGGGCGCCCAACCTCTGCTTGGATCGCCTAATCCATTATGGAGAGACCCACTTTGCTTAAGTCGCCTCATTTCTTCCTTCTAAGAACGACCAATTTGCTGTAGGCGGCCCACTTATCTGGGACGCCCATCTTTTGCTAGAAGTGCCCCTCTTCTTCCTGATGCGTCCCACTTCTACTACGAGTGCACCTTTTCTGTTAGGGCGCCCCTTTGCTACTGAGGAGTCTTTTCTACTGTGAATAGGGCGACCCTCTCCTGTTTGGCGACCCCAAATTCTGCTGGAGGCGCCCCACTTCTGCCCAACTCTTGGTGGGGTGCCCCTCTCTTGCAGGGGGCACTTCTCTTTTGCTGGAGACGCCACTCTTGTGGGGGCGCCCTTCCACTGCGGGGAACGTCTCTCTTCTGCCAGAGGCACCCCTTTTCTTCTTATGGGGCTCCTGTTTTTTTTTTCTGGGGCGAGGCGACCCTCTGCTGCTCGGAACGGGGCACACCTCTCCTTTTACTGGGGCACCGCCCCTCTGCTGGGGTTGCCCTTCCGCTGTCGTCAGGGGCGCCCCTCTTGGTAGAATATACTCCTTTTCTTTTTGTAATGGGGCGCCCCTCTTCTACCGGGGGCGCCCATCTGCTGCTGGGGCGTCTGTCTTCTGCCGGATATTGTCAATGGGGCGCCCATATCCTGTTTGGCGGGCCCAACCTCTGCTGGAGGCTGCCTATTTCTGATTAACTTTTGCTGTGGCGCCTCTCTTCTGCTGGGGCGCCCCTCTTCTGCTTGGGGCGCCCGTCTCCTACTGGAGACCCCTCTCTTCTGCTGGGGCGCCCCTCTTCTGCCAGTGGCACCCATTTTCTTACTATGGGGCTCCTTTTTTGCTGGGGCGCCCAGCTGCTGTCAGGGCGCCCCTCTTCTCGGAATGGGGGCGCCTCTCTCCTTTTGCTGGGGCGTCGCTCCTCTTCAGGGGGACACGTCTCCTGCTAAGGGTGCCCTTCCGCTGCCAGGGGCGCCCCTCTTGAACAGAACGTATTTTATATTCTTGTAACGAGACGCCCTCTTCTGCTGGGGGCGCCCATCTGCTGCTGGGGCGACTCTCATCTGCTGGGAATAGGCAATTGGGCGTCACTCTCCTGCTTGGTGAGCCCAACTTCTGCTGGAGGCGCCCTATTTCTGCTGAACCTTTGCTGTGTCGCCGCTCTTCTGCTCGGGGCGCCCTCTCTGCCGCGGGATATGGGCGCCTTTTTCGGATGGCGGGGGGGGGGGGGGGGCGGCCGCCCCCGTCGCCCCCCCCTGGATCCGCGCCTGAGCTGTAAACGATTCCTCTATCGTAAGTAAAAACGTTTTTTTTTGCGACTGGGAGAGTACTTGGAATTTAATTATTAATAAATACGATCTGTCATCCCGCTTACGCAATGTCACATACTTCTCTTCGGCCATACAAATTACATTGATTCTTTCGGCTGAAATCGCCGCCCACACACCATTTGCATTGTATTTACTTAGTAAATATAATCGCCATACTTACCGCATATTCTTCTACTTACCTTATTACGAGCCTTTATTTTTCCAGATTCAAATATCTTTCAAGACATTCAGACTGAACAAGCCAAATGAATGCGAGCAGAACTTCGTACAGATTCTGTACGGCTCCGAGCTGTACCTGAACAGTACGAAGCGGTTCTGCAGCAGTAAGGCTGACTCGGTGAAGCTACCAAAGGGTCAGGACGTGACTTTCCGATACTTCGCGACGCCTCCGACGCTGCCCGGGCTGCTGGACGAGGATGACCCGACCACCGTGGTGGCTGTGGCCACAGAGCTGCGAGAGAGGAAAGGTGAGCGCTCGCGATCCTGGTGGAGGAGAGACAAGATGGGACTGATGATAAGGTGGTAATGGTTGGAAGTTGTGGCTTCGTCTTTTATGATTGTGCATGCCCTTCTCGGGACTGGTGGTTTCTCCAAGCCAATCCTTCACAATGCCACTTGACGCAAATAAGAGGATAAATATTGCTTATGTTGCCGATAGTCGCTTTGTCAGTGACTTTCCCACAATTCAAGGTGGATCATAGTGACCCCTTGCTGTCCATCTGCCTGGCAAAGTGGCTCCTTTACCGTCTTATTAAAATCATCCCTGTTCTGTTCCAGAGGACTGTCGAGAGGACGAGTTCGACTGCGACGACCTCTACTGCATCAGCGCCAAGCTAGTCTGCAACGGTAACTTCAACTGCGACAAACAGCTGGACGAGAAGAACTGCGACCTGGGCAAAGACAGCGACGCGCCGGAGCTGCTGACCAGCGCCAACGTCACCATCATGGTGATCGGTGCGGCGCTGCTGTTCGGCCTCTGCTTCAGCGTCTGCTGGAACTGCGTCAGGAAGCTGAGGGAGGACCTCAGGGAGAAGGAGGCAAGTACAAATAGGCATTGTAGCTGGAATAAGACCTTTGTTTTCATCGTAACACAAACACGAGTGCTACTCTAATCTCATTACTATTGTGCGTTTTTCTGTCACCGACTCTTCATTCCAGTGGCGGATCCAGGGGGTGGGGCAAAATGGGCATTTGCCCCTCCCAAACGGCATAATTTTAACATTACGTCTATGGATGAGGCATGGAAAGAATCGATAAATTGTTATGGTTTGCCCCCCAAAAACTCTGAGCTGGATCCGCCTCTGCTTCATTCGGTGGCGCCGTCTTCATTTGGTGACTTCAAAATCCCCAGTATTTTCACTTTCCCTCTTTCTGTACGAACGGCGCCCAGCTTATTCATGATGCAATCATTTCTCCATTCTCCGCAGGAGATCGTGCGTCAGTCCCGAGAGGCCGACCTGGACACCCTGCCGGAGACCATGCCACGGGTCCGCTCTCGTGTCACCCTGGACGACGGCGGGTGCTACGTGCCCGGCGTCGAGCTCAAGCTGCTTCCAGAGCGTCGCAACGGCAGCACGCGACTCGTGCGCGAAGACCTCATCGACCTAGACGTCGACACGACCGACTGTGGGTGTCAGACAGCGGCGGCGTCGCGGCGGCGAGACTCGCGCGACAGCTGCGCCAGCGGCTCGTCCACCCCTCCTCCTCCCCCGCCGCCCTGTCGGCCTCCGTCCTCTGTCTACCGGGGCCGACATCACGAGCCGCACATGGGCTACGACACGGCGCCGCGGCCGCGGCCCAGGGTAAGGCCCAGAGATGATGAGGAGGACGAGGACGAGGACAGGTCCGGGATGGCCACGCCGCGCAGCTATCGCTCGGAGGCGGTGATCGAGATGGTGCCCCGGCCCGCCAGTCGCCACTCGGCACGATCGGCGCCAGATGTCGTGGTCAAGCTGTGACGTGGCTGGTGGCACCGCTCTGGCAGACTGGAGGCCGCCGGACTGCGCTTAGTCCCGCCGGGGACACACACATTGCTCAGTTTGGTGTTCGTGCTGCGAACTCTGGTCCAAAATGGGCCGTCGATGCCGCTAGCGACACCTGTAAGATAGAACTCGACGTGGTTTGTGACTTGGCCGCCTGCCGCCTGGTGCTTCCTTGGACGAGACATTTCGATCCCGTTGGAGGGAGCCGGATGTTTCGTAGACTTCTGAGTGGGTTATGTGCTCATCTTGCGACTTGCCGGTGATGCAAGCCGTACCGTTCGCCGAGACGAGACTTTCAGATAATGTGATGGCACGTGGCGTTCGTGCCGGTGTGTTTTGCTCACAGCGTCGGAGTGAAGAGAAGCTGAATGTGTTTGTTTGAAACGCGTCACACAAATACACGGCCGCTGCGCTCCACAAATCTGTAGACAGGCGTAGGACAGGCAGACTGTTGAGGCATGCATTGTGCTCTCTTTTACATTCACATAGCACAATAATACATAATTCAGCTCAGCGGAAAATACAACTTAACCCTATTAGTGGCAGGGGGGGGGGGGTTGTTTTTATCCACCCCTCAGGTTTTTCGGGAATATCTCCGAAACCGCTGGAGCTACGATGCTGACATTTTCTGACTTTTCCTAAAACTAAATTGGGCACATTCCTTGAAAATTTCAAGTTCATAACTTTACCAGGGGCGGCTCCAGAGCACTGGGAATTGGGGGGTCCTATTCGCGAAGCGAGTCATTTGGGCGAAGATCACGATGCTGCACCAGTTTTACGAACAGTGAATGAAAGGTATCATGTGATAACATATACAGTTATTGTGCATCCTCTTTTGACACGTTTTTGCTATAATAGGCGGATCCAGGCGTCCAAAAAGGGGGGTTATGTTTTACCTCCCAACATAGGTGCCCTGACACCGCCTATGCATGACCAATACAATTGTAGTCGTTCTCTCATAAGAAAATTGTAACATAACAAGACCATTACCACCCTTTTTAGAAACAGTACCAACAAAAACCTTATTTACTATACTTTTTGTGTACCCCCAATCTCAACGATCTGTATCCGCCTATGATTTTTGAAAATGCATATTTTTGGAATCCATGTAAATTCCTGGTTCATTCTCTATCGATCGGCAAAAGTTGCGTTAAGATTGGTTCAGAAACCTGGCCGTGATAAACAGTCTAAAATGTATCTTCAATTTGCCCGTTTTTACCCCCCTCTACCCCCCCCCCCCCTATTGACATTTTTAATTTTTATTTTTTTTGAAATGTAGATCTCGTTGAGCGAAATCGAATGCCGTTTGAAATTTTGAAAATCGGCCCGTTAGATCTCGAGATATCAAGGGGGGGTCGTAAACAGCCCCCCCCCCCTGCCACTAATAGGGGTAGCCAGGAGCCTGCCACTAATAGGGTTAAACTGCTCGAATCATCACTGACGGAATCCCAATTCCCACGACACATGCGATATACTGACCAGAGAAAGGCTAGTTTTCGTTTTTGCAACAGACATTTTTCCTGTAGCATGTTCTTCGATTCATACTTCACGTCCAATGTGACAACCGCTGTAATGACCCTGTCAGCACCAACCTAAGATTTATTTTTATGAAGAAATTGTCGCTGGAGCAACGTTATAGCCTCTTCCCTTATAAGTTATACAGAGTGCGGGGCTAAGAGTTTCACTGGAAAGCGGCTTTCGCTTAGGACGTCATCCCTAAATGGTAATAATTAAAAAAATAAACATCTGAAATATTATATTTTTACACTGCATCAAACGTTTTTGATTATTATAAACAAAAAAGCAATACTGTTTTAATTCAACATTTCAATAGCTTGTCCTCAATCGCTAGCAGGAAAGCATGAATGATAGCGCTGCGTGATGGCATTATTCGAATACAATTTCATAGAACAGGCCCAGCAATCATCTAAATGAAACCCTTTGTGGAATAGCCTTGGCAAACTGCCTCCGTCAAACTCGCTGTAGGCTGTTGTGCAGCACCAATCAGCTCACAAGCGAGGAGGGCATACATTGTTTTGCGATGGTTCATAAGCACAGCAATTATTTCTGCGCTTTTTTATGCAGATTAACGATTATTTTGTTATTTTATTTTGACTTCCTGGACCTGGTCGGCTCTTCATTGCCGACGTGGCCGTGGGACACTTGAAGGGGGATCGTAGACGATTGGTTCACATGTTTTATTTTTGTTCCAGAGTGGTGCCTCGAGTTAAGCGATTGCGCTTTTGCACCACTCTGCTATCACTTCTATGTTGCTACATTGTGCCATATGTTTCATTGATCATGCTTTATTTCTCGTGTATCTTTTGTTCCTTAATAAACGTTTTGTGTGTGTGTGTGTGTGATTGAGACTGCTCAACCGAAAGTGGTTTTAGGGGATTTTAACCGAGCCGGAGTTGCGTAGACAACTGGAACGGCTGCCCAGTGCTTTGTTGGGATATTGTATAGCTCATCTACGGACCGAAAGCACACTCCAACTTAACCCTATTCCTGGCGGGCTCCGCCGGGACAAGAAACTGGCGGGGGGGCCGATTCGGCCCCCCCCTTCAGATCTCAAAAACTACACATTGCAGCGACAAACGGTAAACGGCATCGGATACGCACTGTCAAGATCTACAATTTTTACTAAGGTCATTTTCAGGTCAGGTCAAAGATGACGTCACAGGGGTCGAAAAAGTCAAAAGGGCGGCGCTAGATATGGAAAAAGTTTTTCTCGAATAACTTTCGAATTAGTCAAGATAGGAACAAACTAAGAGCATCATCGTGATCCTCTCGTCAATCCGCATCGAATGATATATATGCAGGGTGTCCCATAAGTTCGTTCTCACATTATATTTGCATGTGAAACAGAGTACATTGCGTTTTGATATATTTATGTCCCCTCATTGTGCTCCCCAGTTAATAGGCAAACACATGAATACATGCTGCGGCATGCCAACTGGCAGGTTTGGCTGCTTAGCAGGCTTGAAGTTAGCCCAGACTGAATTGACGTGCGCCGTGAGCTCCTCGAGGCTGGAACAGCACTTCGCTTCGACGAGCCTCAAGTTCAGTATAACCAACGAATTTTTATGAAATTTTGATCCGATGAGTTGCCTGGCATGTGATCTTGCCACAAACGCCTGTCACAGTCACCTTGCACTGCTTTTAAGCTTTGCTTGACCTGTGCACTGATGCACTGTCTTGCCTGAAGCTGGGCCTACGACCTTCCGGATGCCATTTTCTTCTCTATAAATGTGTTCATACTCGCGGTTCGAGCTCAGCTTGAAGGCTGAAACTCCTCCTAGATGTTCTTGGGAAAGCATTCTGCTTCCCAAAACTGTTTCTGGAGTACCAATCGGAACCTGGTCAGCGTCTGGACGCCTATAACCTCACAATACCGTGACCCTGGCCTTTTGCATATGAACATAACGGGACGGAACGGAGGCCTCCTCCTTCGCCCTTATGGGGTTGTTTTCGGGTTTGGACGGGTGTTTCATCTCGAACGTGGACTAGTTAGTCCAGATGACCTGGTTGATGTCCTCAGCCCTCTAGTTTTTTAGCCTCAGGCATAACGAAACTCATGTTTGGCCATTTTAAGACGTTTTTGACTGTTTTGAGCCCTCCGGTAAGCAAAGCTTAAGTACCGTTGAGTTATGTACCCCGAAAGAATACTCTTAGACAGCTGGTAATCCATCCTGAAAAGTCTGCTTACCAACTTTCTAGCCCTTTGACCTTTTTGATGGCCACTTTGGCGCCACACAGTTTTGGCCACATGGCTCACTCCTGAGGGCTGACTGGAAAGAGAATAAACTTGCAGTGATTGACTCCCGATAAATCATCGGCGTCACTTGCTAACTGTGCGTCCAGTTAGCGATGGACATTGGCTACAGACTGGTAGGCCTCATTCACCCTCAATCGTCGAGAATGGGACCGTATTAGAGCCGGCGATAATCACGGAACATTAGTGTCGGGGCAGACTGCGGCGGGGCAGACTGCGGCGACCCCATAGGAAGAACAACTAGGGAGAACAACATTCGACAGATGGCAGCACTAGACGAGATAATCAGGCAATACTTTAATATTAATGGGAAAGAAATCATGCCAATGTTTGCCCTCACCAAGCATGTTACCACGACAATGGAAGAATGTAGTGTAGTACCCCTCCCCGGGCCCGCCGCGGGCTGACAGCGGCGGCCGGAGCCGGTCCGACCTTTGGCCGGCCGGGTCAGGTAACCGGGACGGCCGCGCCGCGGCGCCGCGCCCGGGCCGGCCGGGAGACGGAGTCGGGTGCCCGCCGGCGAGCCGTCGGCAAGGGCGCGGGGCACATTAGTCGAGTTGAATGTTCACTGTTCAGTCTTGAGTGCGAGTGATGTATGTGTGAATCGATATGTGAGCAGCAAAATCCAACAAGAAAACAAATCCGTGAAAGAAAGGCAAAGGCAACGCTGGCAAACATCACCACCATAGTCTTCCTACGCCGAACGAGTTCCACACCAACGTGCATCAGCGAGAGTAAAACTAGGATCCTACTGTGGTCGCGATGGCCCCTCGCCAGCAAAAACTGCAGGTATGTTACTGGACATTCCCTGCTACCTAACTAGGTCTGTCGACGGCTTTCACCGCATGCATGGGGAGATTACCCCCCCCCCCCCCGGCGCCGGGCGCCATTTTGTCTCGCCCATTCCTCGCCGCGTCCCATAACACGCCGGTGGTGATTGCCACTTGCACCTTACTCACTCACGTGATCGCTAACGGCGATTCAATATAGCATACATGATAAGAGTTTGCCCCCATCGCGCCCCCCCCCCCCCCTAGCCGAGGCCGTGCGCCGTGCGCCACATTACTGACCATAACGAGCCCCACACTGACTGCAATCAGGTGTCTCACCACCTGCAATGTGCCTGGGGAGCAGCTCACCCCGGTGTGATTTGCTCAGTGTATGAACCTGTGACTTTCTGTACATTTATCTTGTGCCCGGCCAACCAGGATGACCTCCTCTTCCGTACCTACAATGGTTCTTTCCACCAATGTCATTGCTTGCCTGGCCCCAGTCATTGACGTTTCTTAGCCTGCCATGCATTTTTAGCCCTATATACTCTTTGCTTGCCTGGCATCAGTATTGATGTCCATGGCCTCCGCCCAATGCCCTGTCGCCCTGACGCCATCTTGGCGGGTCCGACCAGCCATAGCGTGATCGTGACGTCAGCTCTACGTGGCACTTCCAACGCTGGTAGCGCCGCGGGCGGCGGCAGCAACAATAGCTACTGATGGTCACGTGGTTGCCAGCGGCGCAGGCGCGGGCGTGTGACACTTGACCGTCCTCCGCACCGGGGGCGGCCGGGTGACTCATCCGGCGTGACGTCAGCTGCCCTTGAAAAGGCCATGACGGGCCTGTGGCCGGCGGTCGGACTGCCGTTGATCGGG